CGGCGCTGCCGGGATGGCGGTCAAAATCCGGCCGGGAACGGTCGCGCATCTTGCGCCGCTGGTACGATCTCGTCATCGAGAACAAGACGGACCTCGCCACGTTGATCACCTGGGAAAACGGCAAGGCGCAGGCGGACGCGGCCGGCGAGGTCCTCTTTGCCGCCAGCTTCCTCGAGTGGTTTTCAGAGGAGGCGGCCCGCGTCTACGGAGACGTGGTGCCGCATAGCAACCCCAACATGAGGATAACCGTCTTGAAAGAACCCGTGGGTGTCTGCGGCCTCATCACACCGTACGGACCACTCCTCTCTCTCTCTCTCCCACTCCTCGACTTCTCGGGATATTGAAAAGTGCTGACATGCGGGGCTGCGCAACAGTTGGAACTTCCCGGCTGCCATGCTCGCCAGAAAAGTCGCGCCTGCTCTGGCGGCGGGCTGCACGGTGGTGGCCAAGACGGCCGGAGAGACCCCCTTCTCCGCCAACGCGCTGATGCTCCTCGGCGAGAGGGCCGGCGTCCCGAAGGGTGTCGTCAACATCGTCTGCGCGCTGCAGAACACCCCCGAGATCGGCGCCGCCCTCTGCGGGTCGAACGTCGTGCGGAAGATCTCCTTCACGGGCTCCACCCGCGTCGGCAAGCTCCTCATGCAGCAGTCGAGCCAGACCCTGAAGAAGCTGAGTCTCGAGCTGGGCGGGAACGCCCCGTTCCTGGTGTTTGACGATGCCGACCTGGACATGGCCATCTCCGGCGTCATTGCGAGTAAATTCAAGGTCTCCGGGCAGACTTGCGTGTGTGCCAACCGTATCTACGTCCAAAAGGGCATCTACGGCGCCTTTGTCTCCAAGTTGAAGGAGGCCGTTGGCCAATTCAAGCTAGGCCATGGGTTCGATGGCCATGTTACACATGGACCTCTTGTAATCCAAGGCGCTGTCCGGCGAGTCTCCGAGCTGGTCGAAGATGCCGTTGCCAACGGTGCCCGAGTGGAAGCAGGCGGCAAGGCACGCCCGGATCTTGGTAGGCTCTGACGGGGGGGGGGGGGGGGGGGGGGGATCCCACGCTCCGCCGAGGGTCTAAAGTAGGCTGACTCAAGCTCCCAGGTCCCAACTTCTTCGAGCCTACCGTCATTAGCAATTTGAGCCCGACGGCGAGGATTCTTCACGAGGAGATTTTCGGCCCTGTGGCACCGATCCTGTCCTTTGACACTGAAGAAGAGGCGGTTGACGCGGCCAACCGGTGCGACGTCGGCCTCGCGTCGTACATCTTCACAAATGACCTTGGACGCGCCGCGAGAGTTTCTGAGCTGCTGCAATTCGGCATGGTGGCTTTGAACACCGGTGTTATTTCTGATGCCGCTGCTCCGTAAGCCCCCCCCCCCCCCCCCCCTTTTTTTTTTTCTTTTTCTTTTTCCACCTAGATCTCGTTCGTTAACGTGGAACTATCCACTGCCAGATTTGGAGGAATCAAACACTCTGGGATGGGCAGAGAAGGAAGCAAGTATGGGATTGACGACTATTTGACCACAAAGACGTTGGTGGCGGGCAATGTCGAGGTTGTTCACCGGTCGCACCTTTGAGTTTTTAGACCAGGTGGTCGATAGCCAGCAGCTGGCCTAAGAATGACGAAAGCAGTGGGGATTATACCAAACTTGCTGGCGACGAAGACGTTTCATACAAGACTGCCAACCGTGTTAGATGGCTTGAGCAGTGGCTTCTATATCTGCTTGATATACACAAGTATGTACTGTTCGGCATTCAAGTACACTAGGATACCTAACTGAGGCACCGTTAAGAGAGCAGGCAAGCTTGTGATCATTGCGAACTAGCTGGAGCAGGTTGTGGAACCCAACCGTCCTTTACTTCTCACACCTAATCTCCCATCCCACTATTCGCTCACCCACCCATCTCAGCTTGCCAATCACTCCAGAATACAGATCGTTGCAACAGCAAATTGTGCCACATAACATAAGGAGCTTTTTGGTCATCTGCTATGGCGTTGTAGTTAGTCTTATAGCACGAGGCATCTGAGACATGGGGACTTGACGCACCATTGAATAACATGTAGAACCGTCGGGAATCTCAATAAACACAACCTAAGCTTTTCTTTTTGTTCCGGTGTCTATAAACAACGCCAACCACCATATGCCTAGTCCATTCATGAGCGCAGGTATGCCTTCATCGCCTTGACCGCATCTCCGTCGTTGGCCTTGAGAAGCTCCGTGGCCTTGGGCTTGGGAAGCTCGAGCTCGTCGACCTGGCCAGCTGTCAGCATTTCCATAGTGACAATAATCTATCCTCTTCCCCGTGGCGCAAACGGCTGGGTTTTCTTTTGCCGCATGTCACTCGGGGGTGGGGGGTGGTGACTGACCAGCAGGGCAACGTCGGCAGCGTCGACCTTGACGTTCTTGACCTCCTTCTTGGCTGCGGTGGCGCCGCCAAGGCCCTGGATGGCCTTCTGGGCGGCCTCGGCGTCGACCTGGGTGTTACCCGAGTCGTCACCGCCGGCGTCGAGGCTGGCGAGGGCGGAGGCGGCCTTGCGGTCCTCGGCGGACTTGGCGGGCTGGACCTCCTCCTCGACGTCACCGGCGGGGGGTTGCTTCTCGGACATTGTGTGTGTGATTGTGAGATGGCTTTCGTTCGGCGGATCGGGTTGCTTGGAGGGGAGGGGGGGGAGGGCGTAGGCCAATGCGGACTCGGAATGGTGGTTCGGTCGTGTAGAGGGGGAGCTGTGTGTTGGAGAGATAGTCGAGCTCGATCGCAACAACTGGGGGTGCAGTGATGGGAATTTGTGGTGGGGCAGGTCAAGGTGGGGGCGGGGAGGGGGAAGCTGCTCTCTCTCACTCTCTCTCTCTCACACTCTCTCTCTCTCACACTCTCTCTCTCTCTCACATACATACACACCCACCAGCGCTGAGACTGACCGACGGTGAGCATGTCGGTATGCATCGGCACAAGATACTTATACATTTGTATGTAACCTACCCAAAGTAGGTAGCAGAACAACTCAAGGGTCTAACGGATGGACTGGTTCCTGAGATGCTTTTCATGGTGCTATTTCTTCGGCAGTCATTGGTCAATGCTGCTTTTGTGATGCCATTGTCCCATTCTTAGCATCGGAGCGTCCTAATTCGTTCACATTGTTCCCTGCACAGACAATTAAACAACTTTGGAGTTGACTCACCACCTAATACTACAGCTGTCCCCTTCTCTCTATTCTCTATTCTCTATTCCATACACGGTTCATTCCGGAAAGCTCTTCCAGCCTTCACTTTCATCTTGTCTCACTTTTTTACCGTTCCGGGCCTTGACAGACAAGGCCGACACTGTCTGTCTCATCGCTTCTAGATTTGACCCGCCACAACATCACATCATGTCGTCCCCCGCCTGGTCACCCGATTCCTGGCGGTCAAAACCCATCAAGCAGGCGCCGGACTACCCCGACAAGACTGCGCTCAACAAGTCGGTCAAGGAACTCTCACGCCTCCCGCCCATTGTCCACCCCAAGGAGATTGTCGCACTGAAGCAGCACCTCCGCGATGTCGCCCGAGGCGAGGCTTTCCTGTTGCAGGGCGGTGACTGCGCCGAGCTGTTCGACTACTGCGAACCCAACGCCATCGAGTCCAAAATCAAGCTGCTCCTGCAGATGAGCCTGGTCCTCGTCTGGGGTGCCGACAAGCGCGTAGTGCGCATTGGACGCATGGCCGGTCAGTATGCGAAGCCGAGATCGAGCCCGACCGAGCTCGTCAACGGCGTCGAGCTTCCCTCATTCCGCGGAGACATTCTCAACGGCTTCCACGTCGACGAGCGCGACATCGACCCCCAAAGACTCGTCAAGTAAGTGGCCACATCCGAAAGAGAAAAGGAAAAAAAAAAAGCACAGTGAACGAACAGTGTGCTAACCGCCACAGGGCTTACCAATACTCATCGGCAACTCTCAACTACGTCAGAGCATGCCTCTCGTCAGGCATCGCAGATCTCCACAGGCCGCTCGACTGGGGGCTGGGTCACGTTCGGGACCCCGAGCTGAAGAGGAAGTACTCCGAGGCCGTCCTCTCTCTCACCGACATGCTCCGCTTCCTTCACACTATCGGCGCCGACAGGAGCGACAAGCTGGACACTGTCGATCTCTTCACGAGCCACGAGGGCCTGCTCCTCGAGTACGAGCAGCCGCTGACCCGCCTGCTGGAGACGCCGCCGCCGCCGCGACCCACAACCAACGGCGCCAGCAACGGCGACCGCGACAACAAGCCGGCAGAGACGAAAAAGGAGTACTACAACACGTCGGCCCATTTCCTGTGGATCGGCGACCGCACTCGGCAGATCGACGGCGCCCATGTCGAGTTCTTCCGCGGCATCGCCAACCCCGTCGGCGTCAAGGTCGGCCCCACCACGCCGGTGGACGACCTGCTCGCCCTGCTGCGCACGCTCAACCCGGACTGCGAGCCCGGCAAGATCACGCTCATCACACGCTACGGCGCCTCCAAGGTGCGCTCGCTGCTGCCGGCCCACATCCGCGCCGTCGAGGACAGCGAGTATCACCGCTGCGTCGTCTGGCAGTGCGACCCCATGCACGGCAACACGCTGTCGACAGGCAGCGGCATCAAGACCCGCCGCTTCCGCGACATCTTTGAGGAGCTCCGGGAGACGCTGCGTATCCACAAGGAGCAGGGCAGCTACCTCGGCGGCGTGCACCTGGAACTCACCGGCGACGCCGTCACCGAGTGTCTGGGCGGCAGCGAGGGCCTGGACGAGGATGACCTGTCGACCAACTACACGAGTTTCTGCGACCCGAGACTGAACGAGAAGCAGGCGCTCGAGCTGGCCTTCTTAATTGCAGACCATTACAGGAACGAGAGGCGGCCGGTTTTGTGAGTGCCGTTGCTCGGCGAAGGGCAGACACGAGCAGAGTACGGACGGGAACATTGGGCAATGATAGCGATGCTAAAAAGCAGTCTGTTTGTAAATAAATCCATCTGATTTTACCTCGACACTTGTGCCACACACACACACACACACACACACACACTTACGTACTGATGCCGGGCACGCTTGTTTCCACGACATCGTCATAGCGCAACCTGGCGGCGACAAGCCGCGGATGCCAGGCCTCTTGCAGGTTCTGGCGGGGAACGTTCGGCTGGCTGTCTCACCGTTGGTGTCCCGCCAGACTATTGTTGTTGATGAAACATGCGACCGAGCCTGGCAGCAGCAGCAGCAGCAGCAGCAGCAACAGCAGCAACAGCAGCAACAGCAGCAACAGCAGCAGTAGCAGTCAGTATCTCGATCGCATCTCGGCTCGCATTCAACTCACACCGACCGACTTTGAACTTTGGGAACGAGATCGGGTGGGGCCCCTGCTGTGTGTTAACGGCAGCAGGGAAGTTTCAGGCGGGTACCAGCGGGCCAGAGATAAGGTACATGGTGCTGCAGTACGCCTACACGCCCTTGCGCCCTTACGCCCTTACGCCCTTTTACCCCAGCGACAGATAAGGTGAGAGAGCGGGGCTTCCCCGCGACTCCAACAGCGAGCGGCCCCCTCTCCCGTGACCGTGTAAGTACATCCCTCTCTCTCCCTTGCTTGACTTGACTTTCAATTATGCATCCTGCATCTTTTTCACACTCTCACTCTTACGACTCACCTCAATTGATGCTTGTACTGATGAAGTCGAGATAGCTTCAAGTCCAACGCTTACCCCACCTCCTGCTGTCACATACACACTGCATGCCAAGATGGTCTACCCGTTCGACTATCTCCAACACCGACGTGACTGGTCTGATACCCCAATGCCCCAAACGTTCGTTACCCGAAATGCGCCTAGGTTCACTAACACCAACGCTCAGCCAATTTAAGCAGTCTGAACGCGCGGATAGGATCCGCCGCCTCACATCATACCATGGCCCCTTTTCGGCCCAGGACCGTCAGATCCTGGACCGGCCTATCGAGGAGCTTGTGCAGGATGTCCACAAGACGGTGCTGAAGCCCATCGACATCCTCAAGACGTACGGTAAGGTCGCCCTCAAGGCTCACGAGCGCACAAACTGCCTGACCGAGGTCATGATCGCCGACGCCGAGAAGTGGGTCGACGACGGCTCCATCAACATGAAGGGCCCGCTGGCCGGCATCCCCGTGAGCCTCAAGGACACCATCGTCGTCGGCGGCTACGACACCACCGTCGGCTTCAGTAGCTTCGTCGGCAACAAGACCCCTGACGACGGCCCCGTCGTGCGCCTTCTCAAGGACGCCGGCGCCGTGCCCTACGTCAAGACGAACCTGCCCATCACTCTCCTCAGCTTCGAGTCCACCAACGACGTCTGGGGTCGCTGCAAGAACCCACACAACACCCGCTACTCCCCCGGCGGCTCCACCGGCGGTGAGAGCGCCCTCCTCGCCATGGGCGGCCGCATCGGCATCGGCAGCGACGTCGCCGGCAGCGTGCGCGCCCCCGCCCACTTCTCGGGGTGCTACAGCCTGCGATGCTCGACGGGGCGGTGGCCGAAGCTGGGCTTCTGCACGAGCATGCCCGGCCAGGAGGGCGTGCCGTCCGTCTACAGCCCAATGACGCGGACGCTCGACGACCTGCGCTACTTCACGCGCGCCGTCGTCGGCATGCAGCCGTGGAAGTACGACTACAGCGTCCACCCGATGCCGTGGAGGGCCGACGCCGAGAAGACTTGGCTCGAGAAGCCGCGGTTTCGCGTCGGCGTGATGCGCACCGATGGCGTCGTCGACCCGAGCCCGGCCTGCCGCCGCGCGCTGGAGATGGTGGAGGCCGCCCTCCGCAAGGAGGGGCACGAGATGGTCGAGATCGACCCGCCGTCGCCGTACGAGGGGCTGCAGATCGCGTCGCTGGCGCTTAACGCCGACGGGTGCCAGATGTTCAGCACCTTCTTCCGCACAGGAGAGTGGAACGACCCGGGCGCCGCGCAGATGAAGTTCCTCATGAACCTGGCGAGCCCGCTGCGGTACCTGTACTACTTGTGGGTCAAGTACATCCGCAGGGACGAGGTCTGGGCCGGCCTCGTGCGGGATTGGCGCCCGCAGAGCGCCTTTGAGAACTGGAAGCTGGTGGCGAGGAGGGAAGCGTACCGGGCGCGGTGGTTCAGCTGGTGGGACTCGGCGGGCGTGGACGTCCTGATCACGCCGCCGAACGCGACGCCTGCCGTGCCACACGACGGCATGAAGGACGCAGTGAGCAGCTGCGGCTATACGTTCCTGTTCAACCTGGTAAGTTCGCGCTGCTGCTGATCGCTTGTCTTGTTAAAGTCCTCGGGCTAATCACGTCACCAGCTCGACTACACCGCCGGTGTCCTCCCAGTGACGCACGTGGACGAGAACCTGGACCAGCTGCCCGGTAACTTCAACATAACTAAGCTCAATGGCGTCGCCCGGGGCGCGTACAAGCTGTACGATGCGGAGGACATGCACGGCCTGCCCGTCGGCGTCCAGGTCGTCGGCAGGAGGTTGGAGGAGGAGAAGGTGCTGTCCGTCATGAAGAGGATCGAGGACGCTCTGGGCGATGACAAGTACAAGCTGCTGGAGGTCGATTGAGGTTCGGGTCTCGGGACTTGGAGGGAGATGCACGTCGTTTGGGCAGTGCAGTAGCTTTGATAGGCTTAATCGCGGCCCTTTGACTCGGCATGGCATGGCATGACATGGTACGCCGATTTCGCTACGAATCGGCAATGGCAAATAAAACATTCGAGATCAAGTGCTTAGAATCGACATCGTCCTGGCGAGCATGAATGCGATCAGGTCCCTTGTAAGTCGGGTCTTTGGTGCCCGTAGACTTGTTGGTTGGCAGCAATGCGGGGGACGGCTGCGGCGGCTAGGTCCGAGATCGGACAGCCGTCGCATCCTTGGATTTCATATCCCACCTAAATAAAGGATTGCGTGTAAGTCGTCCGGGAAGAGTTCTTGACAAGAACATAAGAAGCAGCGCCCGCTTCCACAGTGCATCAACTTCATTCTGGTCATTCTCATAGAGAACCCAATTCAAAAGCCTCCCACAACCTAGAAAACCATGGCGGAACAGAAAGAAGACAAGTGGTCGTCCGAGGTGCGGGCTCTCTTATCTCATACGCGCTGGTAGTCGTGCTTTCCGATCGTGACTGACGCAGCCCAGGCCTACCAGCACTCCGCCTCTTTCGTGCCCAAGCTGGCCACCAAGGTGGTGCAGTGGCTCGACGTCCAGAAGGACGATGTCATCCTCGACATCGGCTGCGGTGGTGAGTCGGAGCCCCCGGGCTTTTGCTCCACACTCAAGTTCCTCTTCCCGAAACAGTCCTAGCAGATATGGCGAGAGAAGACGTTGACATATGAGCAGACGGCGTCCTCGACGTCGAGTTCGGCAAGATCCTGGCCCAGGGGACAGGCTCCCTGCACGGCATCGACGCCTCGCCCGCCATGATCTCGGCCGCGAAGAAGGCGGTTGAGGGGGCGGGGCTGTCCAACTGCGAGTTCGAGGGTAAGCTCACACAGCCCCCCCCCCTCCCTCCATCCATCCATTCATCCCCGCCCTCACTCTCTCCCCGACTAACACGCGCGCGCAGTCCTCGATGCGACCAAGATGGCAACGTCCCCGACCCCGGCCCTGCACGCGCCCACCTTCACAAAGGCCTTCTCCAACGCGGCGCTGCACTGGATCCTCCGCGCGCCGGGGTCGCACGTGCCCGTCTTCTCGTCCGTCCGCGACGCGCTGCGCCCCGGCGGCGCGCTCGTCCTCGAGATGGGCGGGCTCGGCAACGTCCTCGAGATGCGGACGGCCCTCGTCATGGCGGTCGCGCGGCGCGTCGACGGCGGCGTGGCGGCGGCGGCGGCGGCGGACCCCTGGTTCTTCCCCGACGAGGCCTGGATCACCCGGGCGCTCGAGGAGGACGTCGGCGGGTGGCGCGTCGAGCGCGTCGAGCGCGAGTGGAGGCCGACGCCGGCGGACCGGGGCGGCGTCGAGGGCTGGGTGCGGCTGATGGGCAAGGACCTGCTGGACGCGGTGCCGGCGAAGGGGGGCCAGAGGGAGGAGGCGGTGCGGGAGGTCGTCGAGGTCCTGGAGCACGTCTGCAGGACCCCCGAGGGCGGGCGCGCCATCGGCTACGTGAGGCTCAGGTGCTTGGCGAGGAAGCTTTGATCACGGCCGGGAAGTGGAGGGCGAAGGAGAGGGGGGGAACAGGTACGATCCGTGAACTGCTTGGTCTCGGGCTGAATGAAGTAGTTCGACGGCGTGGTACTGGCAGCCTGTCTGGCGTTAGAGACCGTGTAGAAAGTCTAGCAAGGAACCGCCGTGCGTGTTCGGTTGTCAAATGACCATGGTCACATTCGGAGCTGATTGGCAACGATTCCATTCAGAGGTCGAAGAGAAAAGAGCATAACGTAAGGCATTAATTCATATCTATCATCTATATTGGAACCAAGAGCCTTCCCAGCATGCGACCCAGCGCCATGTACCACTGGGAATCAACGACCGGCGTCCGTTACAGTGGCTTGGTCGCAAACCCCAACTGATTATTGCCGCCGTGGAAGACGACGAACTGCGACTTGAGAAACACGTCCCCGTAGATCGCAAAGGGCAACTGGCCGACGCTCTGGATTCCTCCAAAGCACATGGACGACGTCTCGACGGTCTGCCCGTCCACCGGCGCAAACTTGATGAACTCGCCGGGCACGACGGCCTTGTACGTGCCGAGGTCGACGGTGAACGAGGGGATCTGTTGCTGGCAGCCGAAGACGAAGCCGCCGTTGGTCGCGTCAAACTTCGCGCCGGGAATGTTCTGGTAGTACGCCGAGACAATGGCGTCGGGCAGAAGCATCAGCGTCGTGCCCGTGTCGGCAATGGCCTGGTGCGGCATCGCGGTTGTCGCGCCGCCGTCGCCGACGCCGAAGCCCTGCGCGGTGAACTGCCAAAAGCCGGCAGTCGCGTTGGCGGGGATGAAGTTGATCTCCCCGGTGAACTCTGTGGTATCCAGGAAGCCGAAGTTGTAGCTGCCAGCTAAAAGATAAAAAAAAAGGGCTGTGAGTGTTCTGGTCCGGTAAAAAGGCACGAAGAAGGAAACAGGAGGGGGGGGACTTACCTGCGCCCTTTTTGAGGTTTGCCGTGAAAAGCGGCATCGCGAGGTTGGCCATGGCGTTCTCGAAAAACGTCTTTTGCTTGGCCGGTTGCACGGTGTTGATGGTTCCAAAGGCGAGGCCAACCAGTCCAGACTGGTTCGCGTTTCTGGTGAAGGAGGCAGATACCTGGGTCGCCGATTCGATGGCCTGGCTCTCAACCGTCACGCCGCCGATGGTGACGGTGTCCATGTAGACGTTGCCTTTCGACGAACTGCCGTCACCGTAAGAGATGGACCATGTCGCGCCCTGCAGGGCTTTGGCACTTGAGCTGGCTTGAATGTTATATATAGTCTGTCCCGCCACCTCAGTCACCGGCGTCTCGCTGCTAAAGACCCAGAGATCCGAGGACCCGGTGTCGAAGTCCAGGTTCAGCGTTTGAGGCGGAGTGCCGATCTGGACGGGGCAGAGATACTCGCTGTCGAACTCAGCAGGGATCGCCGCGACCTCTCCTTGATGATTGTGAGCTCGAATACGATGCGGACTTGGGCGTACACAAACTTACCCTTTGGAGGAGTTGCCGTGCCGTTGCCCTTTTTGCCGCCTCCATCCCCCCCTGGCGCCGTGGCTGTGCCGTTGCCTTTCGAGCCTCCAGCTCCCGCGCCTCCTTTGCCTTTTCCGTGTCCCCTGTGTCCACCGTTCCCTCCATTGAGCAACCCAAGTTCCGCGAGAATCTGGTCGATGAGCGAGAGTAGTTCATCCGGGATTTGCTGTCCAAACTTGGAATAGGCTCTGGCCAAAGCAACGGGCCCTCGACGAGAACCGTAGTAGAAGTTGGGGTTAGGCACCTGTTCAATCCGAAAGGCCGCGCCGCCCAAGGTGGCTATTTCAAACTTGACAGGTTTAGCATCCGCTGGATGGGCCACAAAAGGAATGAATGCTGCGACTGCAGCTGACAGCCGCATGATGACTTGGAGAAGGGAATGGCCTGGCGAAGGAATGAAGCCAGGAAGAAAGCTCGCAGAGCTGTATAATGACAAGACCGGAGAAAATGACCAAAAATCGTTCAACGAGTTTAGAGAACAGAAGGCCCATAAGAGTGGAGGACCATCGGGAGTTAAGCAAATCAAGCTTCTGCCAAGTTCGCTCTTCTCTGTGGCAGCGCATAGATCGACCAAGGGGGCCGTTTCGAATTGCGCGGAAACTCCATCGCGAGTTGGATCGCCAACCAGGCAATGACGAATCACAAGGGAAAAGAGGACATCCCACTATTATGGGGGTGCGACAACTGGATCTTGACTTCAGCCCCGGGAGCAGCATCTTCCGATCTTTGTTTTCCCGCCTCGTCCTTCCGCGGTTACGGGGCGAATTGAACTCGAGAAAGAGATTCGCGTCAAAGTAGAGGACCTGCGACAGTCGATCATTCGTATCCTCTCAGAACGAGACCGTCCTGCGGACACTGTCCTGTACAAAGAGGTGGCCAGCTGGAGCGGCCGTACACTTGGTCCGAAACACTACGAGCCAGACATGCGACCCCTGGCGAGAATCTCGTGATGCCGAAGTTCCGGGGCCGGGGTGAGAGCGCCGCCTCAGCCAACATTCTGTCCGCGGAAATTGACGAGGTCCATGGAGTAGAATCATGGCCATCGGTTGATACCGAAGAAGAATGGAGGCAGATACCCATCATCTGAACTCTGAATAGAAGCGAAAAGTTGCGATGAAGGCGGTTGGGTCAAATGTTGCCCTGCTCAGCCAGAAGCCAATCAGCACAGCGTGCACAAAGCCCGATGGGGAGCCCGACCGCAACTGTCCGACGAAAAAAGTTGGTCAGTGTGCGTGGAGGTTCATGCGGACTGAAACACCATCAATCCTCAATGGCCCATGTGAATCAGGACACCTCCTTATACCCCTCCGACATCCTGAAATGTAACGGGAAGCCATCCATGAACGTCTTAGCAGAAGTTGTCCATGGACACCGGCTACCCCCGAGGTTGCTTGCTATATGATATGGCCTCGGCCCCGGGGCTCGAGCTGAGCGTTGTACCTAAGATGCTGTCAATCCTCGGCGTAGCAAGGGATGTCGTCGGAATTGAGGCCAGGAACAAGCAAGGGATAGATAGTGCCATCGCTTGGCGGAGTCGATCGCTGCAAGTTTAATCTTTCCAACATGCCGCTGCCTTGATTTTGCGCCCAAATCCTACCCATCCTACCCATCCTATCATGTATTGGCCACTTCCTGAGTAAGAGCCTCGGTTGAACAACCAATAGCTGTTGCCGTCGGGGATTCTGCTTGATTCAAGGTTCAGAGTGTTGTTGTTCGTAGCCAAGGTAAGCTAGAGTTTACAGGTCGGTTCAGTAGTCCCGGCAGTGCACTGAAGACAGAAAAAGAAAGCCCCAACCAACTGGAGTCTGAGGCTGTAGCTTCCAGAATCTATGAGCTCGATTAGTCATCGACTGCCTGCCCCGCCACCCCGCCGGGACCTTTGTCGGGCCAGCCAAGACCTACGAAGCCAGTGACATACTAAGCCTCGCCGCCCGATTCAACGTCCTATCTCCGAAAAGGCATCCAGTCTTGTTACGCGTCTTCGTACGTGTCATTCACCACTTACCATGCGAATAACTTCATATCCGCTCTTCCCGGCCATCTACCCTCTGGCGCTTTTCTTTCTCTCTCCGATGCCCCGCCGTCATCTGTGACTTCATCCTACATTCTCTCCTGTTCTGTTCTTCCCGATTTCGGATATTGTTCATCGCACCTTTTGCTGCTGACGACAACACTACAACACCAAGATGCCGGAGCACGACGCTCTTGTTGCGACATACTCCCATTTGGCGGACTTCCCGCGCGCGAGCGATGCGCTTCGATCGCTGAAGAAGGTGGCTTCTCTGGTGAAGCCCATCATGCGAGCGCGAGGATGGAAGGTGCAAGAGCTTGCCGAGTTCTACCCAGAGCAAGCAAACCTTCTCGGTTAGTGTAAGAATGTGGCCTCCCTTGACTGGCGACTAACTTTGCTCTAGGTCTCAACATCAACAGGGGCCAAAGGATCCTGGTCCGTCTGCGATACCCCGGTGACCGATCCCTCTTCCTACCTATAGAACAGGTTGTCGACACCATGCTTCACGAGCTTTCCCATATTGTGTTTGGGCCACATGATAGCAAATTTCATGCACTTTGGAACCAACTAAGAGACGAACACGAGGCACTCGTACGCAAGGGTTATACAGGTGAAGGCTTTTTGTCAGAAGGTCACCGGCTGGGAGGCGGCCGGATACCCATGCATGAGGCTCGCCGGCTTGCTCGGATGGCCGCTGAGAAGCGTCGTTCGTTGACAGCCGGTTCGGGACGGAAACTCGGTGGTTCTGGACCTAGTATAGGCTCGGACATCCGGCGAGTAATAGTTGGTGCCATCGAACGCAGGAATAGCACTCTTCAAGGATGTGGCAACACCAACCACAACGACCGAGAAATACAACAAATTTCCGAGACAGCCACAAGAAACGGCTTCCGCACCCAAGCCGAAGAAGATGCAGCCAACGAAGCTGCCATCGCGCAAGCGCTGTGGGAGCTCGTACAAGAAGAGGAGCGTCAACGCTACGGCGGTTACTACATCCCGCCGAGCGCACAGAACCCCACCGGTAATGGCGGCGGTTCGGTCATGGGAGTTGACGGGACCAAAGGCAATAGTGTACCGCCTTCGATCCCGGGACCGGCGACTAGGCCTCCGCCGTCGCCGAATCCTCCACCATTGCCGAGACCCGAGACCCGGCCTCCTGTCGTTTCTGCACCAGCACCCCAGTCGGCTCCGCAACAGGGTTGGACATGCGGGGTCTGCACCCTTCATAATCCCGCAACGTTCCTCTGCTGTGACGCGTGCGGCACAGAGCGCGGCCAGGATGCTCAACGTCAGGCGTGGACGCCAAATGCCGAAAAGCGCGAACGTCAGCGGGCATCAGTAGCCGCGACGACGAGAAAGTCATCAAGGCCAGAGACGATCGACCTTACAAGCAGCCCGCCAAGGTCAAACGGCACCGGCAGGGCAAACGGCGGTATCCGTCAACCCCTGGGCCCAGCTGTACAAAAACCGGCAACTTGGCAATGTTCATATTGCGGAACGGTGATGGAGCGACAATGGTGGACATGTTCGACCTGTGGAGTCATGAAAGACAATTCACGCTGAAAGAGCGGGGATATCAGAGGAAGCAAGGGATGGATGAACTCGGAAGGCAGGAGAGAAGGGGGTCGGTCCACCGCTGGGTCCCTTCAGGGTCCAAATGACGACATTGTCGATGATACCCCTTGCGCGTGGAGGAGATGTAGTCCATGCACGCAGCATCAACGTCGTTTGTATTGTCGGAAACACGAAACGTAGGGCTGTGTCGCCAACCCGCGACGAAATGACATAAGAATCGGGCGGCCCGAAAGAGGAGACCGCACGTTGTGACCCTTGTGCCATGCTGACAAGACTAGAATGAAGGATTGCAATAAACACGAGTCATTGCGCGGGTGTGACATGAGTGGCATCTACCAAGCACGTGCATGCCAAACAAAGCGGCGCCATCGCACGGAAGCCCTCGAGTGGCACAGGTTTTCTCCTACGGGGCTCCGTGTGTCTGTGAGGTTGGCGTCTCCCAAGGGCGGATTCTGATAGTTTGGCGGCTGAACGGGCACGTTCAAGTATCGAGGGGTGGGCTTTGCTTATGACATCATGACGTCGACGTCTGACAGAAGCGCTTGGGCAGAGCCCGTGCAGTCCGGATCGATTGGTCTCAAGCCCAGGGTCAGATGATCTGCGTTACGCCATGGAGCTCTGGTGGCACTGCAGGCGCGCCGGTATGGAGAAACCCACCAGGGGCCCTGGTCGGGGCCATCGGCCATCCCAGTCTAGGCGTCTTGAGAGCCTGCAAGCTAGACCTGTTGTGGTGACAGATCTACGATCCATGGAGAGACTGCGAAGTCTAGACGCAGGGCAAGTGTCGGCAACCCGTGCGTCCTCGGACGGGACAGAGCCAGTTCTTGCGTTTATCCGGACACAGCGTAGCAGGCACGACCTTCCGAGTATGGGAGGGCTTGTGAGTGGACGAGGGATGCTACAAAGACTCACCAAAAGATGTGATATATGCGTGTGTGTATGTGTACAGAGTATGTTCCAGTCATGCGCTGGAGAAGAACCCAAACGAAGCGGTAACGCGCTGCGGATATGCAACTAAGCAGCACAAGGCCTTGCGAGCACAAAGTCGAGAATCGATGTGCGTACAGAGTACGGAGTACCTGGCAGGCGACAGCATACGCAAGAATGATGGGATCGCCATATACGTAACGTTGATCGCGCTTTTGCGACAGCTGGAACGGACGAGGACGATGATGGGAACCAGCGGCGTAGGACGGTGTCCCTGAACGGAGATCAATTCTCATTTGATGGTGTGTTTGCGCCCCGTTCGAACCATCTCTCTTCCGCTACGAAATACGATACGGTACCACAGAGTGTTGGTCGGGCCTGCTTGGCTCGGTGTATGTCGCATTCACAGCCCCGATAAAGAAAAAGGGCAGAGAGCAGAGACACAGTGAGAGACCGAGACCGAGACAACCCTCACAGGAAACAGCCTAAGGAAAATGGCAACCGGGGTTAAAAATTCTGGCGGTTAGGGGACGCCTATCAGACTAGACAGGCCTCGCAGACCGGGCTAGGCACGCGGATCGCAGCGGGATGAAGGAATGATCAGCGAAATGTCGCCCTCGGCGAAAGAAAAATGCCCCGAGTGCTGGCCGTAATGCGGTGGGAGATGCGACCTCAAGAGGGGCGCCTTTTATTCGTACCTCAGTGGGAGAGCTCGCCTGGTGGTGGTGGTGGTTATGGTTGTTGGTGTATCTTTGGCCCGTCGGTCTGCACTCCGGAGCGATATGAGTGTCCTAGTCGGGGAAAGATGGGCAGTTGGGGGGAAGCCCGTTTCCTATTTTCCCAACTCATTCCCCGACTTTCCAACCCGGAGAAAGCACGCTGACTGTTGTTGAGGTTTGCCTCGGCGACTGGGGATTCCTCTATTGCCGTCATCGCGGACGGACAATTTCCAGACCCATCGCCGTCGTCACGCAGCAGCAAGGCAAGACCAAGTGTATGTAGGCCGACCCACGCAAGATTCTGTCGTGTGCTTGGCTGGGGGGTTTGGGCAGCATGGGCAGAAAAAAAAAAAACACAGAGGGAAGCCCGACGCCCTGGCAGTCGTGCAGTGTAAAACGAGGCGATACATCGGCGGAGGTGCCCTGCGGATGCACAACTCCCTCCTTCCCCGTGGTTGGGCCTCTCATTTCTACCACACCACACCATGGTCGATTCTAGTGTACAGGCCTCTCTCTCTCTCTATTGTGGGGTATTTGTGGGTGTTCCCAACGGATATCATCGAAGCCGTTCCATGCAGAGCAGGCGAGGCGGTTTAGTACATACGGTGAACTGTGTGTGGTGTGTACGTTCCATGCCACAACGAATGGGAGACCCCGGGGACTGCAGCATCTTGATCGCCTCACCGGCGAATCAGGCAACATGGGGCGATTCGCTGGCAAGACATATGTACCGTTGCGGCAGCAGCACCAGCAGGCATCTCCAAGCGACCCAAGCTTCGAAAACCAGTGTAAGGGGGTGAAGAGCATTTTGGTCCCGAGAGGAGCTTGGGGCTGTTTGCAAGGCGAAAAAGAAGTGAGGGACCCCCCTCCCCCCCCCCCCACCCCACGATTCGGAGGGAGATAGGGTTGAAATCGGGAGGCAAGCCGGTCGCTGGCGGCGTCTGGTGTCCCGAACAGCGTCGAAACCATGGAAGACCCCCGTCTCTTCGTGTCCCTCGACGCTGAAAGGAAGTTGGCACGTCGGGTGGTTGAATGGTAGAATTGGACTGACGCAGGCAGTGGGCAGAAAAAAAAGCGAGAAAAAAAAAAAGCCAAGAAAAGTCTGCCCTCGTTATGGACTAACTTATGAGGGCAAGGGGGACGCTCCTTGACCGGAGGCATGACCCAGGCACGCGGACTCAGGGCAAGGTCAGAGTTTCCAGCGGTCAGCACAGGGTTACGGTCCACTGAAGCATAGTGGGTGGGGGGCTAGACACGGCCATAGTACGTACCTACCTCACCACAGAGGCGCATACCTAGGTATTATCTATGCTTGATAGTTTAACATTAATTGCTACAGCATACGTATCGTAGTACTCCTGGATCATATACCAGGCGAGGAGAGAAACGGCGATATTTGGTGCCAAAGAGGGGAAGAGGAAGCAAAAAGAAGGGTTCGCCGACTTCGCCTGGACTATACGTGTAGGTATCAGGAGGGTGGTAGCCAGGCGACTTGGGTAGGGGGGGGGGCTACGTACTTTTTTGACCCCATCGACGCCTTTCACCAATTCCATGTTGTCCTGCGCTCGACTTGTGCATCCGCCGCCCACTTTCCCATGGGCGACAGGTCGGGAATGCGAGTCCTTGTGCCTTTGTGCCTTTGTACCCCCCCTTCCTGGTCATCTCGGATACAAGGATACCCTACGTACTACCGTACCTTACATGATTGGTAGGTAAGCTTAGTAAGCTAACGCGTTTTTGTGTATATGCAGAAAAGGGAGACACACAATGTAGCCAGTACCAGGCAGTTTAGCCCATCGCCTGCGGTTGCATTGTGTCAGTGTGGCCACTGAAGATCCCTCCTCCCCCTTCTTTGGAATGCTGGAACGGAATGGATGGCCACCGGCTCGGTGGAACACTCTGTCTGAGATACTGCTCATTGTCGCCTCCCCACGCCCGCCCGTCGATACCTAGTATAGTGTAGTGTAGGTAAGGTACCCTGGACTGTGGATTCTGGACTCTGGAATCCTTCCTCGCTTGACCGAATCGGGAATCGGGGACATTGACCCATGGAATGGCGAGAAGCAAACGGGTCAAGGTGTGCGGGTTGTAGTGTAAGCCTGCAAGGCGAGGACGAGGATGAGAGCGGCAAGATTTGCCTTCGCGATGCGTCTCGTCCCACGGTCCGAGCAGAGTCCAGATAACAGAACGAACAGAACAAGAGGACAGAGAGACCAGAGGATATACGTCGTAGTAGTACGGATACACTACCGGTATGCGTACTACGAGCCACCACCCGGCCGAGCTTGGCCTCCAGATTTGGGAAACCCTCCCCTCCCTTTCTCCTCTTTTTTCCCCTTGCTCCCTGTCCTCCCATGAACCAGAGCCACGAGCCCAGTCCGGTTCTGGCCCATTGTTCCACATTCTCTTCCACCGCCGCCGAATCCCCCATCTAAGCACGCAGAGAATCCGCAATACGTGGGCCATTGTAGTCCCTGCCCAGTCACTCACCGCGTTTAGGTGCCTAATGTACGTAAACTACACGGACTGCGCGTGTGTGTTGTACCACCGCCCCCCCCCCCCCCCCCCCCCCCCCCTCCATCCCAGGTCACATACCCCCCAAGGCCTTTGCATGGGTTCGGCCACTCTCTCCTGCATCCCCTGATGCTTGATCGGTGTCGACGGGGGATGCAGCGCCTTCACTCTAAACAAAGTTTGGACTATGACGGTCCCCGATTCTGTTCGAGGACCTCTCTCTTGCTCTCTAGTAATAAACGTATACCGCATTCTTTGCGCTTCGATTTCCTAATTCCCCCCATCTTCCTTCAAAACCACGCTCCCCATGTTCCGATCCTCGAATCGTACACCCAAAGAAAAAGAAAAAGAAAAAAACCACCCACTACTACTAATCACCTACTGGCCTTGGTCTGGTCTTGGGCGATTGAGTGATATTTTCTTCTTTTTACCCAACGTGAGTGTGTGTGCCCGGTCCCTCCGTTCGGTTCTTCCCCGTTTCGCGAATCCTTCCGTTTTACCATCATCGCCATCCATCCATCCATCCATCCATCTACCTAGCCAGCTCCACTTCACTTCACTCTACTCTTCCACTTACCTACTCTGTAATCTTCTCCTCTCCCGAGAGCCAAGACCAACGGCGTAATAAGACTGCTGCAGACTTACTGCTGCACGCCGGCGTCTGAAGCTTGAGCGGCAGTCGTCTTTTGTATACCCCACCTCCATCTCTTCCCACTCCGCTGCTCTGCTCGTACGCCGTGTACATGGCATATCACCTGCTTTTCTGCACCTTCACCTCCTTCCGCTTCTGCTTCTGTTTCTTCCATCTCCCCCTCCCCTCCTCCTCCTCCTCCGCCGCCGCCGCCGCCGCCGCCGCCGCCGCTCTTAGCTCGCCACGTCTTCCTCGTTTCTCCTTCTCACATGGTTGTTGCGCTGCAATCTTAGACCTCTCACCATACCCCTTCCGGATCCAAACCCGCCATCCGAGCATTTTACTTTCTCCGTCGAGACAACCGCCCATCTAGACTAGACAAGACGGCGAGGTACTGACACGGACACACCCGCTATTTCTTAGTAAGCCGCTGCTGCTTCCTTGCTCACCCTACCTTGACCCTTCCTCCTCATTCCTTCGGCCGCTTCTTGTCCCCTCGACGACGCCACCGCCGTTTGCAGCTGAGCCTAACTTGTTCGAGAATCCTCTCCGCGGCGCCCCAAGTCTCATCTCCTTTCACCTCGACCGCTGCCGCAGGCCGTCTCGTGCCTGCTTGCGCCTCCCTTGTCAAGCAAGCCCTGACGGCTCCGATCCCAGCCGCCGTTGTCGCTTCCGCCAGTGCTTGATCCTTTGATCCAGGCCATCTTGAGAGACGTGCGGACTAACAGATAGGAATAGCGGCGCCCGCGCACACCTTCATACTCAATATCTTGTAGTGCCGAGACCGAGCCTAGGCAGTACACAATCACACCGCATTCCCAGCGAGCAGACCCGTCCGGAAACCGGTCCAGAATACGGCAGTCTAGAAGACCACACGCCAAGGGAAACTCACGCAAAATCGACTTGAACCATCACAAACGAGGCGCCGCGCCATGCTCTGCTCCGCCTCCTACCCCCCCACGATCCTCTAGCAACCTGCTTTGCCGCCACCGTAGCTGCTTCCTTCCTCCCCCGCCCACTCGACGAACCCGCTGTCTGACTTGGCTGCAATACTCGCCCACCACCTCGAAACCTCCTCTCCGCACATCCCTACCTTCCTACCAATTCGCCCTCACGCCGACGAGGTTCACCTGCGAGCCGCAGCTTCCCATGCGCGGGCGAATGCCGTCATGTCACCCCTCAAACCTCTCGTCGCCAACAACCACGCTCGTGGCAACGCTCCCGTAGTTGCCCCCCTCAAGACGGCTCTGCCGCCTTCTTCTGGAGAAAGCGGCTTCAACTTCGACACAACATCGCAACCCGAGATCGGTTCAATGCGCAGCGATGGCGCACCAAGCACGACCAGCAGTAGCGGTCGCTTCTTCCGCGAGAACTTGAACCTGGCAGCCGCCGACGGCAAGCGCTCACATTCTGCAAGTCCGTTTCGCATATCCATGCCTTACATCACCCCTGGCCAGCTCGCATTCTCCGCCATGCAATATCTTCCCGTCCCGTTGTTGGTCCTCAACAATCTCAAGACCGTGGTGCTTGCAAACGAAGCAATGGGCAGGATGCTGGGCATGACCGATGACGCGTTAGACGACAACTCCTACGTCGCCGAGAGGTTGAGGGGGCAATCGTTGTCCCAGGTGGGTATCGACATGATCCAGGAAGGGCGCCCCGTGTGGGTTGGGTGGGAAGCGTTTTTGGACTCCCTCGTAGTCGAAATGGGCGCGAGACAGACTTCCAAGGACGCCGCCGACCTGTTCGACCAAGGTTACGGCGGGGAAGCGACGCCGACACCCCATTCTCTGGCTCCGCCGTTGCTGGATACCCAGCCGAGCCCGTCGGCGGTCAAAGATGCCGTGGTCGATGTTGTCATTTCCAGGAAAGAGCTTGGTAAGCCCGGATACGATTCTCGGAACAGGTCAGGTGCATCGGAGCATCAGGTCTATGCCAAGATGATTGTGACGATATGGGAAATCGAGGATCACCAGGTCTACTTCACCCTGACCTTTACGAGCTCTCAATCACCGTCGTCATCGCTCGTCTCGAGTCGCAAAGCCGTGGCAAAGCCCGCCATTTTGGAGCAAGCGGAACGCAAGACCATCTCAAATTCGAACCCGCCCTCCGTCAGCTCTAGTCACGACTCGAGTTCGCCGTCGTTCCGTATAAGCCCTAGCGCGGTCTCGCTGTCGTCGAGCCCGTTTCCTCCCATGGGCCCGCCCTCTACAGCAGCACACGCGGGCACGCCTTCTATTTTGCAAAAAATGATTCTCATGAGAGACGCCCTGCTCGACAACACAACGATGCCCATTCTTGCCATGTGGAAGGATGGCAGCGTAACGTTTCCCAACCGGGCCGCCCGTGCCCTCCTGCGCCACGAAAGCGATTTGGAAAAGTCCGCGGATGGATTCGACCTACTTCCCGGGTGGACAGTATACGACGCTGAGTTTTCTAGGGAGCTGGATGTCAGTGAGTACCCCATTTCCGTCCTCCTGCGGACGGAGAAGCCGTTCAGCAATATGCGTGTCGGAATGATCGTCGACAACGGCGAGAGGAGGGTTTACGACGCCTTGGGAGAAGCGATTCGAGACGATAGCACGGGCGAGTTTTTAGCCGGCGTGGTCACCTTCCGAGATGTCACTAAGATGACGGAAGAGATTACTGAGATAAGGGAGCGGGACGAGGAGCGTTTCAAGCTGATCTGCGACACTATGCCACAACTAGTATGGACGACGCGAGCAGACGGCTATCACGACTTCTTCAATACTCGTTGGTACACTTATACGGGCCTAACACCCGAAGACTCTTTGGGGCTTGGGTGGAAACATCCGTTTCACCCGGACGACATGCCCGAAACCATCAAGAGATGGAGACACTCACTAAAGACAGGCGACCCGTACGTAACCGAGTATCGGTGCCGCAGCAAAACTGGCGAATGGCGGTGGATGCTGGGCAGGGCTCTCCCGCTGAGAAATAAGGAGACTGGCGAAATCGAAAAGTGGTTCGGAACCTGCACAGACGTGAACGAAGGCATCGAGGCCAAGCTCGCGGCCAGGAGCACCAGGCAGCAGCTGCTAAGCGTTCTAGCGCACTCCCAAGTCACGATTTTCACCGTCAACACCAACCTCGAACTCACAATGTTGGAGGGTGCTCTCATCTGGGACAGCAACGGAGAAGGCAGCAAGCCTCCTCACTCGAGCTGGTTCATCGGACAGAACATGTACGAAGCCTTCAACCATCTCAACCCTCAGCTCAAGACCGGGGAGCACCCAAAGTTTCTGCGGCCCGTCGAAGACATCCTGGCAGGCGGGAAGACGGAAGAGGTTGCAGAACACGGCATGGATGGCCGTTGGTACCGCACGCGGTTCCTGCCGATTCTCGGCAAAAAGACCAAGGAAGGCATCAGCACCAACGAGACGTGCATCGAGGGCGTCATCGGTGTCATCATGGACGTCAGTGAGCTCAAGGAGAAGGCCGAGGGTCTCAAGGAGGAGTCCCGCGAGAAGAAGCAAGCGATGGCCAATGAGGCGGCCGCGAAAGAGGCCAACCGACTGAAGAGCCAGTTCCTCGCCAATGTTCGTGGTAGCCTATCCCGATCACAGAAGTACGCTGACAGCTGCACAGATGTCCCACGAGATTCGGACGCCCATCACTGGTGTGATCGGCATGGCCGAGCTGCTTCGGGACATGGAGCTCGATGCCGAGCAAACCGAGTATGTGGAGAACATACAACGGTCGGCCAACGCGCTCTTGACCGTCATCAACGATATTCTCGACTTTTCAAAGGTCGAGTCGGGACGCCTCGATATCGAGGAAGTCCAGTTCTCCCTGTCAGTCATCGTGACGGACGTGAGGAAAATGCTGAGTTTTGCTGCCGAACGGAAGAATCTCGACTTCCGTTCAGATATCTCCGGAGAGGTAGAAAACGACTTGGTTGTCATTGGAGACCCCGGCCGCGTACGCCAGATCATCACGAACCTATTGACCAACAGCATCAAGTTTACAAACCAGGGCTATGTCAAGTTCTCGGTCCAGAAGGAAAAGGAAACATCAGACAGCATCGTTGTCAAGTTCATCGTCGAGGACAGCGGCATCGGCATCGAGGAAGAGGTTCGGAAGAAGCTCTTCCAGCCATTCAGTCAAGGGGACGCATCCACAGCGAGGAAGTTTGGCGGTACCGGCTTGGGCCTGACGATTTGCAAGAACCTCCTGGAGCTCATGAACGGTAACATGACTTTGGAATCTACGCTGGGCAACGGAACCGTCGCGACATTCTGGGTCCCGTTCAGCAAGCCCCAACAACAACGTGGTGGCCCCTTGGTGCAAATCGGTTCTATACCGGACAGGCTGCAGTCCGAAATGAGCGTGTCATGCAACAGTTCTGAATATGAGCCACTGCTCAATACACCCCCCGCGTCTGGCGACTCTTCACAGTTTCTTTCGGACAAGAGCAGATCGCCCGCTCGACGGCTCTCCGTTCGAACGCCACCAGCCTCGGAAGAAGAGATGCTGCCTCATTCCGAACGCGCCAAGATCCGTGTCCTGGTGGTCGAGGATAAGTAAGTTATCCCTCAGTCCGTAGTTGCGCGTCGTGCTCTAACCTTAGTTTTCAGTGCCATCAATCAACAGATCGCCACCAAGACAATCATGAAGCTTGGATTCAGCGTGACGGCCGCATGGAACGGAAAAGACGCTCTCGAATACATGGCGGCAGCCAAACAAGGTAAGCACGCCAAGCCAGACATCATCCTCATGGACGTCCAAATGCCTGTCATTGATGGCTACAAGTGTACGCATCTATTGCGGCACCACGTGCCATACAAGGCGTACTTGCAAGACGTGCCCATTGTGGCAATGACGGCCTCGGCAATCCAAGGCGACAAGGAGAAGTGCACCAGGGCGGGTATGGATGATTACCTTGCCAAGCCAGTTAAGAGCAAAACACTGGAGAGGATGTTGGTTCGATGGAGTTTGGCCAGGAGGCCACAAAGACCCGTCGTCAATAAAGGCTCAGACAGCTCGATGTCGGACTGCTCAGACACGGCCGAACACTGCAGCAATGCGGAAATTCCCGGTGTCGGGCACGATCTGCCGGATTCGACGTCGCCACTGAAATCGACGCAAGCCGCCGCACATTCGAGGCGACAACAAGACCAGAGCCGAGAGGCAGACGTGGACAGCCGGGGTGATCCGGTGACGCCTCGGCCTCTGACCAGGAACAACTCGTATGAGCCGTCGCCGTTTGATCCCCCGACTTCAGGAGACCCCATCAAACCGATGCGACGGTCCGAGACGGATGAGCTCGCTTTGCAGGCCCAGCAAGGGAAGCTTATGGACGCTGCCGGGGACAAGAAGCTCCCGCGGCGAGGAGAATCGTTTCAGACGGTAGTCGCGGGCGATTCCTTGACGGAGGAAAACGTCGAGAGATTAGAAAAGGAGGAACATAATCGAAGATGATAACCACGAGGAGTTCGAACAGCCTCGTATCTTTCTGTGTCTACCAAAGACAGCCAGCACTACAGCGAGGCGCAAGGATGACGTGCCTCTTTTAATTTCTTTAGCAACACAATAGGACTGTACATATGGGTAGAGGAAATAAGGGAACAAAGGGCCGGAGCGCGGCAGGTCATGTTGCAATTTGGCATTTCGATCAGCATTATCATCATGAGGGGCAGGTTGGGATTCCCCGGTGACCGGATCGCACTGTGGAAACATATACAAAAACGGAGTGCCATCTTTTCCTTTTCTTCTCGGAAAACATGCCTATTTTTTTTCATTCTATTACTTTCCCCCTTTTGGCAAAGGAGAAGGGGAGAAGGATAGAAGCGGTTTGAGGCGAGGACCATTTGAGGGCTGGCATAACAAGGAGGGAGAGGCGCGAGGGGATGGGTCTCATGGCACCGAGCGGTTTTTTTTTACTGTATGCGTACATCTCGGTAATGCGTGCCGAGACAGGCCATCGATTGGGGATTGGCAGTGACGAGACTCTGCTTCCTGTTGCTCACGAGCTCAGGCTTTATTTTATTCAATCGAAAATTGTAATTTTCCCTTACGATCAAGACGATGCGGCTCGATTAAGACTCGAATCTCCAAAGATTAACTATGTACGGCCGAACGATGACTTGTGTTAGTTACCTCGAGCTGTGTCACCAGTATGGGCGCTTTGCTACCTACCCGGGAGGGGGGTTCTGGGCAGTGGCCAATGATTATGACCGGATGAATATACTGTACATTAATTCAGCTGGTACACATAGAGTAATGTGTCTGATTTTATGTCCCTTTTTGTATCTAGATCCACTCTCTTCTCCAAGTCTTTAAAAAAGCCTGTTAATGTGGTTTAATATTAGCTTGGTCTGAATGACTACACATAAATATAAAAAGACAACAATGAAGAGAACAGTCAGAGAAGGAGCTATAAATGACAGGAGTGATATACACGGTATATATATCTGGTACTTCCTATGTCAGGCGGGCAACGCCTGACCCCTAAGGTCACTCTAGGCATATTATGATGGGGCACTGTCTAACCCCCCCCCCCTCCTGCGTAGGTATGTAGCCTCCCACATCTTCCAGGCTCTATAGAGTGTGCTTATTTCTTTCCCTGCAAGTCAGAGTGGTCAACGGAGGATGCCCACGGTAAGGAGTTTCGGGAGTTGGTTGGTCAGCCTCCAGGCTACGCTGTCTGTCCTACCTCATTCCAACATGATATCCACTCGATCTTGCTTGCCAGAGAGAACCTCGCTATCCATTATGCCACTGACGTGGGCGTCTCCGATCAGCTCGTACATGCCCCGTCTCGTGGGTCTAATGACAAAGGGGACCTCGAACCCGAGCAGGACGCAGATCACGTCGCCCACCCTCGCCTCATTCGGTGACATGCAGAGCCTGCTCTCGGCCGTGAGGCAGAGCCGCCGCAGGACCCCGAAGCCGAGGATGCTCCTCTCGATCGACAGGCCGGTGGCTATGACGTTCAAACGCGCCTTCTCCGCCTCGCCCGGGTCCTCTGAGGTGAACCACGTGTCCATCCCGGTGACCATTGCCTCGAACTGCTCTGATAGGTCGACGTCGATGCGGTCGCTCAGCTGGGCCCGCTCGCACGTCAAGGCCTTCCACAGGGACGCAAGCCGCTCCGGGGCCAGGTCCCGGACGTTCTCTGAGCCCGAAGGCGACGCCAGGCGCACGCACGCCCTGTAATAATCGAGGTGCTTCAGCACGTGCCGGGCGGTCAAGGTGTTCATCTTGTCCAGCGGGTGCGGTATCCGTGCGGACTTCGGCGGGAGCGGCAAGTCAAACATGAAGACGCCGCGGTCCTTGACCATGTCCACCACGATTCCACTGCAACGGAGAACCTTGTCGTCAATGACTTGGATGGTCCCGGCCTCGGCTCCGCCGCCCGAGAACTTACCGTATCTGAAGGTGTAGGCCGGCAGGGTTTCGGCCTCCTGGAGGCGGAGGTCGGGCACCCAGGACGGCAGGCCGGGCAGCCGGCGCTTCTGCCAGCGGACGTAGGGGAGTCACCACCAGGGGTAGGTGGCGGTCGAGTAGACCGTTTGCGGCGCGAACGACAGCACGGCGAGGCTGCGCCTCTCGAGCCTTGGCGAAGCGGAGGTAGCACTCCTGGACGGGCAGCGAGGTTGTCGCGATGAATGTCATTGTCTCCCGGCCTGAAGTCTTTACGAATTTGCAAGCGAAAAATATTCAAAACATGACCAGCGCAAAGAATATCCGGAAACGGCCTCGGGGACAAACCCCTCATATCGAATGCTCGCCTGAGGAAACGCATTCTGCCAGCTCAAGTCCCCAAAAGCGATTGCATATGCAGAGAGCAAACTCTCAGGAGGCCCGAAATCTATATTCGAGTACAATGGTGTCGGTTCTTCACCGTGCTCGGTGCAGAGGGCAGGCGAACGGCCATACAAGCCACGCTAAGGACACTGTGTACCAGAATGTCCCCCGTCTCTTCAAAGAAGACAGCAAGGCAAGTTCTTTGAGGGGCAAAGCACCCCTTACTGGCTTTGGGAGAAGCGTGGAATCTTACAGGAGCGCCAATCTTACCATTCTTCGACTATACGACTGCGAATTGTTCCACAAAGATGTAGAAGACCGCTTTACCCGAACCCCATCACCATGCCTGGACCCTCCGATCCCCAAAGATCTTTGGCCTTATTTTGATGTTCTAGACGACGACGACACGGAACTCGCGACCTCAACGAGTGAAGATATCCGCATATCCAAACAGCTTCGTCAAGCGATGGAGGCTTTGGCAAACGCCGAACCGAAGTTGTTTCCCGGATGGGATGAAGAGCTTCGACCTCCTTACGTGCAGATCCATCACGCGAGCTCTTTCATCTGAATGAGGGCAGATACTGGAGATCAAAGCCGGCATGCCATTCAGTTGGTGGACTACGTAGAGGACACGTTCGGGCCATTATACGCCGAGGCTGAGCTGCTGTTTTCCCAAGGGCTGATGAAGAAAAGCCACATGAGGATGCTTTTCCGCCCTGACGAAGCTGTTGTCAGTTTTGAACAGGAACGGCCAAGGGGATTCGTCACTTCTGGAAGCTTGCTCACGTCGAAAGTCCCCTGGGAGCTGTGCTACTTCAGCTGGGAGTTCGACGAGGGTTTCACTAAATAAGAGAGAGTCTTCAAACTTGAATGGCCATCAAAAGAGGAGGGTCCCCTGAACATAGGAGAACTTTCAATGTACCCGTTGCGGTTGGATCGAACGGGTTCATTCGAGGCTGCATTGAGGAGATCCGGCGAAAAGTTTTGGTCGTGTCGAACGCGAAGATTCGTTGCCTACGACGCACCAAGTCCGCAATTCGAAATCCGTGCGGTGGGAAGCCCGTGTCTCGTAATATCAAACCATTGAAAGCTGACACCACACAGTCTAACCCAAGATACATGGTCGATATGGAAATGTACAACACTCTTCATTCAAGTGACGATGAGCAGGAAGAGGCCCCTACAAGTACACAGACCTTAGCGTACGAAGTCATGTGCCGAGATGAGCCTCCAAGTGGGCATTTCTTACTGCTACTGCCGCCAACGATTCTTGGTTTTGGCATGCATGACAAGAAGTGGAGTGAGTTGTGACCAGTAAAATGACGAGTCTCTCAATGGACGTGACTGATGAGTCTTGACTTCGACAGGAACGTTGCAGGTCGAGCACATCAGTGCCATCGAATGGAACAAGAACGCTTTCGAGCAGCTAGTACTAGATTACACCCATAAAGAGCTCATCGAAGCTGTGGTTCGGGGACACGTCTCGTCGGATGCGTCTCCTGATATTGTTGAAGGCAAAGGGAGAGGCGTCTTGCACTCATACGGTACAGTCGTTTTGCTGGATGAGAGTGATATATTTCTTGAGGAGCGCGAAAAGATGGATCTGAAAAGGAACGCTCTGGTGTCTGTTTTCCTCCGTGTCTTGGAGTACTATGAAGGTATCCTAATATTGACTTCTAACCGAGGTATGTGCTTGGCGACAGGAAACTGCCGGGCCCCGATCAGTTTGAAACCTTTATATTGGAGACTGCTAACCGGTACCAGTTGCCCATTTCGACGAGGCTTTCAAATCACGCATGCAGCTTACCTTGCATTACCCACCCATAGACCTAGGAGGTCGCAAACAAATCCGGGATAACTTCATCGATCTCTTGAAGCAGAAGGAAGTACTAATTGAAGCGTCACATGGCTCTGACCGCCCTGAAGGTGAAAAGGTTAACATTGCCATGTTGAAAGCAAGACGAGACGCACTGGCCGATGCAGAGTTGAATGGTCGCCAAATTCGGAACGTCGTTTCGACCGCACGCCAACTCGCCAGATTAAGAAACAAGGCAATGAGCTTTGGACATCTGCAAGCAACTATCAAGACCGTCAACGCTTTTGAAAAGCATGTGGAGCAGACACACGGCCATAGCGCGGAAGAATATGCTCGGTCAATACAATCACGGCTTGAAAGACAAGCAGCGATGAATCCGGCAATGAAACCCAGTTTCCGACGCTCTGGAGCAATTGCAACGTGCTCTGCGTTCGATTGGACCACAAGTTTGTTCTTGGAGCGAGAGACTTGTGCTTGATAAGAGCGTCTTCTGGCGAGCGTATAGGTCTCAGCACTCCTAGAACGTGACTGAGATGCATGTCTTGCAGCCGTGGTTTCATGTCTCCAATATCCAACTATATCCCTCTGAGACTGGCAGTGTCACCTATTCAGCTGGTTAGAGTGTGATTCTTGACTTAAGGGTTGGAGAAGAACAATGTTACGTTGCGCAATTTGCAGTACCAAACCAACCATGCCTGCTCCGAGACGTTTGGTGGTATTGGATTTCTACTTTTTGGGTCGCGTTCTGCAACTCATCCAAAGCTGTGCATTTGGCCTTTTGGAGCCAAGCACTCGCCTGCTCATCTCCATTGAGTTCTGTTTCCAGGTAGCGAACCGCATCCTGATATGCCTCTGCTGCGATATCTCTGGACCTATTACTACGTATTAGCTTCTGAGATGGCCATCTTGCTACAGGCAAACGTACATCTTGGTCGCTTTGAATGAACCCGAAGGCACCACGCGGCGGTTGACATTCAATAAACGCTATTGACTGACCAATGTGAGGTTAACGACAACAGGGATCTCCACGAAGAGTCACTTGTGGAAGCTAGGTCCCATTATTGATACCACAAAATTTCGGCCAAAATTGCCGCGGATCAATGTATCCAGAGGCCGTCTGAAGCTGGTTGAACGGAGATGTCTGCTGCAGCTCATATTTCGCCTGTATGATTTGGGTTATCGTTGGCTCGCGGGCCGGATTGATGAATATCTCGCTACCGACGCCCGAGCCGGAGACGAGTACCTCTCCTTTACCGACATGTATCTCCACCACATGGCTACGGAGCTCGCGGCCGCGATTATGGCCCGCCGGAAGTTGAGACTTGGTAGTATTTGGCCCAACTCGAAGCCTAACGCATGGTACCGCGCTATCTTCGTATGGTCCGACCGGGACGAGGATGGGTTGCAGCCACCGGCAACTTGGGCTTTTACATCGGCAAGGAAGGCCGCTGCTGGCTCACAGGCGCTTGACCATAACGACATCGACCGCCACGTCTCTCTCACAGTCGATGCGGAATGTCTACAAGGGGGCGGCGCGCCTCAACTTCGCGTACGCGGGTGGCTTCTGGGCATGTGCTTCTTCAATGGCCGTCCACGTACTAAGGTGGTCTTTCCATGGCCACGAGTGCTGTGGGAAGTCAGACCGTAGCTTTGGAGAAAGCTGGTTGTTTCTGCAGCTACCATGGCTGTGAAACGCTTTGGATACCTCCTCTGGAACCAATCATTGTAGCTGGTTGTGTGCCTGTTGGAGAGGTTTATGGACGATGACTTCCAGAAAGCAGTGGGGAATGAAGACGTCGAAGTGCTCGGCTCCACTTGACGTCCGAACGACGTCTTCGAGGTGGAGGAGCTTCTCAGGTACTCGTTCACCTGTCTCCGCGGAAGGAAGTAGCTCATCGTCGACAGATCAGTCGCAATCAGCGAACGTCTCTTGCAGTATGTATTCATGGCAAAAAATCAACTCTATTTCGATCATACCAAGTACAATGCTAATTCTGGAGTCGAGTGTGGTGTGAGTCACTCAGGACAGCCAATCGTAGGTCGGCTAAGCCGCGCGCCGTTCCGGGCGATTCGCCAGGGCTGAACGAACGACGTTGGTGGGATGGCCTGTGGGCAAAGATCGACGCCGGATGGAGCTCCGGTGCGGGCAGCGCGACAAGAGGGGTAGACGCACAGACCGCAGTAACCGCCGGGACTACTCTCAGCGGAGACCATGTGTCGTTTAGCCGCCGACCTTGGACTAGGGGTCTGGAAGATAAGGCGGGTGACGGGGATGGAGAAGCTTATAATCAGTGGCAGACGTCAGTCAGCCCACCAGTGTTGTACAAACTCGTAGAAGAGCATTTTCGTTCCCAACCGATCCTCCGTTCAAGAGTCACACAAGCCAACAATCAGTCCGGCCGAAAATACGGCGTCAAATGGACCCACTTTCCATCGGGAGCGGCGTTCTAGCCGTTGGAAGTTTCGCCTTCACGGCCTGCACTACGCTCCACAGCCTCATCCGCAGCTTGCAAAGTCAGAACAAGGACGCCCGCGCGCTCAAAGCGGAAGTCGGCGACTTGGCCGGGGTCTTAAGCTCGCTTCTGGAGACAATTGCGAGCAACCCAAACCTCGACTTTGAATTCCTCCAGCAGCCGCTCCGACGGTGTGGTCAAGCTTGCGAGGAGTATGGCAAAATCATTGCTCAATGCACAAAGCATTCCAATGACACATCGCGACCCAGCGTACGCGACTGGATCACGCAGAAGTATCTCCAAGGAGATATCAACGACTTCAGGGCCATGCTTGCCGCACACAAGTCGACCATTAATATCGCTCTTGCGAATGCCAACTTGTGAGTGAAGCTGCGTTGATTTTTGGACATCGCGCTGACCTCTGTCATCTCGCAGACGCATCGCCGCCATCTCGCCCGAGGTTCTCGACAGTTACAAGGACATGATTGCCGACACCACCAACGATCTGCAAACTCACCTGCAGGATATGCAGGAGAAGATCGACCGCCTCAAGGCTGGGGATGTTGAAGCTGTTGACCAAGTGGCACTAGAGTGGCATGCCTTGGCGGAAGAAAAGGAGAGCACCAAGCAAGGCCTCGAAATGTGTGCTCGCTTGTCTGCCCAGATCAATCAGTTCGAAGCGGCTTCGGCGGAGTCTGCTCAGTATGCGGAGCGTCCCTCGGCACACAAACACATCAAGACCGGCCTGAGTCAAGCTGGACAGTCCATTAAGTCACTCGTAGACCGGCTGCAGTCCCATGAGGCGCTCATCAGCAGCCAGCTGGAAGCGATGACTCTACAAGGGGCACTATCTGAGCCCGTCGCTTCCCAGCTCGAGCGCCTCCAGCAGACAAAGGAGAGCCTCAGCCAGTGTATCCGCATCGTGTCCGAAGCTGGCGAGCTAGCCAATGAACGCAGCAACGTCTTTGAGGACCTCACCTTGGCAGATAATAGCTACGCCTTTTCTGTCTCGACAGTGAACGATCTCGTGACAGCCCGGCGACTAAACCTCAGCGGGCGGTCTCGGCACTTTGGTGGGCAGGTCACAGACGAAACTGTACAAAAGTCTATAGACGCTCTCACACAATTGGACACGGAGCATCTTCGATACTCAGCCGGGGTGGATGGCCCTCGAAAAGCGACATATTCTGCCACGACAACAAATGGCTCGACGAACTCCAGGACTTTTCGTGATCGTTTCGGGCGGGGAGTCACACTAGCAGCAAAGAATGAATAAGATAGCGTCCAAGGTGTAATCCCGATCATGATTGCAGTTTGACACACTTGTATTTCATGTTTATACAACTACACAATACTTAGCATGCTTCGGTCCAAGCAGCCGCCGCTAACCTCCAGCACCTATTTGAAAATGACTCCCTGACACGAAACTCTGTCCGGACCCCAAGGCTCTCAGCAAATACGGAGGGTTTCTTTTGCACCTTCCCTCTGCTGCCTGTTTGGCACCTGCCACTTCCACGGCAACCACGAAGCAGCTACAAGTACCTGCCTAGGTTAGGTACTTCATGCCTCAGGGTGTACCTAAGTACCCGTCGGAGGTACGTACCTTACTGATTGCGCGTACCTAGCCTGTGTGTAGGGTACCTATATATACCTGCCCATCCTCCCACCTTTTCAACCTTTTTCTCTTCTTCTCTTCTTCATACTTACCTTCATGGGGGTGCTGGGGATCAAGAAATCCGGCATCCAGAGTGGGAGGCCTGCATTGCACATCGCGGTGTCGACCGCTCTCGATTGTCCTTCGGGACCATCGCTGTGGCAATTTTTGATATATCAAAACTCGAAAAGTTTTTCATTGTGTCCGCTTGCCTGGTGCAGCGATACGAAGAAGGACGCGGTGGCTTGCATGGCACCTCGATGAGGGCTGTTGCTGATGCTGCGGAATGAAGTTTTAAACCTGGATTGACGCAGTTGTTCCAACAATGAGTGCACACTGGTTCATTTGGCCCGTTTATCATGCTGAAAACGCCAGGCAGATTTCTATTGAGCGCGGAGGGGGCCCTCATTGACACAACGGTTCTATGTTGACGAGTCAAAGACACTCATTATTGTGGCCGGAAAACGCAGCGGTCCATCAGAGAGACACCTGCGCTCAAATGCGACCGAGGATCCGTTAAACACAGCCCGTGATAATATTGATGTCTTTTGAACATCTAGGTGGTTTGATGCACCCCAGTGTAGCTCACTTCGCGGGGAACAGCCCAAGTGGAACGCTGGAACGTCGCCCCGAAAATTGCATTAGGCGCTGGCGCAGAGTGCTAGCTTTGGAAATACTGAGCAGAGACAGGTGTTTGACGGTGTGCAGCAAGGCAAAGATTCCCTTACCGAGAGGAGGTCCCCAAATAAAACACTCGGTCCATTTTTTGATGACGATGTCTCTTCGTCCGTTGGCCAAGACCACCTTAGAGCGAGCTCTTATCTTAATATCGTGTCCATCGTCGTTTCTTTTTACATAGCTAGGCACCTAGCGTTCTAGATTTCAACTCTGCTTGTGTCGCAATATCTTCGTAGACCAGATTCTGACTTATGTTGTCACGTGCAGCTTGCAGGCCTGACGATCGCCTTCCACACCTGCCTTGCTAGCTCAGCTTTGCATCTGAGCCACCTCTCGGCTCTCACATTTCCTCGTTCAACCAATCCATCTCGCCAATTTATCTCGCGCGATTCGTATCTTTCTCACCGATACCAATTGAAACGGTGCTGGCTAATTGTCGCTGAGTTTTACTCATTTTCCTGCCCTCAAATTGAATCCCACATCCGGGCCGGCTTCCCAAGTTCCCCTCTGTGACGACATTTACAATGCTCGGCTGGTGAGCCTCATCTCAGCCCCGGTTTCATCAAGGATGTGTCGCTGAAGCATCAATTCCAGGTATCGGGCAAGACTCGCGGCTCGTCCGCTGCTCACCCAGAGCATCACCACCGGTGTCCTCTTCGCGACCGGTGACATCACCGCCCAGCAGCTCGTCGATAAGCGCGGCCTTGAGAAGCATGACCTTTCCCGCACTGCCCGAATGGCCCTTTACGGTGGTGGTATGTTCCATTTACTCCATCGTCGTCAATCGTGATGTCTCAATTGCATTGGGTGTTAACTATCTCAACAGCCATCTTCGGCCCCATTGCCACGAACTGGTTCAAGTTCCTCCAGAACAACGTCGTTCTCAAGAACAAGAACGCCGAGATCCTCGCCCGTGTCGTCGTCGACCAGGGTGTCTTCGCTCCCGTCATGATTGGCGTCTTTCTGTCATCCATGGCCACCCTCGAGGGTGGCTCGGTCCAGGAGAAGCTCGACAAGAACTACAAGACGGCGCTTGCATCAAACTACATGCTCTGGCCTTTCGTGCAGATGGTCAACTTCAAGCTCATCCCTCTTCAACACCGCCTCCTCTTTGTCAACGTCATTAGCATCGGGTGGAACTCCTATCTCAGCTTCTTGAACAGCAAGTAAGACGTTTCCTTGCGTGTTGCCTGGCTCGAGATGGGCAATAGGCCGGGAATGCTCATCTGGAGAGAGGGAGATAAGAGATCTTGGTTTAGGTTCAACATGGATCTTGCATTTTGTTAGCTCGGGTTTGGGAGCGTTAAAGTCAGCATAGACTGCATTTGGGGAATATAGATGGTCATGGGCACGACCAGCGGGGACATATTGCAGCATTCTTTTCTGCGCAAACTGAAACGACGATGTCTCCGAGTCATATTTCAACTATCATCTGGCTGATGTTGTAGACTGATGGACCCCGCAAGGGAGCGTGCCAGCCCAGCACCGACCAAACTCTGCCAGGCCAATAAGCTTGAAGGCGGAGCAACTAAGAAACACCGAGGAATCAATGATGTTTCCTTCTTCAGTTCTTGGAAAAACAACTTCATAGTTGACAGTATTGATGAGTGCCAAAAGACCGAATCAAGCCTCCGATTTAGCTCTCCTATCAAGACAGCCAAGTGGGCACTTCCGGCATAGCGCCCCCGTATTCCTTATCTCAAGTCGGACCATTTGCTGCAGCAAGACCGCCCGCACCAGACTATCCCTTCCACACCCCACCTTGGACCGGGATTCTTCCGCGACGGAGTCGGGCGTTGCAACGTTGCAAGCCAACCTGGTGCCGGCCTGGGAACTTGAGGGATACTGTCCCGAGAGCGGCTTTTCATAACACGCAAGTCTCACTTTCTTTCCAGCATTATTTACCAAAACGACCTATCCAACATGCCGGCTTCTAGTCTTCTCGACCGCCTCAACAGAGATGGTTTCGCTATTGTTCCTTCGATCCTTACGGAGGAACAGCTCACGAGGCTCCGGGACGCCACCCAGCAAGCCACAGCGCTGGCCCGGGCTGGTAAATGGCCGAATGTCCGGACTCTTCCGAAACAGTTCCCTCCGTGGCCTGTTGCTACACCCGAAGCACCCCCCGAAGGCATCTGGGGAGTGCAGGGCATGATGCACCCAGACATGCCCAATAGCGATGTTTTCATCCAAACCTACTTCTCGGATGCCGTCATCGAACCCACAAAGCAGCTGTTGCAATGCACCGATGATGATCTTGTCATGGAACTGTTCAATCTACTTGTCCGTCCGGACCAAGACTTTGAGCTTCGATGGCATAGAGACGACATTCCGGCGACAGCTACTGCTGAAGAGGAGATGGATCGCCTGAACCAGCCCGCATACTCGGCGCAGTGGAACTTGGCCCTTTACGATGACAACAGCCTCATCGTCGTTCCGGGTTCCCACATCAAAGCCAGAACGGACGTGGAGCGCAATGCAGATCCGTATGAGAAGGAAATTCCTAACCAACTATTCGTTGAGTTGAAGGCAGGCGACATAGTCTTCTATAACAACAACATCCTGCACCGCGGCGCGTACGTTGCCAGCAGGGAGCGCATGACGCTGCATGGAAGCGCGGGCCATATTAAGGGCAGCACCCTGCGAGCACGCAACGTCCTCCAACATGGCCTCAAAGGGTGGGTGGATAAGGTCGACTTGGGTGTGCTAGGTGAGAAGGAAAGGACGAGGGCAGAGAACATGCGGAGAATGCTTGTCAAGATGGGACAAGAAACGGGGGAGGTGGGATACTCTCTTGAGGGGTAAGATAAGCAGATATGGGTCCTTTTACGAAGTCAGCGTGGTGGTGTTGGTCAAGTTAATGCAAGAGATGCGGGAGTTTCCAAGGACAAGAGTCTTGGGGTTTGCCGCGGGCCTGGCGGTGTGTCATAACCGAGCGGTGAATTGCGTGAATTGCAGGAGTCACGGTCATGGGTTGTCGGCGCTTAGCTCAGTTCCCGTGACAAAGGATCCCAAGACCGTTTCGATCCCGCGGACGGACAATAAGAAGCGTTTCCGGCGTCGAGGTATTCTGGAACGCCAAACAACGTCATTCTTCTGGAATCAATACCTAGTTCAACGGACGAGAACGCTGTTTCAACGCAAGTCTATCGTCCATCTCAAAGCCTGGGGAAAGTGCGTAGTTGGCCTGTGCGCAGCTGATGCCTAAGTAACGAGGTGTCTGTGGATCCCCCGTGAGCTTTTCCTGTGGCGCGGCCAAATTCGGGTTTGACAAACATCAAACCGACTCTGTCGGCAACAAAGCGTAATCCACAACCACCTCCAACCCCCCTCGCAGCCGCCTTACGACTCCTCGAACTCTGCACCTGGCGACAATGTTGCCCTCATCGGTGCGGCGCGTGGTCGCCTCGGTGCCGCAGTCTCCTATCGTCTCCTCCCTCACTACCTCCGCTCCGAGAGCGGCTACGGCGACCATCACCCTTCACCCAAGACCTGGCGGCCACCAGAGACGATGGTCCTCCTCAAGCCCGTCCAGTCCGAACAACAACGGTTCCAAGGACATACCCGGTCAGGGCCAGTCCGTTCACGCTTCGTCGTCGTCCAACTCTAGCAACAGCAAGTTGACCGGCGAGAAGCGGAAACGGAAGAGCAAGGATAGCGTCGAGAAGGAGGTCGCGCAGAAGCTTCCCAGCGTGCCCAGCACACAACACCTGTCTCAAGAGGGTATGGCCCATAAAAGAGCCATCGTATGATGAAATCACTGACAAAAAAACGTGCAGCCCTGGGGTTGTCGACCTTTTTCTCGCTCCATCGACCGATATCTGTGACCCACAGCATGCCCAAGTCTGTGACCGAAGAAGCCTTCGCCGCCATCTTCAAGCCCCGGACCAAGGCGAACAAGGCCACCGACGTCATCTCAACACTATCGAGGACGACCGACGATCTTGAGGGCGCCATGGCTAAGATGACCATGGCCAGCCAAGAGTTGGATGCATCAGGCGAGCCCGTTCAGAAGATCGACCTCAAGCACCCCGACGGCAGCGAGTCAAGCGTCTACGTCCAGCTCAACGCCATGGCCGGACAGTTCATTCCCTTCCGCCCACCTCCCGCGCCCGAAGCCATGGGCGTCGCCGATGCTCACGCCGAGTCCGCCATAGAGGATGTCCTTGACGAGGCTCCCCACCACCGCGTCTACAAGGCCATGTTCACCATTGAGGAGACTACCGATGCCGACGGCCAGGTCCAGGTTCTTGCCCACAGCCCTAGGATCATGCAGGACGAGGCCCCCCGTTCGTTTCTTGAGCGCATGGCCCTGCGCCAGATGAAATTTGACGAGGCGCAAGGCCACGACACCATGCACGCGCTCAGCGTCAAGCGCCAACGCAAGTTGAAGATGAAGAAGGCGAAGTACAAGAAGTTGATGAAGCGCACGCGCAACCTGCGCCGCAAGCTGGACAGACTTTAAGTCGGGCGTGGCTGTATATACTAGCCCGCGGTTTTTCTCACTTTCTTCTCGAGCATATTTGGGCAGACGCTTTCTCTCATAATTGGTGTTCTCGGCAGGGCATCACTGACGGTTTCATATCTTTTTTTCTTTTGGCCAGTCCTTGGGCTTCATAGAGAGAAGAGAGAGACAACTTTGCATCAGATAGCAATCGTCCAACTGTTTGCATCCAGAGCCTTCACTCATGACCGTGCTGCAACCTCCAAAGAGACTCAGGGCCCAGACGGTGTAACAGAGAAAGGGAGATCCTGTACAACACAAGACTAAGAGTGTATTACTAGTTCTATGGGGAAGGAGAAAGGAATATTTCAAGTCGTAAAAGATTCCCCCCCTGATAGTGTCTTGAGATTGATTAGTTCCCCTGTGAATGTTGGTGATCGGCGAAGGGCGTGGCGATAAGTGAGCCGTGGGGTGGTCATAGTCGAAAAGGTTCTTGCACCCCACCAAGGTGCAGCCGCTTCTCGGCTCACCGCTCGGCAGAAAATGTTCTCTCCGCCAAATTTTTGGATTTCCTCGAGTCCGAGAATTGTAAGTTTGCGCCGCCTTCAGCAAGCCCGTACCCGCCAACTTCTGCTACCCCTCGCCAACTGCGAGCTCTGTCCAAGATGTCGCGCAAGGCAGTGTATGTTATGCCGCTTAACCCCGTCATGTGATTGAATCATAATACTGACGTTTTCGTACAGAGACCAGCGGATCCCCAACCTCATCTACAACGGCTTGCAGGAGAAGAAGCGCAGCTTCTTCGTAGTCGTTGGAGACCATGCCAAGGATGTTATTGTCAACCTGCACTATTTGATGTCTCAGAGAGACATCAAGCACAACAAGTCTGTCCTGTGGGCATACAAGAGCAAGCTCTTGGGCTTCACCAGGTACGATACGCTGCTCCGAGGCACTAATACAGGACTTGAAGCTGAAACCTTTTCCCTGCTAGTCACCGCAAGAAGCGCGAGAACAAGATCAAGAAGGAGATCAAGCGCGGCACCCGCGAAGCCAACGAGTCAGACCCTTTCGAGCTCTTCGTGTCCCTCCATAACATCCGATATGTCTACTACAAGGAGACCGAGAAGGTGCTTGGAAACACCTTTGGCATGTGCATCCTGCAAGACTTCGAGGCCATGACGCCGAACATTCTCGCCAGGACGATTGAGACGGTCGAGGGTGGCGGCTTGGTGGTTCTCTTGCTCAAGGGTATGACCAGCTTGAAACAGCTGTACACCATGTCCATGGACATCCACGCGAGATACCGGACGGAGGCGCACGACGACGTCGTCGCCCGTTTCAACGAGCGCTTCATTCTCTCCCTGGGAAGCTGCGACTCGTGTCTCGTCATTGACGACGAGATGAACGTCTTGCCCATCTCTGGTGGTAAGAACGTCAAGGCACTTCCGCCGGCCGACAAGGACATCGTCAAGACCGAGACGCAGCAGGAGTTGGAGGACATGAAGGAGGCCCTACAAGATACCCAACCAGTCGGCTCCCTGGTTACCCTTGCGAAGACGGTCGACCAGGCCAAGGCGCTGCTGACTTTTGTGGATGCCATTGCCGAGAAGACCTTGAGGAGCACGGTTACGTTGACGGCCGCCAGAGGACGCGGAAAGTCTGCGGCCATGGGTGTGGCCGTTGCAGCTGCTGTGGCGCATGGTTACAGCAACATCTTCATCACTTCCCCTTCGCCCGAGAACTTGAAAACCCTCTTCGAATTTGTCTTCAAGGGCTTCGATGCGCTCGGCTACGCGGATCACGCCGACTACTCGATCATCCAGTCTACGAACCCCGACTTCAACAAGGCCATTGTCAGAGTCAACATTCACCGGGCGCATCGCCAGACGATTCAGTACATCAGACCTCAGGATGCTCACGTTCTGGGCCAGGCAGAGCTGGTCGTCATCGACGAGGCCGCTGCTATCCCCTTGCCTCTGGTTCGCAAGCTGATGGGACCCTATCTGGTTTTCATGGCTTCCACGATCAACGGCTACGAGGGTACTGGCCGTTCGCTGTCGCTGAAGCTGATCAAGCAGCTGAGAGAGCAGTCAAGACCCGGAGCGAAGACGAACAGCGACACAGAGGTTGCTGATCGCACAACAGGCAAGGCGGCCAAGGACCAGGGCTCAAGTCACCAGGCCAGCCGCTCTCTTCGTGAAATCACACTCTCCGAGCCCATCAGATATGCCCAGGGCGACTCCGTTGAGAAGTGGTTGAACAAGCTCTTGTGCCTGGATGCCACCCTTCCCAAGGCTAAAGCTAGCAGCCAGGGCTGCCCCGACCCGTCCCAGTGCGAGCTATTAAAGGTCAACCGCGATACTCTGTTTTCCTTCCACCCTATCCCCGAGAAGTTTCTGCAGCAGATGGTGGCCCTTTACGTTGCCAGTCACTACAAGAACTCTCCCGACGACCTCCAGCTGATGAGTGACGCACCTGCTCATGAGCTCTACGTGCTGATTGCACCTACATCGGACGGAAAGCTTCCCGAGCCTCTGTGTGTTGTTCAGGTTGCCTTGGAAGGTAAGATCAGCAGACAGAGCGTCATCAACAGCCTCAGCAGAGGACAACGTCCTTCTGGTGATCTGATCCCCTGGCTCGTGAGTCAGCAGTACCAGGACGATGAGTTTGCCTCTCTGTCGGGTGCTCGCATCGTGAGGATAGCCACAAACCCAGAGTACGTGTCGATGGGATACGGGACCAAGGCTCTGCAGCTTCTCACCGACTTTTACGAGCAAAAGTTCACCAACCTGTCCGAGAACGCCGATCTCGTTATGGAGGAGACGCTGCCGAGAGTGACGGATGAGGAGCTTGCCAATACTTCCCTGCTCACCGATGACGTCCACATCAGAGATATTAAGAAGCTGCCGCCGCTGTTTGCGAGATTCTCTGAGATCAGACCCGCTGCCTTGGACTACGTCGGTGTCAGCTACGGTTTGACGCAGCAGCTCCACAAGTTCTGGAAGCGTGCCTCGTTTGCCCCCGTCTACCTTAGACAAACTGCCAACGACCTGACAGGTGAGCACACGTGCGTGATGCTCCGACCCCTGGAGAACACTGCAGACCAGTCATGGCTCGGTGCTTTCGCCAGGGACTTCCAGCGTCGCTTCCAGTCGCTACTGTCCTACCAGTTCAGAGAGTTCCAGTCGGTGGTCGCGCTCAGCATCGACGAATCCGCCAACTCGGGCGCTCAGCTCGATGGCACAGAGCCAACAGCTCTTACGAAGGAGGAGCTCGACAGATTCCTGACGCCTTTCGACCTGAAGCGTCTCGAGTCCTACGCCAACAACATGCTGGACTACCACGTCATTCTTGATCTCGTTCCCACCCTTGCTAGCCTGTACTTCTCTGGTAAGCTCAAGGCCGACATCAAGTTGACGGGTGTGCAGCAGGCTATCCTGTTGGCCATTGGTCTGCAAAGGAAGGATATGGACGTCATTTCCCAGGAATTGTCTCTCCCGTCATCGCAACTGCTGGCCATGTTCATCAAGATCTTGCGCAAGATTACGACTCACTTCGGCGGCTTGGTTAACGCTGCTGTCGAGGCTGAGCTGCCCAAGGGCGATATCATTGGTGTCAGCCGGGAGAACGCGTCCGGTGCCCACGATGATGAGGTTGTGGACAATAGGTTCGCTCCTCTCGAGACTTCTCTCGAGGACGAACTTGAAGAGGGAGGTGATGAGGCTCTGGCCAAGCTGCGTAAGAAGCAGCGCGAGCTCATCGACTCCCTTCCCCTCGACCAGTAAGTTTCAAAACACCCCACAGCTCTTGTGCGATCCCGGACTGACAGGTTCTCAGATACGAGGTAGAAGGTGACGCTCCCGCGTGGGCGGAGGCAGAGCAGGCTGTCAAGGAGGGCAAGACGGGCGTTGTCAGCATCAAGACGAGCAAATCGAAGCGCAAGGCCGGACCGACGGCGGCGGAGATTTACGAAGAGGCCTTTGGGGATAAGAAATCGCACAAGAAGGCCAAGAAGTCCAAGAAGGACAGGGACTAAAGAGCTGCATGAGATGGGGGGACGGTGTGGCATAAACAAAAGTGTAAAAGCATTCTCACTGAGAGAAGGGTAAATCGGGTTTTGTCCCACCATTTGGGGCACCTCTTGTACGGAGTTGGCTCGGCTTTTTGTTATTTGTTCAAATTTGAGAGGGCTGTTTATTGTTCTCAGTTGACAGAAATGAACGGCATTGCCATATGAAGAAGCATCAGGGCCCTCGTGGATCCGGTGAACATGGCGACTGGTGACAAGTGGCGGATGACTGACGGAGCAGGGAGTGCAGTTCCCAATGAGGAAGGAAACGAAGGTGAGTTGTAGATGTGCGCCTTCCCTCGCCCTTGCCTTCCTTACAGACTTCAATACGAAGTAGCAATGGCTCATTTTCCGTCCGTCAATCTAGTCACTCCGTCACTCGAGTCTCGTTTGCAGAAAGACCCCCTTCTGCGTATTTGAAGCCTCACCAAATACACCGATGTTGAGCTTATTTTACTGCCGATCCAACACAAACCACACGATCGCGTTCCCTCTCCCATCACAGCGAAGGTCCCATTGCAGCCCACAGAAGAAACCACGACTGGCATACTCTCGGCGTACCTGCGGACTCGTGGTACAATCGTCGATATCCAGAAATGTGCCACGAAACTACCGCCCTCTGCGGCAGCTGCGGCTTCCAGAGACACATACACTACCATCGTTGCATGGCCTGGCTATGGAGCTATCGCCAGATCAAGTGGGGGTTCACCACCCCCCTCGGCTCGATCCCGAAACCCAAGAACTGCCCGTTCCTCGACGGCGAAGTCAAACTCGAGATCCAGCCCGGCCGTTGCCCCAATATGCAATGTCCGGGCCACATGGTCAAGGTGGAGATGGACCGGGTGTCGACCGACACGCGAGCAGCCGCGGACAAGATAGAGGAGCAGCGGATCAAGCTAGGCCTGAAGATGAGGACGAGACCGCAGGGGTTCCAGGATCCGCTGGAGGTCGGTCGACCACATCAGCGGAAAATTCCTGTCGTCATCTTAGATAGACGGCCTGATGAAGGATCGGGGAACAGCCAAGGAAAGCAGGGGGTCGAGGAGGAAGAGGGACAGGAGTCGCAGAACGAGATGTCTGGTCAGGAGCAGGAATACGCTGGAGGAGTTGGAATCCCAGTAAGGTCTCCCGTTACTAGAGCATCGGCCACGAGACAGAGGATTTTCAACGGGCCAATGATTATGAGGCCACACTGAGGCGAATGCCGAGAGAACTGCGACGCGTATATCAGGAGGGGGGTTCGCCGGCATGCTGGATGACACCATGCGTAATGAGAAACAACTTTGGGGAGACCGTTGATCCCACCCCACCAGCAACACCGAAATGGGATTAACGGCATTGATACCAAGCATCAAGCAGGCGGTTTGCTTATAATGACACTACCCTAGTTCATCCTCTTGTCCAGTGTTGAGAAAGTGAAGACCAAAGTCGTGTAGGTATTTGTTTAACGTTGTTGGTCTTGTAAGACATATGCCTGCACCTTGCTTCCAATTGACCAATCAGGCCGGTCCAGTCTGGCCCGTTCGATCGCCTGCCTCGACCGACCATGTTTCTCCCTGTATTAGCGTAGAGAACCGGCAGGGTTCGATTCAGTCCGTCCAGGCCAAAGCGCCATCTAAGCCAGTTTCCAACGCCCAATCCCATGGAGAACCAATTTCGGCAGTGGGGACCTCCCCCTGTAGACAGCCAATACGGCACCCCCACAGCGCCCAAGCTGTCTGGAAGGATCATGCACGTCGCTTCCGCGACCTGGGGTAACATTTCTTAACCCCCCCCCTCGACCTGTTCGTCCCTTGCATGTAAACATTGGCCCGTCCAATCTTTTCTTCTCTCCTCTCCCTCAATCGCGATACGTTCATCCGCTGTGGACGAGAGCACCCTCACTCTCGTTTTCTGCTCTGGTAAATTTTGATTTGATCTCGATCCCTTCATTGCCGATCTCCTCCCAGCACTGCGTTGAATTCACCTTTTCCTCTCCCTATCGCCACGATGCACGCGCTCAACCTCGCCGTTCCGGCCGCTCTCCTCCTCCAAGGCGTCGCTGCCGTCCCCGCGCCGACCCTCGTTGCCCGTGCCGATGTCCTCGCTCCCACGGCCGCTTGGGTCAGCGTCAACGACAAGGGTGTCCCGACGACCGTCACCCCCGTGCCGACCACCATCTCCGGCACCCCAACCTTCGCGTCCGCCGCGCCCAACGCACTGACGGGGAGCGTCTTCACCATGACCGACTTCCGCCTCGTGCAGGTCACCACGAGCACAGGCAGCCCGCCGCTGGCTACCGCCGACAGCAAGAGTGGTGCCGGAGCTTTCGCCCCCTGCAACAACGCGAATGGTGACTTTTCACCCTTTTGCGATCCTGTCAAGGATAGTCAGCTCTTTGTCGATGGGACGTACTATGGTAAGCGACTCTACTGGTCTTTTGCACGCCAAAAGACCCAAGATGCTGACCTCCTCTAGTGACCTGGGACCCCACCGTGCTCATCAAGGGCAACAAGACCAACGTCCACGTCAAGATCCAGGGCAAGGCGGTCAACGGCACCACGGTCGGCGACACCGTCCTCAACGACGACACGGACAAGACCAACCCGGCTGCGTGGGGCTACTACGCCTGGAACGTTGATGGCAGCCTCATCCCATCCGGCCAGGATAACGCCACGATCGAGCTCGTCATGTCGTACACCATCGACAACGTCGCGCAGAATGACATCACGGGCCCCCGCGTCCTCGTAGTCAAGCGCCCGCAGTTCCACCCGCAGCCAACCAAGCTCCCCAAGGGTGCCGAGCTTTACATCGCCCTGCCGGCCGTCTTCGGCTTCATCGTCATCGCCGTCATCGGCGGCTGCCTCTGGAACCGGAGCACCCGCAAAATCGGCCTCGGGAACGTCATGAGCCGCTCGCGCCACGGGTACGGCATCGGCAAGGCGCGCGCGCAGCGCCTGGGCGCCCGCGTGCGCCAGAGCGTCTTTCACGGCCACAAGAACCGCGGCATCCAGCTGCGGGAGCGCGAGATGAACCTCGGCGACGACGGATACGTGTACCGCGACGAGCCCCTCCCCGGACAGCGGCCCGCCGGCCGCCCCAGAAGGGACAGCGACTCGCTTGGCAGCCTGGCGAACAGCCCGATGTCCACCCACTTCCAGGAACAGGATGTGCGGGGCGCCGGCGGCGGTAACGCTTTCCGCGAGGAGCTGAGGCGGCAGGAGAGGGAGAGATTTTAGACGAGGCGGTTTCTTAGCTCAACGCGCGCTGGCGAGACGGGAAGGAGAAAAAAAGGAGTTGTTGCCGGGAGGACCTTCATGGGACATGAGGAGAAGGATGTGTCAACAATATTTAGACGACGCCAGCTTCAGGGATGACGATGAAAGGTCATCTCTATGTAATGTGTAACAATAATGAACGCATGAAGTCAACTGCCAGCGCTATGTTTTTCTACGCCCGTCCTGGCAGACATGATATCTTGTCTTCTGATAGTCGTATTCGGCGGTGTGTTTGTTCAACAAAGACGGAAAAGACTCGGTCGACTTCATAGTTATTCTTCATCATACTGTGCAATCGAGTCTTCTAGAAACGCACTATTGGGGAACAAGCTGCTCACCGGTCCCGCTTATGCATGGGAACATAGGATAAACCGAAGCGTATTGCGGAACATAGTGATGCTGCGGCAGCATTGGCGGAAAACGAAACTTTGCACTTGTCATCGTTTCATGCTAGCTTCCTTACCTGATATATCTTACCAGTTGTGCCGACATTGTCTCGGGAATCTTACCGCCTCAAGAAGAAGATAGTGATCGCTCTTTGTAAGGCCACTTGACTTCTTCGACGTTCACAATGCCCTGAGGGCAAGGAGGATACCGCCGGCCAAAAACCCGGCCAGACTCTAGGGCTGCTCCAAACATGGCTTCATTGACGTCAGCATTATGGGATTCCAAATTCCGTGGAAGAAGCTGATGTGATTGATAAGATTCAGCGGTATGAGTGAGAACCCTTGTGGACTTGCGATCGGCTTCCCAACACCGTACTATGACGATGGGCTGTCGTTGCTCGGAGCACCGAGTTGTGTCACTCGGAGGAGCCTCGGTAAGTGGAGACAGACACACTGTTGGCCACCAACGGGACGGGGGGGGACTCGGTGCTTAGTTAAGCCGGACAGGACGGCAAAAACGGCTCTCCGATCGCGCAACACGCATGGCATTGGATGGCACCATGGGCTGGTAGGCTGCATACGTGGGCCACTGAATCGCGCGGCTGCCCAGAAGAAAAATCTGGAATTCTGGAATCCACCACGGAAGCCGAGCAACGAGATCCCGGCACCATTAGAAATCCAACCGCAGAGACATTGCTTGCGCCCACTTTGGAGTCAACTGCCGTCCACTGAGAAGCCGTCCCTGGCAAGCCCAGCCTTTTGTAGCACATCCATCCAGTTCGCCGTCCCCCTCCCCCCCCTGGTGTACCCGTTGACGAAAGCAGTTCGGCGAGTCTCGTAGGGCCTTGATTGGAACCAAAGCCCGCAAGTCCGTCACCGTCGCCGCTCTCCTTTCCGCGTTTTACACCGCGTCGCCCCCCTTCCACCCCTCCCACGCCCCCCTCCTGGTGGCCGACCCGCCCCCTCCCCTCCCGTACATATAATCTCCCTTTTTTTGATACCCCGCCATCAAAGAGGATAGTGCGTGTTCCAAACGCGCATATCACCGCCAAACTGTTCTCTTCAACCTTTAGACGAACATTTCTTCGCTCGAGTGCGACAGGACTGTCCTTTGCCGCAGCCACCACTTCCCTCAAACAGAACACTGCAAATCCTGCCGAATTAAAGATTAGTGCCCGCAACATGCACAGCAAGGTCGTCAGTATGTCATGTCCCCCTTCCACGTCACCGCCCCCTGCAAGCCATCTCATCTACGATCGAGCTACGATCGAGCTACGATGGCCTCACCTTGCACTGCGCGCACCTTTACTGACATGGCCACACAGTCATTGGCTCCGGGCCTGCTGCCCACACCGCTGCCGTCTACCTGGCGCGCGCTGAGCTGAAGCGTAAGCATCCCCTTGTCCACTGTCCCTCCCGATTCGGCATCACCAACTGACCATCTCGGTCGCAGCCGTCCTCTACGAGGGCTTCATGGCCAACGGCATTGCCGCCGGCGGCCAGCTCACCACCACGACCGACGTCGAGAACTTCCCCGGTTTCCCCAAGGGTATCATGGGTGGCGAGCTCATGGAGAACATGAAGGCGCAGTCCGCCCGCTTCGGCACCGAGATCATCACCGACACCGTTTCCAAGCTCGACCTCTCCTCTCGCCCCTTCAAGTACTCGACCGAGTTCTCCCCCGATGAGACCCACACCGCCGACGCCATCATCCTGGCCACCGGTGCCTCCGCCAAGCGCCTCGACCTTCCCGGCGAAGAGAAGTACTGGCAGAACGGCGTCTCCGCCTGCGCCGTGTGCGACGGTGCCGTGCCCATCTTCCGCAACAAGCACCTCGTCGTCATCGGTGGTGGTGACTCGGCCGCCGAGGAGGCCCTGTACCTCACCAAGTACGGCAGCCACGTCACCGTCCTCGTCCGCCGCGACGTCCTCCGCGCCTCCCAGATCATGGCCAAGCGCCTGCTGAGCAACGACAAGGTCACCGTGCGGTGGAACTCAGTCGGCAAGGAGATCAAGGGCGGCGCCGACGGCCTCATGAGCCACCTCGTTGTCCAAGACACCGTGACCGGCAAGGAGGAGACGCTCGAGGCCAACGGCCTGTTCTACGCCATCGGCCACGAGCCTGCGACGGCGCTCGTCAAGGGCCAGCTCGAGACCGACTCCGAGGGCTACGTCGTCACCAAGCCCGGTACTCCCCTGACCAACATCGAGGGTGTCTTCGCCGCCGGTGACGTTCAGGACAAGAGATACAGACAGGCCATCACCAGCGCCGGCACCGGCTGCATGGCTGCCATGGACGCGGAGAAGTACCTCGCCGAGCTCGAGGACGGCGATGCCAAGGACCCCAACAACAACCCCCAGTGACTAGATCACCACCTTTAAGCCGCAATAGATTTCGGAGCTGCTCAATGCGATATAGAAGCCCTTCTAGACTAGATGAACGGTGGAAAACATAGACTTTGAATTCAAGCGTTAAAGAAGATGGCCTTTTTTCTTTCTCATTGGTCAGAGCCCTGTCCGAGCTACGCCGAAGCAGATCTCGGAAATGTCTTTCGCGAGGGCCGGACCGACTACCCCACGTCCGAACCGAACTTGGGGCGATCCAGGGTTGCCTTCCCTTGCTTGATTACTGTAAGCAAAACGTCAGAGTTTGGGGCACAAGGTATTATTCGAAGAGCCGCTGCTCCCCGCGCATAAATCCAATTGCCTCAAGTCCCAACTTTTCCCAGAAAACGAGGGCACTGATCGTCAGCCCCCCCTTTTGACATACAGTACATACATTGCAATATCGCATTCGACTTCTCCCTCCACCTCTCAAGAACCTACTTGCTCAGGAGATCCGATGTGCTGCCAGGCTTGGAAACCCCCCCCCCCACATGAAGCCTCGAACCACCGCACCTCATGACAAGAACCCCGGCCCCCCCCGGATGCATGACCGGCTGCCAGCGCATGCTTCCCCCCGACTCGCTCGGTCCAGAAGATGCTTTCCGCGGTAGGGCCGCACGGCTATATATGTTATTAGTATCGACATAGCTATCTCCCCCCGCCGTCCCCGTCCAATCTTTGAGTTCAATCAAGTCCTTTCAAGCGCCCAGGGGCGGGGTAGAGATACGTTTCAAGATGCGCGCACCACAGTGATCAGGCCATGTGAGATGGAGAATTTCCCTCGTACTTAAGCTAGCCTGTCCCATCTCCGCTTGCGTCGAGCGTCGGAGTTCTCGTGCTCACTCTTACACTGCCTTCATCCTTCAATGACTTGATCCAACCTCGCGCTATCCCCCAAAGATCCGGACAGTAGGGATTACCCACCCCATACCGACGATATGGCGAGCAGCAGCAGCAGCTACGCATACACGAGCTCTGGGTCCAACAGTCAGGTACCTAAACTTCCCTATTACCCTTCCCCCACCGAAGCTTGCTTTCTTCCCCTTGGGAGCTATCTTAGCGCAGTGGAAACTTACTGAGGAGGTAAAAGGGTAACCCTATTGGCGCCCGCGATCAGGGCAGCCGCTCTTCGAACCCAAACTCCTACTCCTACCACTACACCAACACGTGAGTATCTCGTTCTCGCCTCCCCTTCGTACCTACATTATTTCCCGTTGAGCGGAAGAACGGCTGACATGGTTCACGGACAGAAGCGAACCGCTCCACTACAACAATCCGAGGAGCGGCGCGTATTCCAACAAGAGCAACGGCCGGACGACGTATACCTCTGCCAGCGGGTACCGAACATGCTCAGGGTACGGCAAGAAGTAGGTTCGCTGAAATTCGCAAGGAACAAACCTCTCGATATGCTCCGTAGTGGCCTGACCGAGGCTAACGTCACGATAACAAGTGTTGGAATGAGATAAAACACCTCGAACGGCGACGACGACGACGACCGGACAGGCGAATGCGATCATGTGCGAGACATCGACCGAGGGCACTAACTAAGCTGGAACCCTGTAATGCGTTGATTGCAGCTGCAGAATACGTGGAAGAGGCCACGATTGATGCCGTGTATTGGAGATGAGGTCCAAGTGAGCTGCATATAGTCAGTCGATCTCTCCTGCTGTGGCAACTGACTCAATCCCTCGGTATTTGTTACGTGGAACCCTACGAGCGAGGGGATTTCGGCAACTCCTGACACTTGCATCTGTACGTTATATTATTCAACACTTAGCCATTGTCGTCATTCATCGGTGAAGACATGAGAAGTATAGCCTTGGATGTGGAGAGGGCCTCTCGGGCCAATAAACCTCATACTACAGTTCAATCGGGCGTCTCCCCCTCCGGATGTTTTTGTTGAGTCAAAAGCTAACGCGTTTGAGCTTGAGACTACCACTGGGCCTACGTGGATAACCCTTGTTCATCCCACGATGCTTTCAGTTTGCAGGACATGGGTGAAGACGAGAAAAAGCAAGCTGCCCGGCCTCATGATTGCTACTTCGCCTGCGGCTCCCAGCACAAAACCTGCTTGTTATTGCGCATGCTGGCCAATAAAGTGTCTTGATTCCCAGACAGAAACGCCTAGTAGTAGATGGGGACGTGAGCTTAAAGCACCTTTGTCAACCAAGAAGGATGCGGTGTAGCCGAAGCAACTTCCCGCCTATCTCATTTGCCCCGCATGGACAATCAACAACTTACGATGCGGGGCAGCAAGGAAGGAGATTCGAGACACCCAGCAGGCGCTCCTTCCTTCCCCTATTTAACCTCTCACCCGTCTGCCAAACGGCCTCACCTTACCCTCGCCCTTCTTCCCTTCATCACCTCATTACCAAAAAACCTCTTCCAAACCAACTGCCCAACCAAGCACCTCCCACCCAAACACTCACGATGCCTAGCGGATACGAGTACAAGAGCTCCGGCACCAACAGCCAGGTACGATCTCATCTCAATCTTCAGAGTCCGGTGACTCGGATGGAATAGCTGATTGGGCACAGGGCAACCACTACTGCGCCCGCGACTACGGCAGCAGCGCTTCCAACCCCAACTCGTACCATTACTCCAACACGTAGGTCCTTTCTCGTGCAAGCAATCGCCAACTGATTGCATACCAGCCTTACCTGCCTCCGGTTTCAGCTTCTGAGACTAACGCCGTGTGCCGCAGCGATGGATCCTACTACTACTCTAACCCCAACGGCAGCAGTTACTACAACAATGGTGCTGGGGGCTCGACCTACACCTCCCCCAGTGGCGACCGGTCCTCTTCTGGCTACGGCTACGGCTCCGGCTCTGGCAACTCCGGCAGCTCCGGCAAGAAGTGAGCTTCTGACCTGGCGGTCATCCTGGTGACCCTCACCTTTACACAATGGAGTCTGGGGTTGGAGTTTCGACGGAATGGGCCGGGGTGGCTTTGAGCGACGGATCGGGATACAGACGAGTCTTTGGGGAAATGACGATGACATGAATTGACTAACGCTTGCGAAAACGATGACATGATGAGACCGTATCGTGTTCGATTGACATTTTGGCCGTTCAATTGGGATTGCTAATGACTTTTTGGTCACGCCCTCTGCCCTTCGTGATTGGTAGTTACTAACATGCCGGAACTGTGTCGTGGAACATGAGACGAGCCTCGGGAATACCGTACCGGCAAGCCCCAGCCAGGAGCCCACTTTCATATAACTTTGACACAACTTTGGCGAGATGGCTGCATGCACTGAGAATTCCCGACATCAGCCCAGGCTTAACAAAAAGCTACAACTTTTTCAATCCGCCCAAAGGGGTTGTCTAGCCCGGGCTGACAAGTAGCTCTCTGCAGCAGATCAGACGTCTCATTCAGACGCCTCGGCACAACTCGGCAGTTCTACGCTCATGCTGTCCAGTCTGCGTGGCTTCCTATGGGGACGGTCCTGAAGTTGAATATCATCTTAACAAGCCGCAACATTAATCAACATGGCGGTTCCAGGTCAATGTTGCAGCTTCAACTTCAGTTATGAAAAACCTTGGACGCTCTCTACAACGGCTCAGTTTGCGTTTCTCTATATGGCGATTTTAACTTTTCAAGATGGGGCAGTTCTCTAATAGTCAACCCCTACTTAGTACAATGCCTAGACTTGCCACATTCCAGCTCGATATTACATGCACCTATAGCTTATACGTAAGTGTTCTCCGCCTGGAGTCTTGGATGGATGGTTTTTTGTTCCCCTACTACAGGGAATTGAACAATAGGTTTAATCGCCATGCGGTTATCTAAAGACAAGACCAAAACGAGGGTTCATGTCCAACTGGGCTTTCCGTCGTATCGCCACATGCCATTGGCATGCCAAACCTACCTACCTACCTGGTAAGCCAGAGATGACAATGGCGCTGGTAAAGTCCTAAGGGTGTCCCTGAGTATCCATCTTGCTGGTCTCGCCGGTCCCGTTCTTCAGATAGCAGTACTCCCCGGGGAGCTTGATCATGGCGACGGATCGGCAATAGCCTCCGCCCGCCACGTTGCCCGAGGCGAGGTTGCCGCTGTACGCCTGGTTGTACGCTGCGCACAGGTCCATGCACTCCCGGAAATTCGGGACGTAGAACCTTGAAGACGTCGTAGAGATTCGGGTTCCCGAGCTCGGCGCTGGACGGGTAGTTGACCTCGCAGAGCTGCCGGAAAACCAGGGCCGAGTTGGAGCCGACCTTGACCGAGTCGCCGTTGGCGTCGGTCGGCGTGTAACTGGTCCGGTTGATGTTAGGGCAGCCGTCGTCGGTCGGGGCGGGGCGGACGCCGGTTGGTGGCGGAATGTATGCGGACGACGCCGCGGTAGATGCGAGAGGTATGGAGCCGGAGCCGGAGCCGGAGCCGGAGCCGGAGCCGGAACCCGCCTCGGAGGCTGTGGGTATCGGCCGAGACACGACTGCGGCCGTGCCTGAAGGCGACGGAGCGCTGAAAACCGCTGTTAACACAATGGCATTTCCTAGCAAGGAGACTTGGAAAGCATGCTACTTACGCCGCCGAGCTGCTGTTGGCTTTCTGTGCCGCCAACCCACCCGCAACCCCTCCGGCCATTCCTCCAGCCAGGATGACAACCAGAGCGGTAACGAGGGACCAGAAAACAGGCACAGTAAGACCAAGAATTCGTCGTCTTTTCAATGGGGTAGCGGGGGCGTCGGGGTATGACTGGTGTGAGGTCCACGCTGACTTCTCCGTGGGGTCGTACGGGATCGGCAGGGTGGAGTGTCGAATTGGCACTGCCTCAAGGCCAGGCTGGTCCAGCTGGGCCGACCGACCCTCATTCACGGGACGTATGTGGTCAGCCATCCCGTTGTGCTGTGTTCTGCCCACTGAGCAAATCCGCAGCGTGGTGAGCAGGAATTTGATGCTTGGAGGAGACGAATAGCGCGCCAGCGAAGGCCGCTCGTGAAATTGACGATCCGCCGTAAGGGCCGGAAAGACAAGACGCAAAGCAGAGAGAACGTACATATGCAATCATACTATATTAGTATTCTTGAGGCCCTGACGCCGTATCCCCTGAGCTCCATGCAGTACAACGCCAATCTTACTGTAAGCAGGGGTGGTGTGAGCGGGTACATGCTAACATTACGGAGTATGTTGTCCAATGTGCTTGTTTGGTGGCCGAAGCAACTAGTACGCCCTGACTACCTACTTAGGATGGCTGCAGGCAGTATCTTTAGGCCGGTTCTAACTCGAATCGGTGGGTTGAGGTGTGTGAACTTTGATTCCAAGAGGCCGACGAGCGTAGTGCGTAGTGCAGTGGCTGGCACTTGTCGCGATTGCAAATCGCGCCGTTAGGCGCCACACGTGGTCGAGAGGGCCACGCCTCAGCCCTGGAACTGTACTAGACCAAAATTAGAGAGACATTTCGTCCTTCCGTCACACCATCATTACAATACCAGGAAAGGCGAACCGTCACACTGGCAGCGTATGCATGTATGCCAGCCTGTTCTATTGGTATATGCCGCTTCAATCCCGGCTGGTCGCCGTAACCTATAGGAAACAGACGATGCCGTCATTTTCTTCCTTATACAAACCGTTTCCGTCTTGATAGTTCGTTGGTTAATTGCTTCTGGGTTGCGACTGTCCCGCGAAACTCATGAATGGGACAGATCCCTAGTAGCTGTTAAGCAACGAGACGTTGAAAATTCATACGCACGTGTGGAACATTGGCTGAAAGTGTCATGTATTATCTAAGTGAGGCTTTCAACCCTAAATTGTGTTTTATAGTGGCTTGGGTAGTAGTGAGTCCTTGTAAGGCTATCATGACAGTCTCATATAGTCCGTCGCATTTCCATATCTACAAAGCCGCGGACGATGGCCTCTTGTGGGGTCTGCAGTGACACCATTCGATCGCATGCCGGACGAGTGCTGTCTCCCCTGCCCAACACATGCCATGGTTGTCCGTCCCACACATTCTCAGCTCTCTCTCTGTCTCTCTCTCTCTCTCTCTCCTTGGTCAAATCCAATTCTGAAACCATGTACGACCCCAGGGCTCTCTCCTTTCAGGAAAGCTCGTGTCTACCACGGTGGTCGCTGGGCAGTTCGGGTGGCGGTGCCTGGGTTGGGATCTCAACCGGCGCGTAAGTCGTGTGTTCGGATTTCGCCCACGGCGAAGTCGGGGCGATTTCGGAGTACACCGGCCTCGACAACGCCTGCCTCGTCTTCTTCTTCTCGCGCAGCAGCAGGACCGTGAGCAGCCCGACGGCGAGAGCCAGCGGAGCGCCAACGCCGACGCCGATGCCCGCCGCCGCGCCGGTTGAGATTCCGCTGCTGGCCGCCGCGTCCGCCGGCGTCGATGTGCATGTCGCTTCGGTGGCTCCGCCGGCGCCGTCGCCGACGCTCGTCGCCGCCGTCCCCGTCGCGGTTGCGGGAGCCGTGCCGGCTGTGCTGGCTGTGGAGGCGGTCGCGATGACACCAATATCCGATTTCAAGTACAGGTTCGGCAGCATGTTTCCTGCGGGCACTTCGAAGCTGTCGGTTGCGCAGTTGCTCGTTGATTGGCACGCATACTGCTTGTTGGTGCATTTCGCAATGCCGGCGTGAGCGCCCCGGACTGCGAAGCAAAAAAGTATCAGTCATTGCGTTCACCAGTTGGAAGAGAGAGAGAGAGAGAGAGAGAGCTGTCATTTACCAGCGCCCGCGACATCTTCTTTGTCGCAATACGTCGGGCAACCGCTTGTCGACCAGTCCTTGGCTGTACAGGCGCCACGGTAGAAGCTCAATTCGGTGTTGGAGAAGCAGACGCCGTTGCTCATGCAGTAGTGGCCCGCAAAGCAGCACGCGGCCGCCGTGCCGTTGGCGACGGGACAAGCCACAAGACTCGCGTCATTGCCGTTGGGCCAGTAACACTGCTGGCCGGATGCTAGCCCGACCAAGATGCCGGTTGCGAGAGACCAGCGCGGAGGGTGCATCGTTCACGATGGTTTCTGAAGACGGAGAAAAGGGACGGAGATCGCACGGGAGGGGGGCAACGCCACGCGGGAGAGACGACGATAAATACTTCTAGCCGCCGGGCTTGGCCCAGCTCGCCAATGCCAGTAAGCCTGCCACTCAAGCTTCCCTGGCCGTGTTTACAAATTGCATTGAGTGAGATGTGATTTGTGTACACCGAACGTGGGCTGCGAAGGATCTTGGCCCCAACGTGGATTGCGAAGGATTCCCCCACCTGATTGGGTGCATACCAGCAGTAGGCAGCACTAGCTGCGCCCCTCATGCAATTACTCTACAGGGCAGATTGGAGGTCCTTGTTGTTCCGTTGCTTGTGCGGCCTTACTCTTGCTAGGCACGGCCTTGGCGACGCATCTTGGGGTCAGCAAGTCGCCGTTTTAAACCTGCGCAAATATCCTAGCCGAATGCTGACCGTTCGAAACAGGGGTGGATGGTTGGTCGGCTAGCTTGGCTACCTTACCAGGGGTTGGAATGGAGCCTCGAATCCTGGCGTATTTCAGCTTGGGGTTGGATGGCTTGTGGCTTACATGGAATCATCGCTAGCTTGCAAACACATGGAGCAAAGGACGGGTGTCTCAGAAGCTGCGGATCATCTTCGACACGTGGAATGATCTTCTCCATCAGCCAACACGGCTCATCGTTCATATTCATTCAACTCGTGCGCTCGCTATCTATCCAGCTTTCTTTCCTTTCACCGGCTTCCATTCCATGAAGCAAGCCGCGATTGCCGACACGCCAGCCAAGGGAATCGCTGCCGTGAACGCTATGCGGAGAGCCTCGTTGTACACGGTGAGCAGCATCGGGAGCGCGCTGGCCGGGACCACGTCACGGAAAGCCGTCGCCCCGACCTCGAGCACCGCGCGAATGTCGACGCCCGGAACCATGTTTTGCGCCGAGGCCTGGAGGAGGTGATTCTGGAACAGGGTGTTTCCGACGGAGACGAAGATGGCGCCGCCCAAAGACTGCGAGGCCACGACGGCCGCGGTTCCGATGGAGATGTCGTCGGGGTGCAGGATGGCCTGGACGGCCGTGAAGCCTTGCTGAATAGACATGCCAAAGCCCGCCGACACGAGGATCTCGAAGCCGATCCACTGTGCCGTCGGCGAGTCCGGCGACAGCAGCAAGAAGACGCCGCACCCGGCCGTGGCGATCATGCCCCCGACCACGGCCGGCGGCACGAAGTAGCCGACGGCGGAGACGAAGACGCCTGAGAAGAGGGAGAAGAGGGCGTTCGTGGCGGCGTACGGCATCATGTCCACGCCCGACGAGATGGCGCTCTCGCCCTTGATGGCCTGGAACCAGAGCGGCAGGAAGTAAGAGTGGATCAGCAGCGCCCCGTATGTGGCGAACGCGCCGACGCACGACGCGGCCACCGTCCTCTGCGTGACGACGGCCGGCGGGATGAGGGCGCCGTCCTGCTTCCACCACTGCCATGCCGCGAAGACGGCCGCCGTCGCGCCGGCCCCGGCGAGCAAGCCGGCTACCCGGGGGCTCGACCACGCCTCCCCCTGCGCCGTGAACTCTAGCGCTAGGAACAGCATCACGCAGGCGCCGAGCAGGAGCACGTTGCCGACGATGTCGAGGTCCATGAACCTGTCGAAGAAGGTCTGCTCGTGGCGCGGGCGTCGCTTGGGGTGAAGGAACAGCAGAAAGACTGCGACGGTGACGCCCCCCACGGGAAGATTAATGTAAAAGCACCATCGCCAGGTCTGCCAACCGTTTAGTTCAGGACGCCATGACGTTATTCTGGGGGACTACTCACGACTAGCTCTGTGAACACGCCTCCAAGTAGAGGACCGACGGTGGCTCCGAGGCCAAACCTGGAGGGTGTTAGCGTCAAACATTTGGGATGATTCTCTCTTTTCAGAAGAAGAGAAGAAGAAGAAAAAAAAAAACACTTACGTCAGACCGACGATGGCGGTGTAGATAGGACGGAGGCGCAAGGGCACCGCCATCGCCATGACGACGAAGCTGCCGGTGAGGACGCCAGCGCTCCCGAACCCGGCCACGGCGCGGCCAACGATGAGCGCCACCGAGTTGGGCGCGAGGCCGCAGATGAGCGATCCGGCCAGGAACATGAACATGGCCAGCATGTACGACCACTTGACGGAGAAGAGCATAAAGACCCTGCCAAAGACGGGTTGGAAGGCGCAAGCTGTCAGCAGATAGGCTGAGCCGTACCACCCGATGTCCACCGTCGACTGGAACTCGGAAGTGATGTGGGGAATGGCCTGCGTTTGTCAGTTTCAATAGACCCCCTTTTGCTTTGCGTGCGGAGTCGGGGATTTCTCATACCGTCGTGAGGATGGCGCGGTTGACGGATATCAAGAACACCACGAGACAGATGCCCAGCAGGAGGAACGCGAGCGGCCACCCGTCGACCCAGTCTTCCCTCTCGCCCTTCTCGTCCGCCGTCTGGGTCAGCCCCGAGTCTTGTTTCTCGGCCCGCGCCGTCTCCATGTCCATCACCTGCCGCCGGTACCCCGAGCCGTCGTCCTCCTCGTCAATGTCCGGCTCGAACGGCCTCGTGAAGCGGCTGATTCGCGCGCCGGCCTTGCCCGGGTGCCTCTGCTCCGCAATGGGCGTAACGCGCTGTTCCGCGCTCGTCGCCGTGTCGGTGGACAGGGAGCCCCTGAGCGACGGGTTGCTCGCAAGGTGCCGCAACGGCGTGGCGAAGATGGAGGATATGATGGATGCAGTTTCCGAGTGCGGCTCCGGGGAGTGGGCGCCCCCCTCCTCCTCCTGCGCGCTGTGGAACGTCTGCGCGTCCGACACGGCCTTGGAGGGGACGCTCTTAACGGACAGGGGGAAAGCGCGCTGGGTGCTCAAGGGTGAGGGTGGTCTTGTGCGTGGGAAGAGAGATAAAGATGCCGGGCGTCCGAGGCAGGATTCGTGTTGATGCTCCGTGGGCAATTGCGTTCCGTTTCCAAACGTGGTCGAGGATCGTATGGAATCGCGGCGGTAGTGGCCGCATTGCGAGCAGCGGGACCCCGCGGAAGAGATCCTGCTCCCCCGCTTTGGCTTATCATCTGCCACCGGCTCGTTGACTTGAGTCTCCTTGCTCTCGTCAGCCGCCGCTGCCGGCCCCGAGGTGCACTCCTTGGGTAGCTGGGCCTTTTCTTGCCAGGCCTCGGTCAGCCACGCTGGGAGGATGGCCTCCCCGTCATCGTCCTCGTCCTCGCAGTAGGACGACAAGGAGCCCTCGTCGACAACATCCGGCAAGGCGATCGTGCTCTCGTCCGAGCTGGGGCTGATGATCGAAATCCGCCATTTTTCCTCGCCGAGAAATTCAGAGGACGGCCTCTCACCCATGGAGGGCCGCTGCGGGACGTCTTCTTTTCTGGGCGTTGTGTTATTGCCACCGCCTTCCGGCTTCTCGGGGTGATTATCGCCTGCCATATCGGGCCACCGCTGTCAAAATGTTTCTTGTCTTCTGGGAGCAACGACGTCTCGAGCGCCTGGAACGTCTCTGCGGCATCACGGCGACGACCGTGTCGGGCTGGAGGTGCGGGGTGAGGCTTGGTAGATATGTTTGGTGATGGGCAGTTGGCTTCTTTTGTTCCGCTTTCAAAGAAACAATCCGAAACAACCAGACGACCTTTTTTTGGCCAGGTTTCCGTGGGCGCCAACCAGATCCCCGGTGTCGGGTCGTTGGTGGCGCCCGAAGACCACCTCAGCCTACGAGACGGAGGCATCGTGCTAGCAGCGATCCAGCGTCGGTCTCCTCACAAGACTGAATACCAAATCTAAGACAATCGTGGCCTGTAAGCTAGCAGAGCTGCGTCGAACTCTGGCAGAGCAGCTAGGCAGTGAATAAGCGCGCTGATTGGTGGTGGCCCAAGAGACGCAGCGCGGCCCGGCCAACCGGACATCACTGCGCCGACCTAGAGCCCGTCTGATAGTCTCGCCGGGGACTAGGGTCTCCGGTTCTGGCATGGCCGAGGAACTGTCAGCTCTGCGGGGAGTGGGGTTGATGTCATTAAGACGGATTTTTCCAGCCGAGGACGAAACAAAGGGACACAAAGGGCGAAGGGGTAGACGCGCTAGGCGATGGTTGAGGGGATGTGTGGCGGGAGGTCTGGGGAACGAGGGGGACTCTCGATTCTGAGACGCGAGAACTATCACTTAGTGCCTGCGGTTGTTCAGAGATGTTGCAACGCGAGGAATATGAGACATATGTTCTTCGCGTGGTTAGGCGATCATTGCGGGAGACGTTCAAGGTGTGAGACAAGAGAGGGGTTTTCAACTGCTTAGATGCTCATGATTATAAAGTTTGACTCGACTAGCTCAGCTGCTACATATCTTCTGCTCCGGAATCCTTGCGAATGAAATCGTTACTCTATAAATACCATTTCCTCCTTAGGCCGGCCAGCTGCAGCAGCGTGAGGACCACACCGGCGACTCCTGTCCCGTCCATGTGCCTTCCGAGCACCTGACCCCTCACTGTCGTGGAAATCGGCTTCGAGTGCAAGCTGCTTTTCCTTTGCCAGCATAGACGCGAACTTCAGCCCGCACTGGCGCTGTTCCTCGATGTCCTGCAGCTCGCTATCGGCCTCTTCGTGTGATTCATCAGACGAGGCGCCGTCGTCGCCTTTGGGCACGGGGCCGGCCATGCGCAGCATATCCCCCGGAGAGACAGTATTGAGGTCCGATTTCGACACGAAACGGCTCAGGGCCGCCGCGTACAGATCTCTGTCCGCCTTGAACGCTCGGCGGCGCCCCGCGGGCTACGGTCAGGGTACAGGCTGCTCGTGCCTAGCAGTTGGGCTGTTGGTTGCGTTTAAACTGCTGAGCCCGAGTATGTCCGACATAGTTATGGACAAACATAAGAAGGCAGGGGATTGCAGGGTGAGTGTTCCGGAGTATGATGACCACCCTGTCTTGCTCCATGCTCTTAAAGATATGCGTCTAGGCACCCGTTGACGGTGATGTTCTCGTGGAAAACACCAACCGCTGAGCCATTGACGGAATCTCACCACCGGTGATCGCTGGATGATCCTGCCTTCATCCAGGTAGTATCACGAGCGAAACAGAGTATGCGTACCGACATTGAATCCGCGATGAAATCTTTGGCGTTCTTGCGTGGAGATTCGATACGACCGCGGAAGCCGGTTCTTCGACAGTAACCCAACGCTATGGACTCCCCAAAATGGGGGATCATCATCGCGGTAATTTTAGGTTGCTTATTGTTCACTTGCAGCGAATTGGTTTCAATGATACGAGTTACGGATAGTGAGAGCGTATGATTAAGTTCAATTTAGCCTGCGGCGTAGCGTCATCATACGTATGTTATGGTCTCTGGTCTTGCCCGGGCTCAAAGAGGGAATGTGTGTCATTCCGTTAATCTGGTAGATTCTTGGCATGTAAGCTGCCTGTCTGGCTGGAGAAGGGCTTATTTGAAGTGAGGCGTATTCTTGCTTGTTGGAGTGGCAGAGTCCAGAAAACGGATGGTTAAGGCAAGTTTCTGTCGTCAAATCGAGACCCTCGTCACGCACAAATGCGGCAAGCCAGTCAAGATTGTAAGAATCGTCATAGGTGGCTTCAACATCCATTACAGACTCCATTTTCAAGGAGAAGAGCCGTCGTTAGACGTCATGGTGCGAGTGCCTTGGCCATCGACAGTCCAGTTCCCGGGCGAAAAGACTCTTTATGAGGCAGCAACATCCGAATATCTAAGACTCAACACGTGTGTTCCCGTTCGACAGGTCCTCCACTATGACCAGGAGTCTAACATTGGGCCAATCCTCATCATTCGTCATGTTGAGCACGGAGGCGACATGACGGATTCTCTTGCTGTCCATGGACGAGACCCCGGCTTGACTCCAGCTTTGAATCTAAGTTTGCCGGAGAGCAAGCTCAGAAGCCTGTGGGGCAAGATGGCATGGATTCTGATGGAGTTGGCGAAACCGGAATTCCCTCGCATTGGGTCTCTGCTAGAGGTGGATGGATCTTTTCAGGTTACTGGCCGGCCACTGACGCATAACATGAGCAGCCTGACGCAGCTTGCTCATATTACTCCGGCCATCTTCACTGACGAAGGCAAAACTTTGGCAACGGCTGATGAGTGGTACCTGGAGCTGTCCAACATGCATCTGGCGCAGCTGCTCTTTCAACACAACGACCTTGTCGCCAGTGAGGATGACTGCCGGAACAAGTACGTCGCCCGCCATCTCTTTCGCAGACTTGCCAAACAGGGCCGTCTATCAACCTTCGGCTTCGTACAAGACAACTGGTCCACTCCTGGTTCCACGAAGATGACGCGCCTAAGAATTCCTGCCCCAGACGGGTCGGCGGCCTTCCGCCTCTGGTGCGACGACTTCAGGCCGACCAATGTCCTTGTAGGCGGCTCCAGCCCTGACGGTGAGGTCGAAGTGGCTGCTGCGATCGACTGGGAACTCACGTACGCGGCACCAACACAGTTCGTTCTCGACCCGCCCTGGTGGTTGTTGTTCGAAACGCCGGAGATGTGGGAGCCGCCAGGCGTCGACGAGTGGAGCAAGGCGTATGGGCTGCAACTGGAGATATGGCTGAAGGCTTTAGAGGAGCAGGGGAAAGGCGCTGTGTTCCTGGATGGCGTAAAGCTCTCGGCGCACATGAGGGAAAGTTGGGAAAGTGGTCGCTTCTGGCTGAACTACGCGGCGCGGAAAAGCTGGGCTTTTGACGCTGTCTTCTGGTCCTTGACGAGCGCTTTTTTGGCGCACGGGACTCGAAGATGCCTGATGAGGAGCTGTGGAAAACAAGGCTGGACCTCTTAGGTCGTAAAGAACAGCAGGCTATGGAACCCTTTGTGAAGCGGAAGATGGAAGAGTCTCGGGAACGCATCTTGGCGGAATGGGAGCCGGCTGAGGCGAGACGTCAGCTATCACTGTTGTTAGTGGAACCCATTACGTGAGGGCGTCGGAGTCCTCCATCACTGAAGCCGCTCGCTGGAGGCTTGGCCTCAGTCTGGCGCCTTTTAGTGCGGTTGATCCTCGTGCGGACCACGTGCTGCCAGACTATATAGCTCGGCGTGTCATCATTGGGTTACACACAGGGAATATGAATGAAGAATAAGTATGGCCCCTTTTTTACATGTGATCTGCTTGTGCTCTCTTGAACGATGTGCAGCGACATGTGCAGGTGGATGACGAGGATCGACGGCTGTTCTCGTTCCCAGAACGATGGAATCAGTACAAGGATAGATCGAGGAACCGATGACCCACGCGTGAGCGAAATGGATAAATGAATAATGCAAAACCCAGTAATGAATAGGGCTTTCTGCAAAACAGCATTCATGGAAAAGAGGGGATGGAGCGAGGAAAAGGTGCTGGTCGAGAAGAGGGAGGAGGAAAGAGAAAATCCCCCACCGAAGCGACCGGTACGTACCGTATCGCGACCATACCCAATCGGGCTAGCGCCATCTTACCCTTTGGTCCCCCGTGCGTTCCCGCCGCGGGTGCGCTAAAATGCGGCTACGCAGGGGGGACCTGGACTGCTAGGTAGCTTAATTCCATCGACCAGCCTCGTTCTGCTCCATGCACATGGCATTTCACTTTCGCATATACACCACACCCTTTTGACTTCAGATCAACGATTGGATCTCTCTCTTTCTACTGCGTCAACTTGCTTTCCAAGCCGAAAGTAACTGCGCCTTAGTTTCGGCCCAGCCTCTTCCGCATTAAAACTCCATTGCTCCCTCCGTCCGTTCAAGGCCACCCTCCCCCCGAAATATGCCACCAACGTCATCATTCGTCCGATAACGCTCTACTCAGCTAGGCCTTCTAGGACGTTCTGGCTCTTCGTCGCTTTACTCAGCGAATCATTCTTGCTCAGAGTAAGCGCCCTTTACTCTCCAACTCGGCCCGTGCGCTATTAGCTGCCACTGCCGGAAACGACCTCTTCTCGCTGGGCACGGCCGACTTGGACTTTTGCGCGTCCCTCTGACCGGCCTTCTTGTAGGTCGAAATGTAAAACATGATGAATAGGACCAGGTACGACGTCAGGATCGCGCCGCCCGTCACCGCGGCAAAGAACTCGCCGCCACACCGGCCGACGTGGGGCAGAATATCCTTGAAGTAAGTATCCGCGAAGACATCGTAGAAGCCGAAGTAGACGAATCCTTGAAGACGAACGAAGAGTCAGCAAAAGCATCTATTCCGTACTCTCGTTGTAGAGAGGGCCCAACTTACCCAGGTCAAGCACGAATTGCGCAATCTGCAAGCGAGTGATCCACTGCTTCCACCACACCTTGACACCCCGCGCGGTCTGGAAGTAGTACCAGTACATGACAACATGGACAGTCAAGTTGAGCGTGATGGGCACCCAAGAGAGGGGCGTGCCCCCAATCATCTGGGAGAAGCAGAGAAGCGCGGTCGCCGGGTGGTGGTAGCAGTGCAGGAAGGTGAGAGGCTTCTTCTTGACCATCAGGAAGACGGTGTCGATGAGCTCGTAGTACTTGGTGAGGTAGTTGATCTATTTCTCGTCGTAAGCTCCTGCTTACGTCCAATTCCCACACGGTTACTTACGTAGTACAGAAGAACGAGTGGTTGAGTCCAGCCCGAAACCCCGCATATGTTCTCATAGAGGCCGCCGCGCCACAGGCTTGGCACGATCTGCTCGATGAACAACACCAGCAAGGCACCGCTTAGAAGAGACAGAAAGAGGTTGTGTATCTTGAAGAGCGTATTCAGCTCTACCGGCTTCCGGTTGCGCATCAACTCACGGCCACCAAAGATGACCACCAGGTAGAGCACAACCATTCCCACGGCTCCGCCCAGGGTTGAGAACGGCGTGTGGCCAGGAACGAACTCGAAGTCCTTGGTCGGGTATCCCATGACTGAGGTAAAAATGCTGTCGAACGTTTTCCATGGTGAAAAGGGCGATGCGGAAACCTGCCTTGCCATAGTCAAGGGGAAGGTGGTGTTTCCTGTGGCGAAGTTGTCGTTTAACATGTTTGGGTCTCGTAGGATTTTCGGGTAAGATATGCGGAGAGAAGTCTGTTGTCAGAAAATGTAGATGGTTGATGCAGATGCAGATGCTAATGTAGATTGACGCACATTAAACATACCAAGACTGGACGACGGGTCAGGCTCGTTATACGCTCCAAGCTTAGCCATCTCGATTCCTTGTTTCAGAGCGCAACTCAATTGCTTACAATGTCCCTCGATGACGGAGCCTTTCACATCTCCAGCCATTCTTTAGGGTGGCCAAGCGGGAGTCGCAACTCCGCCTATGGGCCGCCGTAGCAAACAGTCCGGCCTTGCGGCTTTTCGAACGGCTGTCGTTTCCATCGCTTCATTTGGAAATTGCACATGGACGTACCTCGCTGTCAGTGAGACGTGGCTCGAGCCGGGCATCTCCTGCCATATTGTCTTCGCATACTGGAGATGTAGGTAGATAACCGGTGGCCACCAGAGCATCTACTTACTGACCAACCTCCCACAGACGTCTGTCTACGTGAGCGAGGATCTTCAATCCTTCTTCCCGCAACATCTGGTATGTAATAATTCAAAATCACCAGCTGCCGATGGATTGGCGGTGCCGGTTCCTCCCATACCAGTGCGCCTGGAAATAACGCCGTTTGTCATGCAAGACTGTGCTAACAACAATCGGTCTCGTGAGCCGAGTACTGTCTTCCGCGGGATTAATGTTTCCGAGGTCGACCCATGCACGATGCGCCTAGAGTCGGCGCCTTGGATGGAATATGGCTAACGGCTTTGGTGCCATGGCCTGCTCCTATCCATATTCCCAATATATCACAACGGCGTCAATCTCATTTCCGACGACGCGATCTGCGAAACGCTTCTAGCGAGGACATGGCGATGACAACCATCGGCGGGATGTCTCTCTTCCTTCTTGGTATACAGATCTAACACAGAGATCTACACCTCTGACTCAACGTTATCGATCCCTTGAACCAGACCGCCGATATTGTCCTTGTTTTCGAGGCTCAATGAGGGGTCGGCGACCGACGTCATGATGCATCCTCCCTTTGTAAATCGGAGACCAACAGGAATCATTCCTGGTTGAATATTGTATAAGCTTACAACCTTGCACGTATAAAGCTCAAGCTCATCAATCTGTCGATCCGGGCCATTCCGAACGTCAGTACCGAACACCACTGAAGAAGCAACAGTAATCTTCCGTCGTCGTGCCCTTCACAAGCATTCTTCCATCTTACAGTCAACGTTATCATCCCCGTTCAGCCCACATCTCCTCTCATCTCCCTTTTGGTCCCGGAATCACCTACTCTTCCCCCCCCCAACTCACCCTCAAGATGGACAAGATCTCGTTCGGGTCAGTGATGGTCGCCGCGACAACATTGTGTTTTCTTGCTGCTCGTATGCTAGAACACAGCTTACTCCAAACAGTCGGCATCGCCTGGGCCACCGTTATCCCTGTTTATGTCGTCGTCTGGCAATGTTACATCTTCCCCTTCCATGTCTCTAAGATGCGGCATATCCCCACAGTTGCTGGTTTCCCACTTTGGGGCCAGTTCTTTGAGATCATCTCCTACGAGGTCGGTGAGCCCCAGCGCAAATGGCACAACCAATACGGCCCCGTCATCCGCTACTTCTTCCCCTTTGCCGCCGAGCGTCTGTCTATCGCCGACGACGAGGCCCTCAAGCATATGACGCTCAAGAACCCATACAACTACCCCAAGCCTGTCCGCGCAAAGCTCTGGATGGTCCGGATCCTCGGCGAGGGCGTTCTCCTGGCCGAGGGGCAGGAGCACGTCCACCAGCGCAAGGCCCTGGCCCCCGGTTTCTCTATCCAGTCCATCCGCGCGCTGACACCCATCTTCTGGGAGAAGTCACTCCTGCTAGCCAGATGCTGGCGGGAGGAGATGCGCGCCGACGGTATATCGACCAAGTCATTCGAGGCTCTTGACTGGCTCAACCGCACGACGCTCGATATCATCGGCAAGGCGGGCTTTGGCTACGATGTGAACTCCCTCGAGAACCCGGATGCGCCCCTGCGCGAGGCCTACCGCCTTTGCTTTTCCTTTGATATCGTCTCTCGCATCCTCATCGGTCTCCAGGCTTTCAGTACCATCTTTAACCACCTGCCGTCCAAGGTCAACCACGACTTCATGCGGTCGCGCTCCATCATCCTCGGCAAGGCGACCGAGATCATTGCCGAGAAGCAAGAAGAGGCGGCCAACAATGTCGGCGGCAAGGACATCCTTTCCCTCATAGCGTGCGACAACAAGAAGCTCAAGGAGGCCGGCGAAGCGGGCCTGTCCTTCGAGACGATGCGCGACCAGGTCATGACCTTCCTCGGCGCCGGCCACGACACCACCGCCACGGGCGTCGCCTGGACCCTGCACCTCCTCTCCAAGCACCCCGTCATTCAGTCGCGTCTGCGCGAGGAGATCAAGGACCATCTGTCCTTCCTCCTAGACAAGAACATGCGCTTCGACCCGGACCTCATCGTCGCCGCGGATGCTGACCGGCTCCCCTACCTCGACAACGTCTGCCGCGAGGCTTTGCGCTTCATACCGCCCATCCCTATGACAGTGCGGCAGTCGATCGACGACGACGTTCTGGGCGGGTACAAGGTCCCCGCGGGCACCGTAATCTACGTCCTCGCCAACGCCATCAACCGGCTGCCCATGTACTGGGGCGACCGCGCGGACGAGTTCGACCCGGACCGCTGGGACGACCTGCCGACAACGGCGACCCCCAACGCTTTCATGACATTCCTACAGGGCCCGCGTGGGTGCATCGGGCGTAAGTTCGCAGAGACGGAGATGAAGATCCTGCTATGCTGCCTGCTGAGCACGTACGAGTTCGAGCGGGACTTTGACACGCCTGATCCCGAGGACTGGAAGATGTGGCGGCTTGTGCTGAGGCCCAGGGACGGTGTCACATTGAGGGTGACAGCCATCTGATGATTGTTAAGCGCGGATGTCGATTTAACCCAAAGGGTTTGAAAACAGAGAAAACACAATCTTATGTTACTCCTGCCAGCATGGTTTCATTCACATTCACCAATCATGCTTTGCTTGGATGTTCTTATTTTGTCGGGTGTGTCACCAGGTTTGTGGGGAAGAATTGCCAACAGAAGAAATATGGAGCGATGATGACGAAGAACCGAGTATGAACTAGAAACGCGAGTGTAGACGTCTATCACTCTGCAACATCGAAAACTCTGCCGAAACCAGATTTGGAAAACAACCGGTGAGGTCTTCAATAACAATAGAGCGATATTCGCAATCTCTAGGCTCATCACATGCAAAACTAAGTCAGGAACTGGGTAGCTTTCATTTGGGCCTTGTTTGGCCATCTTCCGTCGAAGAGTCTGTTTACTGTGAAGCCCCCCTGATGTTTAGCGCAAAGTCGACTCAGGTTTCTCAAAGCATTGCTCTTGGTTCGAATATAAGCAATCGCCAACCGGATTCCTGCTGAGCAGGCCAGCTCTAGAGAATATGAGATTTCCAGGGTATGAGCTGCTGCCATGGAGGGCTACCTTGGGTACTCCTAATCGAGCTGCACAAACATGAACCGAGACAAACAAAGTGTAATAATGACCGCTTTGCCTTCTCCGACTCCCTAAAAGTTCCTGAGATTTGCCAAAGTCCACTGCCGGCTTGTTCCTCCCGGACCCGGCCGGCTTGCATCAACCCCACTTGTCTCCATCGCTCGCCACCCGAGCGGAGATGGCTAGGGCACAGCTGAGACTCCGCAGCTCGCCCACAACCTCAAGAAGACAGCAAAAAGAACTTTCTGCCATTGAATGGCTGATGATAAACTCCTCGACGGGGAATTGAACCCCGGTCCCCTGCGAATCGTGAAATTGACAAGCAGATATCCTCACCACTAGACTATCGGGGAATTGGTGGATGTGTTCATCCAGTGATAGTTGGTTGACGAGACTGGTAACAAGAGCCTTTATAAACCCTTTTGCTTATTTTATAGAACAACCAATGGATTGTTTGAAAAGCTATAGCTTTCGGGAGAAATGTCGAAGGAGACATCTGCAGTACGTTTACCAAGTCGTCCGGGTACCGCATGGGACCGACAGGACTACTCAAGCGCCAACCTTCCCAGTTGTTCAGCAAGGACAGGTTTTGACGCAAATTGGCAGCATTTCAATCCATTGTTTCCTTGGAGCTGAGAATTTTCATTCCCAGAATCGAGGCCGGGTTTGGGTCTTGTTTCCATCGCCAAAGTAAGGGCCAAGCAGACTCCGAAGTCAAGCGAGTTTCCGATTCTGCTGTGCAACAGAAAAAAAAAAGCTATTGATCAACGATGAAGTATCCCTAGAATGCTGTAACGATCAGATTCCTTCCTCTTAACTCTCCATATTATGAAGCCGCCTCACCCTAGTTTACAGTAACCGGGTTACAAGCCACAATACCGACACAATCCAACAGCCCTGGAAGAGTCACACTGGGGCTGAGAACCGGCGCGACGTTGATCAGTGAGCCGCCTCCGTCGGATCCCGCCTGCTGCTGCTGCGGCGGCGGCGGCGGGTGGGAGGCGGCGTTTGTTTAGGCCGGCTCAACGGATATGGGCTTTGGGTCCCGTTGTCCACCGTGGCCGGGTTGCAGATGGCAATGCCCAAGCAGCCGACCACGCGGCTGGGCGAGCAGATCTTGGGGTTGACTTTGGGATAAACGCTGACCTGGCACCGCGCGATTGGCCGGGCGGTCGTCGGTGCCAAGAGGAGTGCGATGGAGACAGGATGCATCTTGTCTTTGGGATTGGTTAATGGGAAAGACGTTGGTTGGACGAGAGACGAGACAACGACAGATAAGAGAGGCTCGGACAACGACAGATAAGAGAGGCTCGGACAATGGGTAACGAGACTCGAGAGACAGTTGCGCGCGCGACATACAACTCACCTCCCAGAATCTGTTCTAACTGAGTGGTCGACTTATAACTGCCGACCCGGCTGGCCCACTGACTCTCTACACCCCAGCACTTCTAAGAACGGAGCCTCATGACGTACAGACGGCGCGAGCCTAGCTGCCAGCCTCCCGAACGGCGAAGCAGTCGCGCGTCTAGCGGCTCTTGGAGGCCAAGGCAAACAGCGGTCCTGCGGAGAGCCGTCATCCGAGGTGAGGCTTGAGCCAACCGGGACCCATGTTGGCCGTGGAACGGCGTTGTGTTCTGGCAGATCTTGGCGCCGGCAGTTATACGCCAGTCGTCCTCGATCAAAATAGCCTGGCTGGCCCCCAACCCTCCCACGACAAAGGCAGCCGTGCCGAGGCTCGTACACTGTTTCCTTTGCCTTGTTGTTCCCCCCCCGGAGCTGTTGTTAGACCTGCTAGGTACTTCGTTATTGTTGCCATTGTTGTAGTTACTTGGGGTAAGAGTATCTTACTCGGGAACCAGTGGGATTTGACGGTCTGTCAAGCCAAACGAGCACTAACTACTGTGGCCGTATGGCTGTCTTTTAAGGAATGCAGCTGAACTTCTTCCCCAAGTTCGATGGGCTTGCGGCATACAACCAAAGGTCTCGCAAGTATGGATGAGCTTGGAATCTTCAAAATTTTCAATGTCGCGGGAGAGATAGCAAAAAAGTGGACACATCGTCGCGAGTTGGTGAGCGTACAGAGATTCGAAGGTCCAGGTCAGTCAGGCATTGGAACACGGCCGAACCTAGGAATATGTCACTGGCCTGCATAAATTAGAAAACGAAGGTGAACTTTCAGACTGTTGTACCCAGCGACCCATGTCGTCTCGAAGTCTTTTGATGGCGAGATTCTTCTTGCTTCAGACACCGCTGATTCCTTGCTGCGAAATAATGTTGTAATATGACCTCTCGCCATATTGAGAATATCCGAATGAGTCAACAACCAGAGCCTCTGGATTAAAGAAAAAGGAGGAGTGAGCCGACTCTACAAAGCATCAGGAGCACATATCAAAAAGAACGGCAAGAGTGATCTGACTTCCAAGTGAGGCATCTAGTAGTATTGACGCCGATTCTTTCAGTCAACAGGTGGTCAACGAGCATCGTAAATATCCAGTCGCTCTTGTTTCAAACACCCTCTCGATAGGTAGCAGCGGTTCCTAACGTGTAAGTTGATTAGCGATATGTCAACGTTTCCGGGCAATAAAGTTGATGCATGCATACAACACAAGACATAACGCTAGAAGCTAGAGTGAGGAGTGCAGCCTCATCGCCGAGACCTACTGGGCTTCTTCCTCTTCTTATTCTTCTTCATTTTCTTCTTCTTCTTTCTCCTTGAGCTAAGGAGCCTAGATACAAGTACAAAAAAGAAAGTACACATCAGTGCAAGGCAGTTAGTGACCTCGCTAACGTTATTAAAGAAGTGAGAAGCTGATAAAGGAAGAGTTGGATTCCTTGAGCTAAAGTCTTTCGGCTGGAAGACATTACAGCTTGCCAGGGAACCTAATAATTCATCGACTTTACGTAACCCCCCCCCAAACCATCGGAAATACTAAAACAGTTTGCGCGTTGTCTCGGTTCTGCCAGAAGCATGATTCCATCGTGGGCGCCAAAACAGGGGTGGAGTGGACTTTGACTGTACAGTTCTGTCAGGAAACGGAACGAGGCGTGTCCGTGTGACTTGGTGATATACCATTGGAAGAATGTGAGAAGTCGCGAACTGTAAGCAAACAGACGAAAGCCTCAGAGGGCTGGAACCGGACGGGGTAAGCCGCATCAAACGAAAAGGCCAATGAGACCGGCACGTTGACGGAGCAGCATGCGACGTACCAGACACCTTGATCTCCTCTTTCTTTTTGATACTGCAACATGATTCCCCTTCCGTCATGCGAGAAAAAAAGTCTCTCCGGGCCGAGCTTTTCAACCCAAACCCATGTTCCCTGGAGCAAGCACCGAAAGCGTAGATGAACAAAAGGTTGTGGCTCACGAGCGATCTGGGAAGGTCTCAGCCAAACTTTCATGCTCAGGCTGGTATGTCGTCAGAACCGTAAGAACCCCCCTTCCAACCCCTCCCCCCTCCTCTTCCCCTCCCCCTTCTGAGATGAGACAAGTGATGTGATGTCAAAACCTGACGAGGCAGACGTGCGAAGTTGAGGCGTTGATAGGTGCGATCAAGCCACAGGTGCGTTCTGCTGGGCAGGGATCCACCTTCCCGCTTTATCGACCTCTGACGTCACCCCGCCTCGAGCTCACCTTGACGTTGCTCCCCTCCATCGTCCATAAGAGGGCCCTGGTCGAAATCAACTTACACGCCTCTCTCCTCCATATATAAAGATACCAAAAGGAATCCTACACTTCATGCCAAAAAAAACATACCTCAATCAATCACTGAAGAAGAAAAAATATCTCTTTCGTCCCCTAACACAACCAAACAACCCATTTAAAAGACCATCCACCATGCCTGTCGGAAACAACGACCAGAACACCGGTGTCACCGGCGGCGCCAAATTCGTCACCTCGGCCCTCGGCAACACCGTCGGTGGCCTGACCAAGACGGTCGGCAACGTCACCAGCGCCGCCACCACAGGCCTCGGCGACACCATCACGAGCGCCACCGGCTCGGCCGGCCGCCCCGTCGGCGACGGCATCACCAACCTCGGCCAGGGCCTCGGGGGCGCCCTCAACCAGGTCGGCAAGGGTGTCGAGGATGCCGGACAGTGGAAGAAGTCTTGAACAGCGGCGAAATGAGCACGGTGAATGAGGAATAACTGGCGAGGATGGATTGGGAGATTATTTACTTGTATTATTAGGAGCGTTAATGGAACAGGGACTCGGAATGGAGTGAAACCTCTGAGAATGATACCTAATTTGATCTGCTTGGACATACGTTATGACTACTGGTGATATGTCATTGCTTTGTGTTGGAATACTGGGTACAAGACACGTGAACTTATTCCATCGTGGGTTAGACCCAAAGAGAAAGAGACAAAACATGTTGTTGCCTCTTATCATCTATTTCTCTATACCCGCGCCGTAATGATGCATGAATGTAGTGTACAGTATATTACAGATATGTGACGGTTTGGTACAGCAGACGATGGAGTGGAGTTGGCCGTCCAGGCGCCTCATTCCTTCTTGCGGAACTGAAGGTTATACGTCTCGAGCTGCTCTTTGGTCATCTTCCCCGGGCCTCCGGCGAACTCGTCGACGCCGTTGTTGTTCTTGGGGAAGGCAATGACGTCCCTGACGGACGACGAGCCGCTCAAGACGGCGACGAAGCGGTCGAAGCCGATGGCGAAACCGGCGTGCGGCGGGCACCCGGCACGCAGCGCTTTGAGCAGGTGGGAGAACTCCTTGATCTTGTCCTGGCTCATCTTCAGGATGTCGCGGAAGATGAACTCCTGGATCTCGGCGATGTGGATACGTCGGCTGCCGCCGCCGAGCTCGACGCCGTTGAGGACGAGGTCGTAGTGGTCGGCCTTGGCCTTCAGCGGGTCCTTGAAGAGGAGCTCAAAGTCCTCCTCCGAGTGTGGGGCCGTGAAGGGGTGGTGGGTCGCCGAGAAGCCCGAGGCCCCGCCCTGCCCGACGTCGCCCTCCTCTTCCGGGGTGAACATGGGGAAGTCGGTGACCCAGAGGAACTTGAAGCTGTCGTCCCTGTCCAGAAGACCGGCCTCCACGGCGGCGTGGTACAGCGCGATTCTCGTCTCGCCGAGCTTGGTCGAGCCACCTTGCTGGGGCTGGTCCTTGCGCGCCTGGAACAAGATGATGTCGCCGTTGTTCAGCTCCGAGAAGCCCGCGTCCTCTGGCAGAGCGCCGAGAATGCTGTCCAGTCCTTCCGGCCCCAATGCCGAGAAGCCGTTGAGCGGCTTGCTGCTGTCAAACACCAAGGCCGTGGGTGCGCCGTCCGGGTTCTGGGACAGGCCCTTGGGGAGGTTTTCCATGAAGTCGATCACAAACTTCCACACGTCTCGTCTATCAACGTCTTCGTGTGGGCTGATTTTCCAGACTTCGACAATCGGTGACTCGAGGTCCGTGATCATGCTGACAAAGTTCTTGTTGAGGTGCTCGTCAACCCGGCAAATCTAAGTCATGTTAGTAGCCGATATTATATCTGCTATCGAATGGGACTGACTCTGTTTGGGATGCGCAGGTCCGGTTTGTCGGATCCGTAGAGATCCATGCAGTCGGTGTACTTCATCCTCAGGAAGGGCGTAGAGATCGCGGGGTACTCTTGGTAGATGGGCGCTTTGGCGTCGTCCTTGGCGCTGTCCTGGATGCTTTGCTCCCAGTTCTGCATGCAGTCAGATTCGGCGTCAGAAGCCACGGAACACTCGAAGATACGGACTTGCAATGATGCTTTCCTGACTGGCGCGAACGAGTCTTTGCCCACTTCCATGACATATAGTTCTCTCAATGTGTCCCACGCACGACCCACGACGTACTCGACGTCCTCCATGATGGTCACACCCGTTGCGAATGACTTTTCCATATCCAGCTGAATGGACGACGGGTTAGCAATGGGATTGGGATTCGGATGATGTACTAGACGCATACCTGAGTAAACTCGGGCTGACGGTCCGCGCGATGGTCCTCGTCGCGGAAGCAGCGCGCGAACTGGTAGTAGCCTCCCATGCCAGAGGCCATCAGGACCTGTTTATATTGCTGGGGGCTCTGCGGCAGGGCGTAGGCGTGTCGCGGGCGCCTCGTAGGAACAATAAACTCTCTCGCGCCCTCCGAAGTAGACTTGAAAAGGATTGGCGTCTCGACGTCCATGAATTCTCGATCCACCATCGCCTGTCCCATAGTGGACTTGAGCTGGGCACGGAAGCGGAGTCTCTCCCTCAGCTGCTGGTGGAATCGCAACTGCAAGTGACGCTGTTCGGGGGGGAAAACGGTATCGGGGCCGATGATGATGTCCTTGGGAAATGGGTTTAGGTACTGTATCGACTCCATGTCCATCTCGAAGCGTGCGGCACCTGAGGCCTCCGTCACAACACCCTTGACCAAGACGGCGCTGAAGGGACGTATCTTGGCCAGAACAGCCGCATTCTCGCCTTTGGCACAGATCTGCCCGATTCGTTCTCCATTGCGCTCCAAGTGGGCGAAGGCTAGGTTCTTGCCGACCTTTCTTGTTCGACCGATGTGTCCGCTGACAACAATTTCGCTACCTGGGTTGGTCCAAGTGTCCGGGGAGGACATCTGAGGGAAGGCGACTGTTTGAGAGAGAGAGAGAGAGAGTCAGCAAGACGCTTCCCAACTAGCCTGCCATCCTTGAACTTGCTCACAGCACTCCTTGAATTCCCCCGATAACTGTGTATGCCTCGACTCGTCTTGGACATTCCTCGTTTGTGTTGTTGACAGACAGCGTGCCCGGGGGCTCCGCGAAAATGATGCGCTACATGACGGTTTCTGTAGGAGAGAGGTGCATCGGATGAGGGGTTGCGACTGCGGTACCCGGGGTTGCAGGGCAGCCAAAGTTCTACCGCGACAACATTGGCGAAGCATCTGGAGGGTGGGACAGAGGCGGGGATGGGACAATCAAAGGCGCAAGAGTTTCCGTTGAAGCTAAGGATGTACGGCGACCGCCTCTGCAGCTTCAATGGTTTCCAATGGCGAGGATCAAAGTCGTTATGGCTGGCTCAAGATTAGGTGCGAATTTGTGACATTGAAGCTATCGCAGCTCAGCCCACTACTGTAACGAGACCCTGCAATGATTTTTGGATCCAATGGGGCAGAGGTGGATTGCCGCTGTACGGCGCTTCAGCTAGATCGGTAGAAGGGCACCGTTAGTTGGTGCTTGCAGGCTGCACCTGAGGCAGCAGGCAGGCAGGTCCCCACCAAAAAAAAAAAAGTGATTGGCGCGGGGCAGATGTTCGATATAAAAGTCTTTGTCGCGAGCGAGCTCTTAAAACTTTCTCTCCTTTCCTCTTTATGATTCTTCCATTTCAAAAAAGTGTACGTTTGGTCTCCCCTCACCACCAACCACCCTACGGCAACCAGTGCGAAGATGACAAGCTAACAGAACGGTTTCCAGGTGATGATAGCCACGTGGATAATATGATGCAGCCACCTCCGTCTGAGGCATCCGAGCTCTCCCCTTCGGGCGGCTTCAGGGCAAAGGTGCCAAGGGCGGAGGGGGCCATGAAATAGGCGTTCGACACGACCTTGTTACAGCATCGGACGCGATGAAAGGCAACTCTGATTTTTTTCACGAAATGGAAGATTTTTATGTGGGGTCTGGGGGATTTTCTACTACAAGACGTCTGTCGCGGCCATTGGATATCAAGTGATGTCGAGAGTCTCGTCAACGTCACCTTGCATGAAGGCGCAGCCTCGGTGGGATACGTCGATACGTTTTTCCCTGACGCGGCACTGCCCAGAGAAGGCGGTGGATTGCAGCCACACAGTTGAGATGGTCGGCAATTCCTTTCGAGCTGTTGGAGACTGCGTGGCAGACAAAGAATGGAGAGTCTATCCGAGACTGAGGCCCCGGTAAGAGATGGCCACAGGTTCTGAATACGCACGTGTACAGTAGAGTGTTTAGTCTCGTCGATGCATGTACATGGACGAGGATGGCGCCCTGAGCGGGCTGCCAGTGTCTATTCCTAGACTAGAAGAAGCATCAATAAGACCGATGATGAGAGCAAACGACAAGGTCTGTGCTCTGAATGCCGTGCGATTGCGATGTCGCTGCATGTGAATGGAGATGATTCAGCGATTCAGCAAACCCCATGTCCCCCCAAACTGTTTCAATGTCACGGTTTTCTGTTAGATGGGCTATACATGCCCCTCGCGCTGTTGACTGTGAGGACGTAGGGCCTTCAGGCATTGGATGGACAATGGCCAGCATGATACTTGGCCGATTGATGCTCTTATTTTATTTCCGATGAGAGAGGCTCTCTCCGAAGGGCCAGACATGAATGATGAACCGTTACTGAGTGCTTAGAGGCAGAAACGGAACAGCAACGGCAGGCAGACGATCAATGGTGCCTCTCCCGGCCCTCCCCACACACACCTCGTCAGGTCGTTGGAAGACCCCGGCTCGCCGGACCTGCCAATTCTCGCCCGTGTCATGCCGCGTGGGATGGTCCATCTGTGTACCTTGACTATAGTGATAACACTGCCTCAGTGCTCCGTATCCGCATAACATGATGGAACATTCGACATTCATTGAAGACATGCACTTCGCGGGTGACTGTGCCTGTGCTTGTGACTATGGTGACAGACACGAGCCTCAACTCAAGTGTTCGGGGGGGGGGGGGGGGGGTTCACGTCGCGCGGCCCACCTCGCTCGCAGAAACGGGCGCTAGATTCGAAGGAGCATCGCCCTTTACCATGTACTACTTACTACCTATTTTGGAGAATGTCTTCAGCGGTCGACTTTTGGTTTTGTCGCAGATGCCCTCTCTCACCGGCTGGCGCAAATGCACAGACGCCGGAACCACCTTTTGTTCTGATGGGATCGCTGTGACAGTGACGGTGTGCTGAACTCCCTGCTTGTCACGACGACACTGCGAGCGAGCCCGTCAACGCAGGGTTCCCTACCTATCGCATCAGGTTACGGCCGGCCTAACCGGGGAGTACGTACCTGTACCTGGTACATCATTCATTTGCGCGGACTGCCTGTCTCCCGTTGGTTGAATGCACGGCGCCTCGGGCTTGTTTGCAAAGCCAACACATCAGAGAAACAGATAAGGACATAGCGAAACGGACAGACAGAGGAGGGAAAGAGGGAGAGAGAGAGAGACAGGACACTCACGCCCACACACACATCACACCAGGAGCACACCTCGGCCCGCACCCATTCACCTACATACCTACACTATTACCGCGGTACCACCATCCATCCCATCCATCAACCAAAGCATACCTACCCATCTTCTTACCTAGCAACAGGGTCGCCTTACGTAGGCTCAGCCCAGCCCAAGCCCGACCAGTCGACCTCTCCAAACCAAGACCGTGGCCCGCCCACACACACACACTTCCTCTCCACCCAACCAGCCTGGCCAACGTCGACGCTGACGCTGACGCTGTCCGTCCGTCTGCCCGTCCGTCCTTCATTTCCCGCCCACCCAACGAAGCAAGTCAGGCCTACATCGCGAAACCGATATCCCAATCCGTATCTTTAATCGAAATCAATCATTGCGACCGATCCGACGCCCTGTCATGGCCCCAGGTTCCAACTCCGGAACCGAACCATCCCTCCTGCATTAAAGCATTGAAGCTCCTCGGGGCCCAATTTCGCCCAGTCGAGGGTTTCCCTGGCCTGCAACCTCCGTCGCGCCCCCGTCACCGATACGTCTCCACCTCGCCTGTCACCCACGACCCGAATCGCACCTTACCTACGTCGCCACCTCGTCTTGCTCCAACTCTGTCGAGGAAACCCAGGTTGATCGCGATACTTCACCGAGGCCCGTGACGGCACGGCCAGTTTCTGCGACCGCTTCAGTGCGGCTTTCGTCCGATCCGCCAACGACAACTAGCTTTTCTTCTGTCGCCAGGCTCACCGACTGCCACGAGATCCTCACCTTCTCAGACCGCCCCCAATATCCGCCAACATGTCGAGCTCATTTGAGAAATCAGTCAAGGGGGCCACCAAGATAAAGGTCGGTTGAAGAGAGGGCTCTGGTTCAGCCAGCGCCCCCGTGTCACTCTCCCCGTCGTGTTGCTGACTTTGCATCTCCAAGGCCGCGCCCCCCAAGACCAAGTACATCGAACATATCCTCGTCGCGACACACGCCGGCGAAGCTGGCGTCGCCGAGGTCTTCCGCGCCCTGCAATTCCGTCTCCGAGACTCGATATGGACCGTCGTCTTCAAGGGCTTGATTACCGTCCACCTGATGATCCGTGAAGGCTCCCCCGATGTCACGCTCTCCTTTTTGGCAAGGCACCCGAATACGCTTGCTATCAGCACCTTTACAGATGGTGAGTTCTAGCCTTGTCCTCACCCGCTATGCTGCCCCCTCATACACTCTGATGCTGACGTGGTATTGCAGCCCAGACGCAAGGCCGGAACATCCGCCATTATGCCAACTACCTCAGCGCGAGAGCCAAGGCCTACCGCGAAACGAAGTGCGACTGGGTCCGGACCAAGGAATCGAGGTTGGAGAAGCTCTCGGTGGACAAGGGCCTCCTCCGAGAAACCGAAATCCTCCAGACTCAGATCACGGCACTGTTGAAGTGTGATGTGAGTTTGGGATCCGCTGTCGCTGAGTGCGACGGCTGCTGACCCTCGCTAGGTCCTCGAGGGCGAAATCGAGAACGAAATCACGGTTACCGTCTTTAGACTGCTTGTGCTAGACCTCTTGGCTCTCTTCCAGGCTCTAAACCAGGGAATGATCAACATTCTTGGTAGGTTGGCGAGGTCGCTTCTCTTGTGACAATGACTGACACCAATAGGCACATTTTTCGAAATGTCCAAAGTCGACGCCGAGAGAGCCATGTCAGTCTACCGCAACTTCACAAAGCAGACAGATTTTGTCGTGCAGTACCTCGGTGTCGCGCGACAGTATGAGCATCAAACAAGAGTCGAGGTCCCCAAGTTGAAGCATGCGCCGGTGAACTTGGGTCGACAGCTGGAGGAGTATTTGCAAGACCCAGACTTCGAAATCAACCGGAGGCAGTACATCGCCGAGCAACAGGCCAAGAAGAGCGGGAAAGGAGGCATCTCAAAACCGTCAAGCAGTGCGTTCGACTCGAAGCCGACGCCCGCAGCCAACAACCCTTTCCCGAGCACCAACGGGTCTGTGCAACCAAAATCAGAGACCGCCAAGGGTCCTGCGCCAGATTTGATTGACTTCTTCGAGTCCATTGAACAGAACCAAACGACGATGGCTTCCAACCCCCAGCAACACCAGGAGAATCAGCAGCAGCAGCAGCAGCAAATGCCTATGCAGACCGGGTTCGCATCCAACAGCCCGTTTCAGCCGCAACCTACGGGTTTCCAGCAGAACGGCTTCGCACCACAGCAGACCGGCTTTGTACCGCAACAAACGGGCTTTGGTGGTAACCCGTACCAGCCGCAGAGCACAAATCCATTCGGTCAGCTTCAACAACAGCAGCAGCAGCAACAACAACAGCAACAAGCGCCGCAGCCGCAGCAACCCAGCTTTACCGGAGCTGGGTTCGGCGGCTTCACCCCTCAGCCAAGCTTCCAGCCAGGCACGCTTGGCTCAATACCTCAAGACTCGGTGGCAAGCTTCCCGACGGGCAACACGAGCATGCTGAGTCCCCAGCCCGGGCAGCAAAACACCAACCCCTTCAGGGCATCCATGATGATGGCCCAGCAGACGGGCATGTCCAATAATACCGCGCTTTCCAACCCGACGAGTTCCAACACCCAGAGGCAGTCAACGAACCCCTTTGCCCGATCATCACCACAGGCGCAGCAGCCTTTCGCTCCCGCCCCTAGCAACTCGCCCTTCCAGTCGCAGCCCCAGCAACAGCAGCAGCCGCTGCAGCTTCCCCCGATGGCTCCACTGCAACCTATGATGACGGGTACTAATCCTTTTGCGAAAAGCTTCACCGCATCTCAGTTACAGCAGCAACGGCCCGCTACTAGTTCCGGAGCCCTTGCCCCGCAGCCGACAGGGACTACGAATCCTTTCCGTCAGGGCGCTTTCGTTAATCACCAGACTGGTATGGGTTGGCAGAATAATCAGCAGCCCATTGGCGGCGGTCTGGATAATCTCGAGACGGTACCCGTCTTCCCGCGACCCATGCAGCAGAGCCCGTGGCAGACGTAATAGCATAGGCCCCCAACTAATTGGCCGTCCGTTCCGAATACACTACACCTGTCCATTAAGGCAACCTATTTCAATATTTCGAATCAAAGCGTGGCGTTTACCAGGGTTTTGCTTGTACACTTGAACTACACGTAGTAGACGGCGAGGGCTTGTCACCAAGACAAGAAAATGGCCCCACGACCCGGTGGTGGGACTGGTCTAGGCCGGCAACCATCAAAGCAAGAGTTTGAAAAGAAAGAAAAAAAAATGTATTATCTAGTGAGCATATTCAAGATGTAACTTCTTGCATAGTGGGACTATCGTTCCCCCTGCGCAAACATTCCTGGTGACTTGCCGGGTTCCAGGATAAGGGCAGTAGCCTTTTCTAGTCGTTGTCTTGAAGTTAATTCACATCACATCCCGTTGCCCAGATAACCCCGAACGCCTTCGCTATGCAACCCATGTTTTATCTCTAACCCCCCTCCCCCCAAAACCCAAGAGGTGAGGCGGCAGTCGATCACCTAAAAGACGTCGTCCACGTCCATCCTCTGGGTGGTCTGGCCCGTGGTGGCCACCTGCGCGGCCTCGGTGGTGGCCACCTTCTCAGGACCCTTCTCGTCCTCGATGAAGACGGCCAATCCGGAAAAGGCTTCGAACATGGCGCGGCCGAGGTACTCGTTGGCGCTGTATCCACCGACGACGATGTCGTCCTTTTTCCTCGCCTCGTCGATCCAGTGATTGCGATACTCCTCCGGCGGCCCCATCGCGTACCTCTCCATATCGAGCTTGAGGCCGCCAAATGGATCGTACGGCCTGTTCTCCTCGACGACGCGCTTCTTCTGCTGCTTGAGGCCGCGGATCGACAGACCCGGGGCCGTTGTGGCGTCGGACAGGGACCCGACGGCGGAGGCAAGACGGTTCTGGCCCCGCTTCTTGAGCAGGACGCGGTTCAGCGTCTGCTTGGCCTCCCCGGCGTCGCTGCTCGCCAGGCCGTCGAGCATGGCCTCGCGCAAGCGTTGGCCCTGCTGCTTCTCGGCGGCGTCCTCCTGCATTGCCTGCATGCGCCGCAACCGGGCCTCCTCCTTCTCGGCCTCGAAGCGCGCGACGCGCTCGGCCTCGGACTCCTTGGCCAGCCGCCTGTTGCGCTCGATCTCGGCCTTGTGCGCCTGCTCCCACTCGATGAGGCGGGCCTCGGCGGCCTTCTTCTCGGCGTCGGTGCCGGAGATGAGGTCGAAGGTGAGAGTCTCGACCCATTCGAGGTAGCCGTTGTAGTCCTCCAGGGTCTCGAAGTCGTCCTCGACCTTATTGAGGACGGCGGCGACGCGTCGACGGATGTCGACCTCGCGCTCGACGGAGAGGTCGCCAAAATAGGCCGACTTGAAGCCCTTTTTACGCAGCGTCCGGTGGCAGCCGGCGTAGGGGCACTGGTTGGGCCCGTCGGAGAAGATGCGGGCGACGCAGTTGGCGCACATGGGGTGGTAGCACTCGGGATTGATGAGGAACTCGAGGTCCTTGTTGAGGTAGCGCATGGTCTTGCATACGGGGCAGATGTCGTTCGTCGAAGTGGGCGCGACGCTGGCGGTGTTGGAGGCGCGGCGGGTCGCCATGATGGCGGCGGCGGCGACGGCAGCGGTTGTTCGTCGTGTCGCGGTAGAAAGGCGGGACGGGGGTTTCGAGAATGATTCGAGGAGAGTGGTGAAGATTGATCAGGGCGGCATTGGAAAAGAAGAAGATGTCCTGCACGATGGTTTGCTCCTTCCGACAGGTGTCAAGAGGCAAGGCTCCTTCTTGCTTGCGTTGGAGAGGGTTAATTGTATTCTGAGAAATATCGCGTGAGGCCCCCCCAAGGTTCTTTGATGTAGACGTGCAAGGCTGACGGACAGATTTTATTAAGCGGGTATGATTGGCTGGAGCTGTCGAACCAGGTGCAGGGGCCTGGGTCAGGGGTCTTCGCAGCTACCCCTCCAAAAGATTCCATCAGCCTTTCTGTTCCTTGCTGTTTCCACAGCTTTCGACCTTACAAACCCCCACCGTCTCAGCAAAACAACGAGAAAACATGGCTGACAACGACAAACCCGGTGCGTCGCCCATTCTCTGAGATCGCTTCTGAATACCGGAAGCGCAGACGGGACGTGTAGATTCTTTGGAGCTGACGCTAACCGTGGGCTCTCGACAACAGAACCCACCCCCGCCGAGCAGGCCGCCGCTCGTGCCAAGGAGGAGGAGGAGCAGAACGCGCTCCCGTACAAGTGGCAGCAGACCATTGGCGACGTCGACATCACCTTCAGCGTCCCCGGCAACTACAAGAGCAGAGACCTCGTCATCGACCTGAAGAAGACCAAGATCTCGGCCGGCGTCAAGGGACAGGAGCCCATCATCAGCGTTAGTTGGCCCCCTCCCTCCCCCCCATCCTTTCTACTCCTCGGCCCAACCGCCAGGTTGTTTCCCTTCTCGAAAGAGCGTTTCTCTCCACTCTACCCGCACTACGAATCCGCAACGTCAGGCGCGTGCGTGAGACTGACGCAAGACGCAGGGCGACCTCTCCCACCCCATCACCGTCGACGACTCGACCTGGACCCTGACCTCGGCCCCGGATGGCACCAAGACGGTCGAGATCCACCTCGACAAGGTCAATAAGATGGAGTGGTGGGCGCACGTCGTGACCACGGCGCCCAAGATCGACGTCTCCAAGATCACGCCCGACACGAGCAAGCTGTCGGACCTCGACGGCGAGACCCGCGGCATGGTCGAGAAGATGATGTGGGACCAGCGCCAGAAGGAGCAGGGCCTGCCCACCTCGGACGAGCAGAAAAAGCTCGACATACTCAAGAAGTTCCAGGCCGAGCACCCCGAGATGGACTTTAGCAACGCCAAAATCAGCTAGATGGCTTGTCCCATTTGGAAAAAAAATAATAATACACGAGAGATACCACGCGAGTCCGTTTTGTGCCCACACCACTGAGACGCATGCAAGTCACGATATACAGGAGTGTGCGTTTGAGCTTGATCAAGTCGTCTTTATATTGAGTTGCATCATCTAATCCAGCCCGCGACGGACAGAACTGTCATGGGTGAAACGAATCGCCAAAACCACGGGATGAGCAAAAGCTAAGGGTAACGGCGTCAGAGAGCCCATGTGGAAAACCATTGCTCTTGGATCCGCTAGTAATGGTGAAGCAGATTGAAAGCTGCAGCCCATCAATTGTCAGATGTAAGAAGCGGTCCGTATTTCCGACACGGCCAGCAGTAGCCAAAGCTTTAAAAAGAAGAGGCATACGGCTCAACACCTCACACACTCGTCATCACCAAGAGGCTGCGTGTAGATTAGTAAAGCAATAGCAAAAAAGTCTGAGAAAGCAAGATACGCCAGGCAGGATCCATGGACTACAGAATCGCTGACCCGCACGAGACCCAAACATGAGGGTCTTCTCTATCAATCCATGTTTTCTATCCGCTCTATCCACCCTTTCACGTCCAGATGGATGGCGTGTTGCGGGAACAGATCAAGATGAGGAGGCGGCAATGTGGTCGCCACGCAGGGACTCAGTTGATGTGGGGAAATCACTTTTACCAGAGAAACTGCCAAAGTACGTTAGCCACGACATCTCCCTGATTAAAAATGCAAGCAAGGGGGTGCAATTGGCAACGAGATCAGAAATTAGAACCATATCCACACAGAATGATTGAGATAGGGATAACTGTATAATAAATTGTCTTGGTCATCACTTCGAAGAGGGGGGGTGTGCGAAGAAAAAGTGCAAATCTTACCTGTGCATGACGTGTCAAGGCGATTTACCACTTCAGATACGGCGCGCTGCCTGTGAGGTGAGACCGAGGTGGGTGAAAACTGAAGGATGTGTTAGCCAGACTTCTAGGTAAGAATGCCAAAAGGAGTTGAGCAGTGAGTCCAAAATCAGAAATTAGAACCATATCCACACAATGAGATTGAGATAGGGATAACTGTATAAAAAATGTCTTGGTCATCATATTGGAGGGGAGAAGGGAAAGCGAAAAAGGAAGAAAAGAAAAAGCCTTTTACATACGTAGTGTTTTCGAGGTCCGGCCCGGTTACTGCCTGGAGAGACGAGCAGCCTTGAACTTGCTGATCCGCTGACCACCGTCAGCTTCGTCAAGGGGCCGGACCACAGACGTATCTTCTTGCAGAAAGCCGCCTTGCTTCTGGATGAAATTACGTCGTTGACGGTGGTACTCGTCAGCAAGGTCCTGGTCGATGAACTCGTCATCATAGGCGTCTTGGTCGTGAGGCTTGGGCTCCTTCTCGATGATCGCATCCGCCAGCGTCTTCCCTTCAGGACCAGTCGGGGCCGTCGGTCTGTCCTGGTCGAGGAACCGCGAGGGCACGTCGCGCGGGCCCATGGGAACAAGGCCGTCCTCGACGACAGTCGGGGCGGCCTTCTGTTTCTTGAAACGAGACACCTTCCGGTCGGACTTGGCTCCTGTCTGCTTCGCAGGGCCAGAGCGCTCAACAATGTCGCTCAAAGGCTCCACGAACGGCTCGGGTGCAGCCTGCGCCACAGCCGGTGCCGCGGTAGTTGCCAGGACTTCTGTATCGGGGGCGACATCCAGGCTCCGGGAAAATCGAACACTCTTTTTTTTGTCGTCCGCCTCTGCCGGCGCAGTGCGCAAGATAGATGAGGGGGAAGGTGGTGGCTTGGCAGACTCCACCGCCTTGCCCTTGTCGCCGTGGTTCACAACAATGCGGCCAATGCCTTGCGTGTCGTCGTCGGACTCATCGGCCTCTGCCTCAACTTTCTCAGTGAAGCGAGACTTGACTCCGAGCCGCTTCTCGAGCTCCAACATGCGCTGGTGGTATCCCTCGTCGAGCACGCTAGTCTTGGACCGTCCATACTGGTCCTCTTCGTCGTCGTCGTCGAGGTCAGAGTACTCGTACTCCCAGTCGTCGTCATCGTCAGAACCTTCCTCGAGGTTGAGTTCGGCCACCACTGCTCCTACTTCTTCCATGCCGTACTTCAACATTTCTCGACGGAGAAAAGCATCTTCCTCGGACTCGTCCTCGGGTATAACGGGCGGCTGGCGGCCAAACTCTTCCTGAGCTTTGGCGGTTCGCATGATTTCTTCCACGCGCTGCGCAGCCCTCGGAATCGGCGGCTCCGTCGGTGGCTTGGTGTTTTCGGCGAAAGACACAGACTTCTTGACGGCGACAGTGTCATCCGCCTTGCTCTCGGGCTCCGCTGCTGTTGCAGCCGCGACATGCTCGGCTGGCGCAGTCGTCGCGGTAATAGATGTCTCAGGCACCTCAGCGGTGGGCTCGTCAGAGATATCTTCGACGATGGCCTCCTTCTCGGGTTCTCGAGGCCCCCCAGCGGGAAGATCCTTGACACCTGCCTTTTCTAGGATCTCCTTGAGCTGGGCGCTGGAGTCGCCCGGCCGCTGCAAGCGGCTATTGATGACGTTGCCCTCTTCGTCAAGCTCCTCAATGATCTCCGTTATAGGCAGACCATCTTCGTCCCGGACATCTGGGTTGCTGACAACAGTGGCAGCAGCGTGCTTCTGTTTGGCAGACTCGAGCTGTTTTTCGAGCGTCTCGATGTTCTTGGATACGTAGTCGATACGTCGCGACAACAGGTTGACGATCTGCTCGGCTGGCTTGAGATCGATGCGGCCAAAGAGGTCGTTGATTTCCTTCTTGTCAACGACCTCGCCCTCGAAGTCCCTGCGAATGCGCGCAAGATCCTCTCGACTGGCAGGTTGGGGGACAGACTCTATCTCCTCTTTCAAGGACTCATACTCTGCATCCCATTTTTGCCAGTGCAGCAAGGCCTTCTGCAGCTTGGCAATGTTGTCCTCCAACTGCAAGCGATGTCTTTCGAGGTCGAGAAAGCTATCTCTGACTGCTGCCATGTTGAAGAAGAGGAATGAGGTTGAGAAACGAGACGGGGGGAGCAGAGAGGTAGCGAAGAAAAAAAAATTCCTTGGACGGTAGGGGTTCGAAGCTCGAGGAAAAATTAGGTAATCGATTGACGGAGCGATCTGCATTAGGTAAGCGAAGCCTGGTGGGTAACTTCGCTGACCTCGGACCTCTTCGTCCAGCATTCCTCCTTCATCACCAGGTGGGACAAACTTTTCCCAGGCTTTTCAGTCAAATGCACCGTTGAGGTACTCATTCTTTTGGCAAAATCTCCTGTTTTGTCACAAATTTGTAGAGGTCCAGGGTTTTCAAACCAGTCCTTCCTTTAAAAAAACAAAAAAAAAAAAAAAAACACACACACAGAAAATAATAACAATAACGATTTAGCCGCTGGTCACTCCTTTTGACACCAATATCCTTACACACAAGCTCAAGCAAGCCGTTCTCGCATCTTTCTATGTGTCGTGAGTATAACGGCCATGGTTCCAGCTGCAATTAGACGCCGTTCAAGTGGCTGTCAACGTGTCTCTGACTGCGTTTCATCTGATGAATAAATAGGCCGCGGTAGCCCAGCGACCATGAGATCATTACCTGACAAAGAAAGGCTTACCCACACGTACAGTTCTTAAAACTTCAGCAGCACTTTGTTGATCTATTGTATTAAGCACCAGTCGGCTCTTATGTATCTTCCTTCCCGGCCAACCGTCTAAGATATTATTTCTCTTCACTAGCCAAAGAACACGGTGCCTGAGATACGAATCATAGCTCGGTATGACCATGAAGCCCCGAAACGTCACACCTAGTCTTTTTCTCTTTTAATCTTGATATCTTCTCCTGGTTATTCAGCCGTTGATGAGTTGAGCATTTTGTTTGAATGGCTGACTTGAGGCTGGCCGCCAAGGAAGCCTACTTTACCCATCTATTAGGGATTCAGGGTCATATACCCCGGGGTCTACGACAGGTCTAGACTTGACGCCAGTCTAGGATCTGGAAGATTTGCCACAATCATATCCGACCTATAGGCCGGGTTGAATGGTGTTCGGAAGAATCGGCAAGTCGATTCGGTCCAGCGTACGCCAGCAGCGAACGGAAGCCCCAAGTCCGGCGGTGCCCACCAGTATAGTCCTTGCTGCGGATTATGTCTGATTTGGCATATGCCGTAGTACATGGATTCGACGTCCCTGGTCAAGCCGTAGAATTCGGTGATGATCTTTGGAGTGTACAGCAATCGATGGTCTGGCTGGGTGAAGAAGTGCTGGCACCACTGTGTGAGTCGTCCGATCTCTTGATGGTTGAGGAGCATCACCAACTTCGGGCAGTCTTGAAACGACGTCGTGGACAAGGGTCCTATGGGTTGCTGAAATGGAGCCGGATTGATCCAGTGACAGAGGAAGGTCTCCAAGTTTTCTGGCTGTGTGACCTCCGCAAAGAGTGTTGCTGCAGAGTTCCCACTCAGCCTCGTGCCTGGCGGGCAGGCCAGAAAGACGAAATGCTTTGGTGTTTGGTTCATCATGGGTGTTCGTTAGGGTGGTCTCGAAAGATGGTTATATGAAGTAAAGGTTCTATGTTTGCGTGATGACGGGGGTGTTGGGATCTGCTGATATGGTTTCTGGTGTGCCTTTTCTCCGATGGCTGTGTGCGCAACAATGCCTTTTGATGCTTCGCGAAGGATGCAACAGCAGTATATTTCTTAACGCAAGTTCATCTTATGAGGGGCAGCAAAAACTGTTCGTACTTGCCATCGTCTTATGATTTAGTAGTTCCATAGTAACGACTGCGGTTATGTTGAACCTACCGGCGACATACGAAAGCATCGCAGACTGCCGAGAATCAAGCTTTTCTTATTTGGAAGATTTTTTTCACGTGGGATATAAGGTGTTAATCACTGCCTGTAAATAACGGCCTCTTTTTCGCGTGACACGTTTTGCCATGATTACCGATAGTTAATTGGTTTTGAGGGGGAGATACAAACCACCCGACTTTCAGATGGCAGTTGTAAGGCAAGTCGTTGAAGTGCATCGCTCTCTGCCAAGACGTATAAGTGGCATTTACGCTTCCAGATTGGATTGGCAAGCAGGTCTAGGCAGGAATGAAGGCTGCTCGTCACTGTTTGGGGGAAGGGGGATAGACAACCGGCTCGTTTGGGAAGAACAAGGCAAGCGAGCAGCTCTCACCCCGGCTCTGCGAGTGTATTTCAACGATTATTACGGACCAGAACCCAAACTAGGTCCTGGCAAGCGATTGACTTAGGCGCACGCGGTCTCGCGCTTCTTTTGGGGGAGAGACGGATAGACGGATAGACACCCCATGGGGTGACAGAGCCGCGCGCCGTCGGCGAAACTCCGCAAGACTCCGCACTGATCTCCCATTTCGTCACTGTTCGTTTACACGTATGTAAATTGTATGCATGCTCCGGCCGGCTCTTTTGTCTCGCAGCTTCTGGTCACCTTCTCAGGCCAACCATTTTCCATCTTCGCCCCCCCCCCCCCCTTCTGGATTAGCCTTTGCGGGGAAGCTTAGCTACACCGCAGTGCGGTTCGCCCCTTGTCACATTCAACATGGGTTTTTGCTTGCTGCGAGGCAAAAATCAGCAGATATTCGCTGTTTACTGGGCTGTGAGAGTTGCGCTATTTTGCTCCGATGACAATGACGCCTGATAATGACTGGTTCAATTGGCGGCGATGGAAGGGTATAAGAGAGGATGATAGTATGACGTTCTGGACGACTTCGATATGGTGGCTCGCCGCACTCATCGCCCTCTCGCAGTGTCTCTGGATGCTGTGCTCGATCCGAAATCCTAGAAAGCCGTATGGCAAAGCAAAGAAGTGGTACAGCATGCCCGCCCGCGCCCCTGTTCTCCTGTCGGCGGTCGCCATCATGGCGCTCTGCGCGATGGCGAGAGTCGAACCTCCGCTTGCACAACAGTACCTGGCCTCAATCACGACCAGTGACATCACTGCCAAGTTCACAGTGCCTGCATCGGCAGACGAGGGAGCTCTTCTCATCCCCAACGTCAAAGATCCCGAGGCAGTTGACCCGCAGAGTGTCTGCCCGGGCTACACTGCTTCAAACGTCCAGACGACCTCTCATGGGCTCACCGCCGAACTTGACCTTGCCGGTCCATCTTGCAACCTCTATGGGAATGATATCGAGGCATTGTCGCTCGTCGTGGAGTACCTGGCATCGGACCGTCTCCATGTCCAGGTTCTGCCGCGATACATCGGCACCGAAAACTCCACTTGGTTCATCCTCCCCGAAGAGCTCATTCCGAAGCCCGCTGCAGACGGCAAGGCGAGCTCTGACGGATCAGACAGCGACTTGGAGTTCAAGTGGGCGAACGAGCCGACATTCGGATTCAAAGTCTCCAGGAAGAGCACAGGCGATGTCTTATTCACGACGGCTGGGACAAGGCTGGTGTTCCAAGACCAGTTCTTCGAATTCGCTTCCCCGCTCCCCAAGAACTACAATCTGTACGGACTTGGCGAAGTCATTCACGGCTTCAAGCTGAACAACAACCTGACCCGTGAGTCTAAACCCCCAACCGAAGGACTTTCTTTCCGCTCACTTTGCTAGGAACCATCTACGCAGCGGATGCCGGTGACCCCATCGATGGGAACATTTACGGCTCCCATCCCGTCTATCTCGACACGCGCTATTACCAGGTCGATGCTAATTCCAAGGAAGCCGTCTACGTTGCCGAAGCCACCGACAAGAATGCAGAGTACAAATCGTACACCCACGGCGTCTTCCTACGGAATGCTCACGCACAGGAAATCCTGTTGCGAGAATCCAACATCACCTGGAGAGGACTCGGCGGCACCATTGATTTGTACTTCTATGCCGGCCCGACTGCGGACGCCGTGATGAAATCGTATCACAAGACCACCGTCGGGCTACCCGCGATGCAGCAGTACTGGACTTTCGGCTTCCATCAGTGCAGATGGGGCTACACTAGCTGGGACAACTTGCAAGAGGTTGTGGACGACTTTGCCAAGTTCAAGATCCCGCTAGAGACGATTTGGGGTGAGTTGATATGCACAGGAATTGAGAGAGGATCAATGCTGAACCACGAACAGCCGACATTGATTACATGAACCAGTACCGGGATTTTGAGGACGACCACAACTCATGGGGCTACGAGGACGCCGCCCGTTTTCTCGACAGCCTGCACAGAAACGGACAGCATTTCGTGCCCATCGTCGACTCCGCCATCTACGCCCCCAATCCCAAGAACGCGAGCGACGCCTACGCGACATTTGACCGCGGGGTCGACGCGGACGCCTTCATGCTCAACCCCGACGGATCACTCTACATTGGCGCAGTCTGGCCCGGCTACACCGTGTTCCCCGACTGGGTCGGCGCCGTGTTAAACGGAAGCAGGACGTTCGAGTGGTGGAAGTCGGAGCTGATGGCCTGGTTCCAAAAGGTCACGTTCGACGGCATCTGGATCGACATGTCGGAAGTATCATCCTTCTGCGTCGGCAGCTGCGGCAGCGGCAACCTCACCCTCAACCCCGCCCATCCCCCTTTCTCTCTGCCCGGCGAGCCCGGTAACGAAGTCCTCCAGTACCCCGAGGGCTTCGGCAGGACAAACAGCACCGAGGCCGCCGCGGTGTCTTGTCTCTCCTCCTCCCTCGCCGCCGCGACCCCGTCGTCGCCTTTTTCCACCACAACGTCTTCTTACCTGCGCACGACGCCGACGCCCGGCATGCGCAACGTCAACTATCCGCCCTACGTGATCGACAACATCCAAGGCGACCTCGCTGTGCACGCCGTGTCTTCCAACGCCACGCACCACGGCGGCGCCCAGGAGTACGACGTCCACAACCTCTTTGGCCACCAGATCCTCAACGCGACCTACCATGCCCTCCTCTCCGTCTTCCCCGGCAAGCGCCCCTTCATCATCGGCCGCTCGACCTTCGCCGGCTCCGGCAAGTGGGCCGGCCACTGGGGCGGCGACAACGCCTCGCTCTGGGCCTACATGTTCTTCTCGATCCCCCAAGCGCTCAGCTTCAGCATCTTCGGCATGCCCATGTTCGGCGTCGACACGTGCGGCTTCGACGGCAACACTGACATGGAGCTGTGTTCCCGGTGGATGCAGCTCAGCGCCTTCTTCCCGTTCTACAGGAACCACAACGTAATAGGGGCGATCCCGCAGGAGCCGTACAGGTGGAGCGCCGTCGCGGATGCGTCGCGGACGGCCATGGCGATCCGGTACGCGCTGCTGCCGTACATGTATACCGCCTTCTACCGGGCGCACACGTTGGGGGACACGGTCATGAAGGCGCTGGCGTGGGAGTTTACGGACGAGCCGTGGCTCGCCGGTGCGGACCGACAGTTCCTGCTCGGCCCGGCCGTCCTGGTCACGCCCTGCCTCGAGCAAGGGGCCAGCACCGTCGACGGCGTCTTCCCAGGCATCGGCAAGGGCACCGTGTGGTACGACTGGTACAACCAGTCTGCGATCACGGGCGTCTCGGCCGGACAGAACGTCACCATTGACGCTCCCCTCGGCCACATCCCGGTCTACATCCGTGGCGGCTACGTGATTCCGACGCAGGAACCGGGACTGACGACGAAGGAGAGCAGGTCTAACCCCTGGGGCCTGCTGGTCGCACTCGATGGCAAGGGCGCCGCCACGGGCAGTCTCTACGTCGACGACGGCGAGAGCCTGGACCAGGAAGCCACGCTCACAGTGGAGGTACGTTTGCTTTATCCCGACCGCAGATACTTGACGCTGACCCCTTTTGCGTAGCTCTCCGCTTCCGATAAATCTTTGAAGGCCACCCCGTCTGGTGGCTACAAGGACGCCAACCCTCTCGGTACCGTCACGGTCATGGGAGTACAGGGCGATGTCTCGGCGGTGACTCTCGACGGGCAAGATCTCGACGACGCAAACTGGTCCTTCGACTCGGTCACCCGCGCCCTCCGAGTGACTAACCTGGGGCCGCTGACTTCCGAGGGCGCGTGGTCGAAGCCCTGGGGGCTGGCCTGGTCCTGAGAGTGGCGTACGAGTCTCGGAAAGCGCGTTGCGGCTCTCTTTGTGCTGGACAACGAATAGGAGCATGCGTATTTGGGGAGATGCGCTAATGTAGTCCGCCAGATCACCTGGGGATAGTGCGTGACTTCGGCATTGAGGGCAGAGTGGAAGCCCACAGACTGGCCACTTGTAGCTTCTCACGGCGCCATGCTTATCTTTACGGGCCGAAAAGGTTCCAAATACAATACGAGCATTACTTTTGTAACAACTTGGATCTGCGGGGTGTATTCGGCGGGGGTCCGCAATCTATTCTAGGCCTCCAACGCCACCCGCAAGATGGGTGATAACGTAGCTTCTTTGCCAAGAGCCTCATGAGTTTGTATTGAATAGACGCCAAGCCTAGCCGGATACAAAATGTAGTTCAGGCCAAGCTGCACGTCCTTTTGAGCGCGCCGTGACATCAGGGCCCCGGGCAAGTCAGGTCATGGGTTCCATGTCTCATATTATGAGGGAGCGAGTGTTCAGAGACCGGCGGCTTGAATCTTCCTCACTATCTGGGAGATACTATACATTCTGATGTGCTTGCTCAGCCAGTCCCGTGAAAGTCCGTCATTGCCCTACAGCTTTTGGCTAGCCAGTCCTGCTTTACGGCAGGTCGATGTGTATACAGACTCGGCGTGCGGGTGAGCAAGTTGAGGAGATGCTTCGGGGTCACTACGTGCCCATCAGACTGACGCTATCAAACTGCCTCTCGAGGCGCAGCGTCTTATCATAGCGATACAGCATCCATCCGTTGAGAGGTAGTCATCGTCATTGAAAAAAAAATTGGTATCATTCAGCGTGCAACGGTCCTGAGTCTGTCCATGCTGCTGTACTTCGCCGGCAGCTTCTCCCGCCGTCATCCACGCTGGTTCGTGCTCCTCACGTGCAAAGCTGGAGGGGGGGAAGAAGAAGCGGAAGCCGTGAACCCAAAGACTTTCTCGGCACCACCTTTTCCCAGCGCCTGCCTGCCTGCTCAGTGACCTCGTCCGCGGAACCTCCGGTTACCCCGGTCGCGCCACTTGCCTCCGCCGCGACCGGCGTGTCTCCGATCCCCGTGCCCGCGGTCATCGTGCATGTCCCTCTGCCTCTCGCGTTGCTGCTGCTGCTGCTGGAACGCCTCGCCGTCCTCCCTCTCGCCCTCCTTCTTCGCCTCGTCCTCGCCCTCGACCTTGGCGCTCGGTTTCTCCAGGTCCGTCCTCCACCGCGGGTGCGCGCCGTGCTTGCAGCCCGGGCCCTCGGGGCAGAAGCCGACAAGGTAAAACGGGCACAGCTTCCTCCTGACGTGCTTCTTGCTGCAGCGCGGGCCCAGGGGGCAGAAGCCCTTGTCGTAGTGGGGGCAGGGCGGCAGCTTGGACTGCGGGTCGATGTGGAGGTACAGGCACTCCTCGCCGTTGGAACAGTAGCCGTTGCGCATGAAGAAGTTGCACTCGGGCATCTTGCGCAGGTTGTACTCGTGCAGGAACTCGCACGACTCGCCCTTCTTGCAGAGGCCGCGGAGCCAGTGCTTGCAGACGAGCGAGGGCCCGCCCGACGGGTTCGACGAAGTCGAGGAGGCGTGGCGGTCCGGGCAGGAGGCGCCGAGGGGGCAGTGGCCCGCGAGAAAGGACTTGCATTGCGGGCGGTCGGAGGAGAGCTCGTGGCGGTAGGTTTGGCGGAGGAACGGGGTGAAGGAGAAGGAGGTCGCCGTCGGGGCGTGGTTGAGGATCTGGGCTGTTTCCGGTCTGGAAGCGACGGCCGCCATCTTGCCGTTTGGTGCCCCGGTGGAGCTTTTTTGTACGCGCGAAGGCGATCTGATCTGTCTGTTCTGGTGTGTTGTCGTCGCGGCGAGCCGTGCTTGGGGGGGGGGGTTTGGTATCGGAGTCGCGTGTCGTTGCGCTGCTTCAGTAGTTTGCGGGACTGATGGTCGGGAGGTATGGTTTGATTATTCGGCAATTAATCAGGCGATATGTTTTTGGGTTGGTCGCGCTACTACTGGAATTCGTGCTTGATCCTCTTCAGGTTCTAGAGACTCTCGTGTTGGGAATTATTTCCAGCCCAAGACGATTTGCGAAACTCGGCCATTGTCGTTGAAGCTTGGGCCTCGAAAATATTAGTCATCACATCTGCTTTGGGAATTGGAGCTGTGGTGGGGCTCAACCTCTTCACGTCTTGCGCAGTGGCCCAGGCCCGTTCATGTTCCTCTTCAATTATCAGGATCCACGGGGAGGCATATTGATGTTTAAGAGACCGATATTACTTTACTCTGCAGATTATAAATGACATGTGGCGGCCGATATCAGCTACCAGCTTTGCGATCTGAGTGGAAAGCCAGTATATCATGTTTAGGGTGAGTAGCCCGCCTCTGAACCTTCCAGAGGCACAGCGCCCACAACAGCCATACAACGAACGCCTCAGCAACGCCGACGACTGCCACTTTTATGAACTTTCCGACAATGCTCTTGAGCAATATTTTTATGGGAACCTCTTCAATCTCGCACGATTCGTTATTAAAGCCGGCCGCTTCAAGACAAGGCCCCAGATCCAGACGTTGTTCCACGGCAGGCCGATGCGCGGAAGGCTTGGCAGCTCCGAGGTACGTCGGACTTGAACAACTCCAGCACATGCAGCCCACGCCAGACTTGACCTGAAGAGCCCGATTTGCCATGCGTGGCCCCATCGACTGCTGCGTTTCGCCCACTGCAATTCTTCAACGGCCTGCTGATAAGCTCAAGAACAGGGGTTATCTGCGGAATGGGGCACACTGACTCGTATGAAATGCCTTTTCTAGGACACGATCTAACTTGCTGAAGACAAGGGCAACGGAAGGCAGGTGAACAGAATTGTACCCGTCCCCAGGCAGCCAATCTTCGTGCTCTACATCACCAATGTAGAGTTGGAGATTGGGGGGGGGGGGGGGGGGGCTGCATCCTGTTGCATGGGAGACATGAGTGCGTGTTACGGTAGCTTGACCACTTCTTTACCAGGGTTTACTTGGTTCTTAGTCAGAATTGGATTGCTTGAGCTGAAGTGACCTTCGTATGCTCTAATGCCTAGCCTTTGGTGTCAGCACGAGAAGTAGACATGGTCAACTTCGAGGACTGCTCGCTAGTCTCTGTTCCGATGCCGAGTATCCTCTGACGATTATGTCCAACCGACTAGTAGACTACTACTAGTGCTCCATGCTGACGGTTCGGGGCAACTCCGAGACCCACGCCCTTCTCTCGCAGATGGTTCAAGGCAACATAGGTAGCCGGCGGGGTATAGACATGGATACCTGGCTATGGGCTGGGAATCCACGAATTTATCAGAATAATAATCCGTTGGCGAGTGCCACACTAGATATAACGAATCCTCAATCGGCATTGGCGGCATTCTACGTTGTCGAAGTACATGCAGCATTGGGATCCGGCTGCTGGGTGGCGGGTGCAAGCAAAAAGCGGGCGAAGAGACCGAAGGACGAGGTCTGCAACACATGTAACTGGGTCAGAGTTGCGACTCGATCAAGTCTCAGCTGGTTCGCGACAGTACTTGGCTATGATAATGAATGGTGTCGAGGGCAGGCAGACAGGCATCCCGGAGCACCTGAGAAGGGCATGCTGGTATGCCTCGAGGTCTAGCTATTGCCGTTCGCCAATTGTGTTTCGTTGCCGATGGCATAGTTGCATAGTAGAAGACTTGAACCGTGACCCCCAAGACGATAGATATCTAACTTGAGTCTCAAGTAGGGCGAGTCGATCGGAAGTAAGAGCTGTCCTTGACAGTGCTCTCGTATGGCAGAGCATGGCCGAGTCAAAAGTGGAGAAGGTGTATATGGGCGGGTCAGGTTGGAGTGGAGGATCTACTTGGAGGGGGGGGAAGGAGGAGGAGGAGGAGGAGAAGAGGAAGGAGAAGAGGAGGGAGAAGCAGAAGGAGAAGGAGCACTCAAACGTGGTCAGGAAGGACCCACGTTCTTTTGGCAAATAACCCTTTTAGTTCCTTCCTCATCCACTTAGTAATACCAAAAAAGGTAAGTACCCTACTCATACTCGGCCCGCCAAGACTGCCCGATGAGATGCGTTTTACCAATCTTTTTCCTTCCTTCCATTTTTCCTTCTCTTGCATTGAATTGACATTGGGTGTGGACCCCCAGCCGTCGGCTTCTGCAACCCCTCCTTTCTTTCGGTGGGATCCAAAACAAGCAGGCAAAGGAGGGGCCTTTTCTCCATTCTACTGCATTTCTCCTCCACCTACCTTGTCTTTACCTACCTACCTACGAGGGCATGTCGGCAAGACATTCCGCTGTTCCTTCCCGAGTAAAAGCCATGCAGTTGTTCAAAGGCACGCCACGTCAAGTTCCTGCCTCTGGAACGGCAGGAAATGAATGACATGACGCTGCACTTCTCGATCGGAAACAGCAATAGACACTCTTCCCTTTCTTCTTCCTCTTTTCCTCTCCGTCATCCCTCAATCCGTCTCGCGCCTCTCATTAAACATGAACCACAACGGCTGGCCAATTTCTCCTGCTAATTTCGGTCCTACGTTATGGCGGTTCTAGCGTGTTTCTTCCACCTTCCTGCCTCTGTCCGAATCAGTAGCTTAGGCCGCCGCCAGCTCAAGCCGTTCCCGATACCCGGGCCGCCCGGCCCTCTCTGTGTGTCGAGCCTAATGGCATGCATCACTTACCGACGTGCAGATGTAGCCATGATGCATGGCGATGCTTGTCGACCTCGACTAGACTTTGCTGATATCTTTACACCCAACTGGGAAGTCTTCTAAGCCCAATGGATGGGACTCGACTGCTGCGACTAATTTACATACCGAGTTTGCCCGCATATCTTTGTATGCGGAGGCTAGACCATATGGGAATACCAGGGTGCTGTTGCACCCACATATGGCACGCACACGGATACAGCATGCAGCCACAACACGGATTAACGACATATCAACATTCGGAAAAGTCAATCGACCTGTTTGGGTGGGCAAGGGCATTCGTGGATGGGTATACATCTCCTGTCTCGTGGGACCGATGCGACCAAGATGGCTCCGCCGAGACCACACCAGACTAAAGGCATAGCAAAAGCCGACATACAACGCCATGCGTGTCTCAAAAAGTCTACCCGCGCCATTGATCGGCTGCCATTTGCGCCCTCAACGAGCAAACAAGACAACAATGAACGGCCCATTACACCATGTAATGCAGGATCTTTCGTCGATACCAACTCGATCCTTCCTTGCGCAATGACCTCATCCGTCCAGTTCGTCGGATTCTTCTAGGTCCCAGGGCCATTTCCAATGTACGACGGTCATGTGCTGCCAGCGTGGCATGCAGCCGTCTGCACCTGTCCTCCACCTCAACCCATCGACTCCGTCGGCTGTTTCCATCCTTTGGCGGGGCACGCATACTGTATGCAGCCAAGTCCGTGGTGCCCTGTGCCCCCTCGACTTGCACTCCCCTACCATTGGGTCTCGTGCACATTGTACCGGCAGCATTGTTCAAAAAGGCCAACACCGAGACGGCCATTTCTGCTCGCCATGTCATGGTGTCTCGATGGTGCTCGGAAAACGATGCTGTCTGCCCAGGCCGATTCGCTTCGCGTCGAACCTCACCGCCTGGAGTCGATTTTCCATGCGTGTCCGCGTGTGATTCACTGGCTCCACCCCGGTTTCTCAGCGCGCGTGAGCTGGGATCTCCCCACTCCACAGCGCCAGACACCGCCGTGCTAGTTTACCGCCCAAGGGTTTCAGTGCATACCAGCCCGCCAGTTGGTCCACTCTTTGCACGTCAGTGTTACGGGCACTGTCTATAAACTGCTCAGCTTAAGATTCCTACCTCGTCGTCGCATTGAACCGGCAAATCGCTGGATAATAGCTGGGGCAATCCCCACAAGATTACGAGATTGCGAACGGATGGCAGACGCCGGTCGTTGGAAGTATCGTTGGGTGCACGTCCTACATTCCGAGCAATGTAAACAGCTTACTTGGCCGAGAGAAACGACATGTTGCTTTAAAGTTGGTGCACTGCTCCAGGCAGTGTTCACCACCTGGCCCCTTCGCAGCGTGTTGTCTCATTTAGCATGGGACCGCCTCGTGGATTCTCCAGATAGGCTTTCTTTTCTCACTCCGGGTTGGTGCGTGCTAACCTGGGACGGATGGGGCCCTGGAATGGCAACTTCTCCGCTGGTCTTGAACTCTTCCAGCTACTCTACCACCCCCCCTCCTCAGGCCCAGGCACGGCCCCAGTTCAACCGGTCTCAAAAAGCAACTTGTCGAGTTCTGCTCGTCAACGTTCTTCATCTCAGGCTCACCTTGCGGCTGAGACTAGCCCGTGTCGAGACAAGGACTGTATTTGGAAGAGGGGGAACTATGTCTCGAGCCCTGATAATATCCATTCAGGAATTGAAACCGAGAGCCCCTCGTCGCCTCATCTCGTAGATGGAGGTTGTCTGTCCCGACGGCCAGCGAACAAACACATCGTCTCTCTTGCGACGGACATATCTGCCCGGCCTGTGATGGCCAGAAAAAAACGAGCACTGTACGTGCTGGATCTCCCCCTGCAAGATACGGCAGCGCCAGGATAGCCGTCTCCGCTGCCGCGGGTCCCCACGCCACGCTTGCATTGGTCGGGCAAGAGAAGGCGTGGGAGGAATGCGGCTATCTATCACCAAGTTTAGGAACAACAACACAGAAGGCACAGGCACGGGCGGCGGTAGCCAGTAAGCTTTCGAAACGCCACCGGCTCCTTTCGATGCTTTACAGCTAAGACCTACACGCACGGCCGGGCGGGCGTGTCGAAAGCGGCTGCAGGATGCAGAAGAAGTGGGCAAACAACAGAGGAGGGGGAGGAGCGAAAGTAGCGGTGCGGTGCACATGGGTCACTGCTGTCCCCCTCCCCCACCACCCCTGCAACCCTGATCGTCAACTGCCGCCAAGCAGCGTTTGCTGTGGCCGTGGCCAACGGCCCTTCAAGCTACGAGGACAGACTCGCGCCGGACTAACAACTCAGACAAGAGAACCGGGACGATAGTCAAAGCAGTGGCGCCATAGTAGCGCAGTAAGGCGGCCGCGCCCGACTACGATGCCTTGCAATCTCTCGCATTGCAGCCCTCGTCACCTCTCTTCCGCTCTCTCACCTTGTCTTCTTCTCTTCTCGAAGGTGGCGACTCGGGGCTCCTCGTGCGTCCAAGATCCTCATATAGGTAGGTATACGACTTGACAGAGAGTCTCACCGGCATCCGTCCACCTCCCCCACCCCCCCTGGCAAGCGCAGGCTGCATCAAAGTACCGTCCTCACACCCCCATGATCCATATTCCACCCCCATCCCAATTATGTCATGCATCGTGGCTTCAAAGTATCCTGGGCCCTTTTGTAATTTTGATACCCCGTTGCCCCCACCGCTTCGGGCAAGGCTTCTTGCTAATACGTTCCCTCGCCGTAGCATCTCCTTGTCAGTCCCGCGCTGTGGTGTCTAGCTAGTCATATAGACCATTCACCCTCCGCGCTGATGGAGCCACAGAGGTTCGCGCTTGCTGCCCGAACGGACGGCTCAGCTCATTGCTTAAACATGCAGCCTTGGGTCCAAGTCTTTCCCTTCATATACCGACTGTCCTTACCACGTTCCCCTTCCGGCTTTGACTCTACGAGCTTACTTACTCCTCTTTTCTGCCATCTCATTTTGAATCTCGTCTGCTTCCGGCCATTCCATGGCAACCAAAGTCAGGATGAGTTTGTCATCGTCGTCGTCGTCGTCCTCGCGCAAGTCGCGCAGAACAACTAGCATCTCCAATGTCATGTACACCAACGCAGTCTACTTCCCCAACGAACGCATATACCAGGGCGATACGCCCGCCGCCATGAACTATGGCTGCATCAATCATGTATACTACGCCTTTGCAAACATTTCGCCCGACGGCGGGGTTTTTGTGAGTTTTGCAACCATAACAGCATATACCCCGACTGACCGGATGATATTTTAGCTGAGCGACGAGTGGGCCGATGCCCGCGCACCGGTTGACGGCGTCCAAGGTGGTCTTGGCTCCCTTATGCATTTGAAGCAGAAGCACCCGCACTTGCAGGTCATCCTCTCCATCGGCGGCGGTAGCTCAAGCGCCATCTTTCCCTCGGTGGCTGCCAACACGTTGTATAGAGACAACTTTGCCAGGTCTGCGAGGGGTCTTGTGGATGCGTCGGGCCTCGACGGCATCGACAGTAAGTTTGCCATCTTGCAGTAGTGGGTGAGCTTCTGACGTCTCTGGGCCAGTCATGTGGGAGTATCCGTGTGACTCCGAACAAGGCCACCATTTCCTCGCCCTCCTTGCTGCGGTTCGCCTACACATGCCGGAGAGCCATTACCTTCTCACGGCTGCGCTTCCCGCAGCGAGAGCAGTGCTGCAGTACATCGACCTCCAGCGGACGGCGGATTATCTCGACTACCTCAACCTGATGGCGTACGACTTTGCCGGCACATGGACACACAGGAGCGGGCATCACGCGCAACTGTACGCAATGAGCAAGGACGAAACTTCGGGTGCCTCGGGAGTTCAGTATCTGGTTTCACAGGGCTTTCCCTCGCAAAAGATCCTTCTCGGCATCCCCCTGTACGGCCGCAGCTTTCTGCATGCCACCGGACCGGGCCAGAAGTTCAAGGGGGCGGGCGGGAGCAACGGCACTTTCGAGTACAACCAGCTGCCCCGCCGCGGAACGAAGGAGATTGTGGACAAGAAATCCATCGCAGCTCAGTGTGTCGGCGCGGACGGCGGCTTCGTGACGTACGACAACCCCGACACGGTGAAGATGAAGGCGGCGTTCTGCAAACAAAAGAGCTTGGGAGTATGTTTCCGGCAGCATGCGTGGAGTGGTTACACTGCTGACATTTTCGCCAGGGGTTATTCTACTGGAGCGGGCCAGCAGACGCGAAGGACAGCTCACGGAGTCTGATAGCAACCGGGTTCAGGGCACTGCACAGCTCCTGATCGGTATCCCGTCGGGGCGATCGACATGGGATACTCTCGAGACACTTAGCAACAGCCTGCCGTCCTGCGTCGGCAAATGTCGGCCTGACGGGCCGGCGACCAGCTACAGAAGATGAACTGCATTCGCACGGCGCAAGGAGGGGTCGACAGCATCTGACAGGTCACACAACGCATTTAGTTTGGGCGGCTCTCGACATGGAGTTTGGCGTTGTAGCTTGGGGTTGTTGGGGTTTTTTTTTTTCTTTTCTTTTTTGCGGTCGATCCCGTTGCATTTTGCATGGAAGCATCTCGGATAGCGTGTGTAGAGAGATGTTTTTATTTTGAAGGGGGGAGGAGGGTTTCTTTTTTTTTTTTTTTTTTCCACATACCCCCCCTCGTAGGAGGGGAAGTTGCGGGGGGCCGATCAATTATCAAAATTCTGGAGCAGTTGAAGATATCCCGCATGGACACGAAGGTAAACAACGGGCGGTGTGGTGTGGCTTGCTTTTCTGCATGGCATCATTTGGCTTGGGTTGGCTATTCTTCATCATCCGTATCATGACTCACATTATAGATGGGTGAAAGGAGAATCGGAAAGGAGGTTTTTTTCTTCTTCTTCTTTTTTCTTGTGTAACTTTGGTAAGCATCTATCTCCTCCGTCTGGGTCGACGGAAAACAACGTTGTCTGAAGGAAAATCGCACGAGTCACGGGTCTCTTTATTTTCCATGTTCAGAAACTTGGCTTGATTCGTGGACCTTTGCCTGATTCAGAATTCCCGCCCCGTTGCTTGGTCTGCCCGTGGTGAGAGTTTGGTGTGTGCATGTGTCTGGGGCGGGTTGGGCTACCGGTACCACTGCGGTGGGTGTGGATTACTGAAACTGCGCGTGTGTGTGAGGGGGGGTGTGGTGGTAGTAGTAGTATTCTGTATGGGGTGTGCGAGAATGCGAGGTGAGTGCGGTACGGTACGATACCATGTACATAGTAGAATGAACCCACATCGATGACGGGTACCCTGCGTGTGGTATGTGTGTGGTATGTGTGTGTGTGTGTGTGTGTGTGTGTGTGTATGTGTGCGCGCGCGCGTTGGTTTATCTGTGTTCTCATTTTTCATATTTTTGGCCCGGCACACGGGTGGGAAAGTGAGATCGGAGCGCACTCCGAGTCCGAGATACGGGATGCGGAAACTACTCGGTGCGGCGGGCGGGTGCAGGGCAGGATTCGACTGCCTATTCGGGGGCGAGGGAGCGCGGACCCCACTCAGCAAGTGTGGGAAGTTGTACGATTGATTTCTGGGGGCTGGCGTTGGTGCTGTTTGTTCTGTGTGTTGTCTTGTCGTGCCCTTCCCCGAGGCGTAACGTGCTGTCGACTTACTTATTGCCTATCGTGTCTATCCTTGGGGGGGGGGGGTGCGGTTGTGGTTGTGGTTGTGGTTGTGCCCGTTCTGGAAAGGAGGGGGACATGATTGGGTTCTTTTTCGGAAACAGGCCCGCCCAATGAGGCGCCGGGAAGGACTATGCAACACGACCGATCCGGTATGTGATCCTATCATTATTACAGATTCATTTCGGAGAGGGTGTGCGTGCGCGCGCTGTCTCTCTCTCTCTCTCGTATTTTTCTTACTGCCTAAATCGGACATTGGCCGTTGTTGCGCATATTCCGCGCATCACTCGGATGAAGCGAAGAGGGGTCCCGGGGCGACGGCGCCGTTCTTCCTTGATTTGACGACATGTGGCTCCCCGTCCGTCCCGCGCCACCTGTGGGGAGGGAGGGAGGTGGGGGGAGGGTACAAACGGTTCTTGTTTGTTGAGTGATCGGTATCATGTTCCGATTCATGACCCTTTTTTGATCTATTCACTTTCTTGTTTTGTTGGCCGGACAGTCAGTCGCCTTGGACTGGAGATGGGCAGAGTCATGATACTGCATGCGAGGCTTGCATCTGGTTCATCACTCCCAGGGGGGGGGGGGGGTGTCGCTGGGATATCTGGCGGCGGATCTAACTCAGCAATGCCAGGAAGGGTAATTCGTTTGGGCAAGGGGGAGTGGCGGCCACCTGCAGGACTCCCATGGTATGGGGGGGCGGTACATGCGCAATCTTTTGGGCATTCCAAGTCTTGCATCGAGGCGGAAGACGGACGAGAATGTGCTTTGCATCAAGACGATGGCGGGATGCTGGATTGAGACGGTAGGTGGTAGCGAGACTGGGGCGGACTCAGCCTGCGAAGGGGGGGAGGGGTCGTGGCTAACGACGGCATGAATAGGATGGGTGTGCTGCACACGTGGGATAGTATCACGAGAACAGGCACGGCAACATGGGGGCGATGCAGTAGTGCCGATGACGGTGGCGGTGGAACGGTGAGGTTTCGGTGAAAGGCGAAAGGGGATGAGGTGAGATTCTACCATCCTTTGGCCGTTAGTAACAGGAGGGTTGTGGTGAGTTGGTTGATATGGGACGTGATGAATGCTGGTCCCTGGTCCATTATCACGCTAGTCTTGCGCGACCTAGTCACATACACAGCATCGCGTGCCGGCAGGCATAGACCTTGAGGTGCCGGGTGTGCCTAGCGTTGGCGTCCTCCCCGTGAAAACTTGTCAGGGCTGCTTGCTGTAAGTAAGTCGTTTGCCGAGCCACGTCCGAGCGTCATCTTGGGCGATCCAAGGCGAAAGTTTCTTGCTGCGGCACGGGGCTAGACATTTAGCCCCCCAAGGAGATTGGCTACTTGCAACGCAGAAGACGTGTTTTGGCAGGTTTTTGGCAGCCCGATGCTTTGCATTGCTATCGGGAGCCCGATATAGCGAAACATCGGGCTCCCACGCTGGTGAATGAATCCCTGCTTCACAAGAACGCCTCACTTCTCCTCCCGCTGGGCCCTTGGGGTCGCCTCCTAGGTACTGGCCCCTAGCTTTACTAAACCAGAGGAGGGGGTGTGTGCAGCCCACGAGCCGCCTTGTGCTCATTGGTAGGCCGAGAACCGCGAGGGAAGGAAACCGAGGCGGGTACGCACTGACTCGGTGGGCTTGTTGGATGGGCTGTCGAATGTGTTGTTCTCCACGAGGTGCGACGGGCCGTTTGGTTTGGCAGCAATGCATATTTTCGTCGATTGCATCCCCGAGGGGCACATCGCGGTGAAGTATTTGGACGGGGCTGTTCTGCTGCGGCAGGTGGATTTGCAGTGTACCCGAGGTGAGGGTCGGTGGAAGGGAGGGTGGTCATAGAACGTCGCCATCTCGGCAGGTAAGGTCAAGGCGCGGTGTACGCTACCTATGACGGATAAGATGTACGTGTACAATCGGGCGGTGGCCGCCGGCGGTTTTTCTTGGTGAGGCTGCGGGATGAAATGGGGGGATCTACGGCGCTTCTCGGGCGAGAGGGGCGGGGAGGACCATGACCGGGGGTGAGGATTCCATAGGTTACATGACTCGGTTATCGGAGAGAATGATGTGCTGAAGAATTTCTCGGGAACGGCTGGCCAACGCTTAAACTGACGTAGGTGTAACGGGCCCGGTAGTACAGGGCAGGCGGTTTCAAAAGAGCATTGTGAACCAGGGGGGGCAGAGTGGTGCTGGCATTGAGAATGGGAACACTTGGTCCGGCATGTTTCGCTTGGTTCGCTGTCAGAATTGTGGAGGAGGGAGGTTTTCAGACCATCGTAGTCGATAACATGCTCACATGCCCTTGGAGGGTGATGAGGGTGATGTCGGATCGGAGGGAGGAATTTGTGTGCGGTGCTTACTGCGATCGATTGCTAATCATCCGCCTGGTCCGAGTCGGCGATGAGAATGCCGAAGCTGAAATATCGGAGGTCACGAGGCGGACAGGGATCAAGCCCATGCCGAGACGAGCCGGGCTTGGAGGCTTCTTCGAGTACGCAATGTGGAGGCTGAGCAGCGACTCAGCCAGAGTTGCCCGCTGGACGACCAATTCGGCGTCAGGTTGCAGTGAATGCAAATTCAAACAAAGTTCTGACAAGTCAGCACAGTCGTCATCACGGGCTCTTTTGGGCCCAAGCCTATGGACGAAACCCTTCACGATCCCGTGGGCTGACGTGTCATGGAGAAGACATCCCGGCCTTGGTGATCATCTGGGTTATGTAGGAGGATGGCATTGGGGAGAACCTGGTTTTGTCTGACTGACATGTCTTCTCTGATGCACAGTAGGTCATGATTGGTCAATCACCAACTCGCATCATCCCTGCGGAATGATCTGATTCAGGGTTTTGACCGTCTTTGGCTCGGGCAGGGATACCCAGGTGAGATGTCGGATGATATGGTTCGTTATCTGACAAATGCCAACCCTAGGTTGGTCGGTTGGCGACCGAGATGACTTGTGATTCATGTTCTTGGACAGAACTCCGCATGTGGTTTGCTCGTAGCGGCAACTGCAAGCGTAAGCTGGGTCGGGGGTTTCGATCCATTGGTAAATGATGTCAGGGGAACTGCAGCGCAATCTTGAGGAACGAGGCGTGGCCGATCCACGCAGATGTCATACTGTATGGTGTGGTGGTGGACAGAAAGATCCATCAGCTAACGAAATTATCGGCGTAGGCTGTGTAATCGACCGATAGAGCTAACTCCGGTATAGGGCACATGTGTGTGTATGTGCTCCGAAAACCGGAGACATCGATTCGGCTTCTCTGTCTTGGAGCTGTTTCGCACTGTATGTCGAGAAGTTTGTTCACCATCCAACAGTCCGATATCGTAACGAGACTATCGCTTGACTGTTATGATTTATCTTGCTGGTTCGGCCTCGGGCGGGCCACCGATTCAGAAATGCCTTCTTGGGCCGGCCGACATCTTCAGTGAAGCCGAGGACTGAAAGAATGGCGGATTCAGAGATCCCAGCCGTGTATAGAACTGCAATACCTGCGTCGTAGAGAGATTTGTGCACCCGTGAGACGATACTTACCAATAAGGTGCCAATGTGGTAGAGCGCACCGTATCCGCCAACCATCTCACCATGTCGTCCTTGACCGGCGCAAGTGTCTATGGCCCAATTCCCTTCCCAGTCTTTGTGTCGTTGGAAAAGCGACAGCCTAAAGAGAGCACATGGCTACTTCCTGGGACGCTCGGGATTTGGTACCGGCACTCGGCCGAGACGGCACTGAAGATTCGGCCGAGGCAGCAATTATTGGCGATCCAATCGCTGTGACGGATGAAGCTAACAACATATGTGCCAACAGCTTCTTGGCGCGCTATGAGGCATCAGCTTTGCTCTGATCTGTTCGGATATGACATTCTGTCGGGCTCACATAGACAAGCAGCACCCAAACTGAAGCGGTGTCCATAATCTTGACAATCGGCAAATCGTGCCATCTTGCGTGGCGAAGAGCGTAGTGACCCAAGAAATCAGGTTGCCGGCTCTCTCTGTGTCTTTTCCCACTGCACCCAATGGATGATGAGCACTGGTGAAAGGGAGAGAAAACACCCATGCTCACTGGAACGTCATCTTAAGGTTTGGCTGAAGAAGGAGGAAATCCGAAATCAGATGTTCCCCAGACTCCCCAATGTGGGATGACCCAAATTAAGGAAAAAATGGATTGAATGGGACTTGCTTCCAGAACATGATAGGATGGCTCGGGACGTAGGCCGACTGGTCCGGCAGATCCCGTCGCAGAATCCCTGCTTCGCATCTTGACACGTGACGACATATCGACACGGAGCTCGGAGCTCAGACACGCAGCCCGGTTTCGGGAATCTGACACATGCAGCAAACCGTCCGATAACTAGCAAAACATTGCACTGCGACGATTTGCACTTCCAGCTTAACGTGGTCAGTATGAACGGGACATCAATTGGCGGGAAAACTTCCCTCGATGCTGGTACATTACCCTGTCCACGCCCCGCGCAGCTCACATCTGACTTGAGGCAGCCGACTACGATCCCATCGACCACCTCAATCAACTCTTCCCGCACCCGTCGACCGTGAACTCGGTTAGCCGTGTCTCCGATACTCTTCAAAAACACAAAAATGATATCTCGGTCGAGATATCCGAACTCGAGGTCGCCCAGGCCTACGGGCCCGACTCGAGCCTCGAGCGCATGCAGTCCGCCCAAGCCGAACTAGCCCAGCTCTTCCGCAAGATCGAGACGGTCCGATCTCGGGCGATCCAGACCGAGCGAAACATCACCTCGATGACGGCCGATATTAAGCGACTCGATGGCACCAAGCGAAACCTGACGCTGAGCATGACGGCGCTCAAACGACTACAAATGCTGACGACGGCATACGAGCAGCTGAGAGGCCTGGCCAGGACGAGGCAATACAGGGACTGTGCAAGTCTACTGCAAGCTGTGCTGCAGCTTATGAAGCACTTCAACAGCTACAGGAGCATCGACCAGATCGCCACTCTGAGCAGGGGTGTTTCGGAGCTGCAGCGAGAATTGTTGGAGCAGGTCTGCGAGGACTTCGAGATCGCTTTCGCCAAGGGAGAGGTCGCCCAGCGGAGAGGCATCCTCGTCGAGGCCTGTCTCGTCATGGATGCCCTCGGCGACATGGCGCGGACACGGTTGATGAACTGGTACGTGAATACCGAGCTCCGCGAATACCGTTCTGTCTTCAGGGGCAACGACGAGGCTGGGAACCTGGACAACATCGGCCGCAGGTATGCGTGGTTCAAGCGCATGCTCAAGACCCACGAAGACGAACATGCCGCCATTTTCCCGCCCCATTGGCGCGCCAACGAGCTGTTGGCGATGGCTTTCTGTGATGGCACCAGGGACGACTTCAAGGGCATCCTCGAGAGGAGCATGCGGAGGACGGATGGGCAAAAGATTGACGTCAATCTCCTGCTGAGCTGCCTGCAAGAAACCTTGGACTTTGAGCACGGTCTCGAGAGGCGTTTTGCCAACGAGCCCCGGGCTAGCATCGACACTTTGAGCTCTTCCGATGACAGGGCATCAAACTTCCACGGCTCCATATCCGCCGCGTTCGAGCCTTACTTGAGCCTGTGGGTCGAGTCACAAGACAAGCAGCTCGCCAGCATGATACCAAAATACCGCAATCAGCCCTTGCTTCCGGAAGACGAAGAATTCTCGTCGCAGGCCGTCATTTCGTCTGCCATTGAGCTCTTCCACTTCTACAAGGTCACCCTGTCACAATGCGCAAAGCTGTCCACCAGCGACCGGTTACTGGACCTTTCCAAGATCCTGATGAAGTATCTGGACGAGTACGCGCAGCAAGTTCTCCTACATATTCTTCAAAGAGCGGGGCCTCAAGGGCCGCCAATACAGGATGTCATCTTGGTCTTGAACACGGCCGACTTCTGGTCGACAAACACTACCCAGTTGGAAGAGAACATCAAGAAGCGCATCGACAACGAGCTCGCCGGCAAGATCGATCTGTCATCACAAGCCGATGCATTCCTCGGTGTGGCTAGCGCCGCTGTTTTGACACTGGTGCGCAACGTTGAGATTGCGTGCGAAGGCTCGTGGCGCGAGATGCGGAACACGGGCTGGAGCACAATGGAGAGCGTGAGCGACCAGAGCTCGTACGTCGGCGAGCTGCTGTCCTCGGTGAACAGCAAGACCGAGGAGATCATGGGCCTCGTCGTGAAGCAGCAATATGCCAGAGCATTCTGCGACAACCTCGTGGATCATCTTGTCAACGCATACATCAGCAACATCGTCCAGTGCCGTCCCGTGTCCGAGGTTGGCGCTGAACAGGTAGGCCTTCATTCCTCCCATCGCATTTGGCAACCGCTGACCATTTTCAGATGCTGCTCGATAAGTATGTGTTGACAAAAGCGTTCGAGAATCTCTTATCGTACCACAACAAGTCGTCCACGACGACGCATACAGCACCGGCAGGATATGTCAGGAGGGTGAACCAGACAATGAACCGTATAGACCCACTCCTAAAGACGCTGCAAGTCCGCCCGTCGCCACCGGAGGGTCTCGTGCAAGCCTACCTCATCCATATCGGCGACCGCTCCGACACCAACTTCAGAAAGATCCTCGACCTCAAGGGTGTCCGCAAGGGTGACCAAGGCCACCTGGTCGAGCTCTTTGGCATCCACCGCGAGGGCAGCATGAGCGACAAGCTCGTGCAGCAGTCCCCGCTGCTGACGCCGCTCATGGCAACGGCGGGGCTCGGCAGCTCCAGCCTGGGCGCCATCAACGCCAACACCGCTCTCACGAGCGCCAGCAGCGCCATGCCGGGGCTGCCGAGCAAGTTCGACGCGACGTCGCTGGGCGAGAAGCTGCTCAGCGCGGCCAGGGACCTGGGGCAGGGGGCGGGGCCCGGCGGCATCGCGGGCGCGGAGAAGGCCACCATGAACGAGAACCTCAAGAACTTTGGCAAGTTCTTCCGGAGGGATCTCGGAGGCTTCGGGGCGAGGTTCGGGAAGAGGGACGAGAGCGCCGACGGGAACCGGTGATCTGGAGAAGGGTTTTCTTCCCCCCCCCCCCTCCCCCAGCGACCAAGGCTCTCGGAATCGAGTTCGCGAAAGATGAATATACTTGAGTGACTTGTTTCCCCTCCGCACTTGCTCATGATTTTATAGTAATGGGCGAAAGTTAGCTATGTTGGGTATTCTTCCAAATGAGCGGGTTTGAGCGGGTATCGCGACGGGTTCCCAAGGCTGCTTCGGTGGTAGTCCGGTGGAGTGTGTTTTGGTTCAAAGGGGGCGGGGGGGCGAGCCGCTCTCTCCGTTTTCTTGCTTGGAGCTCAAGTCTTCTGCACATGGAAGTCGGGGGAGGGAGCTTTCTTCCCGTTTTGGCGAAAAAGTCTGAGAGGATGGGATCATTTGAGCAACGGCGGTTCAGGCAGTTCAGGCAGCGGCAGGAGATGCGCCTTTGATGAGCCGCAAAGCCACAGGTTTTCACAGAAGCTAGAGCAAGATCCGGGAACACATGGTAGCTGGGAGTCGAGAGTGTACACAGTTATCCCGGTGTTGGTCGAGGTTTCAGACCAACGGACCACGATTATTCGTTAGGCCAATTGCTCGAGAAAGATGAAGCTAGACGGAGCAATATCGCGGAATACTCAGGCGGCATGTTCACACGCAGTGCAACCGGTTTGGCGCAACCGCGACATGGCACTGCATTACTATCGTAATCATGCTATTCCAACGGGTCGCGGACCCCCTTCCTTTCGAGTGGAGTCATCAATCATGTGCTTTTCACGGCACTAATCATGCCGTTTACAAACTGACCAGAGTGGCGTCTTCCCCTCCGAGGTACATCATGCCCTCGGTGTCGTCGGCACGACCGGATGGCTCATCATCCTACAAATCGTTCGAAACCCGGCCGCCTCCGCTGCCACTGTCTCCGTCCGTGTGTTGTAGACACTCCCGCGTCGTGGGGGGAGTCTCATCGGACTTTTCGTTGATAAATGCCGTCATTGTCAGACGGCAGGGGAAATTACCTCCGAGGTCCTTGGCTTGGGGTGTCGCCTTCTAAGATGACTTCCACACGTTGCTATCCAGCTTCTCGTCTGGCACCGCAATGAAGTCCTGGCCATCCCCGCTCTCACTGCCGTCGAGCGAGCCGTCGTAGGAACTAGTCTGCCATGCCGACAACTCGTCGACGCGACGAATGCCCATCATCCACGAGACTAGACCGCGCGGCACCCATCGGCCAACGAAACCGTACACGCTGGCGCCGAGGCCGACACGGACGGTGCCGCTTGTGATGGAGCCGTCAATGACGTCAAAGACGGCGTTGTGAAGATGACGAAGGGAGCTTCCCTTTAGACCACGGATGCGGCCGGCCGAGATGGCGGAGGTGCTCTGCATGACGAAGTTGCGTCCGTAGGCATGACGGGCGTTTTCGGGCCACATGAGAGTCTCGGTGGCGTCGGCATCGATGCCGGGAGCGCCTTCGAGAAGGCCTCTTTGCGAAGGATGGCTGTGTTTCGCGGGCTGGAAGCCGGTGAAGTCAAAAGTGCCCAGCTGCATGTGGGTCACTGGGATGCCCAGAGGTCGCAATTCCGCCGTCAAGACTTCGGTGAAGGCCGACAGGGCGGACGAAACGGTAGCCTCGGGAGCGTGGAAGGGGGGGTTGATGGAGGAGATGATGGACGGCGTGAAGACGAGCACCTTTGGCGGTGTCCACTTCTCTCCGGGCGGGCTCAGACGGGTGGTCAGGAGCGGCAGGAATGCCTGGATGGTAAGGATGGGGTGGAGAAGGTGGGTGTTGAAGAGGTCTGCAAAGCTGGAAGGCGGGATGGTAGCGATGGGTGACGTCTGGTAGTTGAGCGAGGGGATGAGGATGACGGATTTCAGCTGCAGATGGTTGGGTCTCGTACGAGGTGCCGGGGCGTGGGGTGACTGGAGGTACTGGGCGAAGCTGTCGATGGCCGCGCCAGCTCTGGGGGGCTGCGTGATGATATGTCAGTAAGAGGCGATACCCCCAGTAGGGCATCTGTGCAACTCACATCCGTAGTGTCAATGGTCAGAGGCAGGATATCCGGTCTGGCCAAGCTGTGCACCATGCTCTCGTCTTCTTGGGCGTTACAGACGATGTAAACGATAAATCCCCTCCTTTCAAAGTCCAGAGACAGTGACCTCGTCAAAGGCAGAGCGGGCGATCCAGCAATAACAACAACCTCGAGGCGTCCACCGTTCCTAGCCCGTTTCGCGCGGCGCGTCTTCTTGCAAAACCTGCTGCTCCGGTAGGATCGGTAGGCGACGACTCCCACGACGGCGACGATGACACCGGTCAGGACCTTGTTCTCCTTCACCCAGCCGTGAACCCTCTCGAAGCGGCCCATGGCTATGACCTCGATGGGGACATGACGGACTGGAGGCTTCGGTCGCACCGAGTCGGGCAGCCATTCTGTGGACGCAAGGGTCTCCCGCACCGCTTGCGCTGCCTTATCTACGTGCGGGTTGATGAGGTTCGCGAGGTCGTCCGAGTACCGGCGGATCTGGTTGGGCAGCGAGGACAGCTGTGGAGGATGGTAGCGTCAGTAAGAGCCCTCGTGATCACAAGCTTTAAATGGATAAGAGGGGGGCGCCTACGACGTCCAGGAACTGCTGGTCGTCCGCTGACATGGTTGCGGTACTGCACAAGCAGGTATTATGTAGAGAATAACTGTTTTGTGAGGAGACGTTGAGGCCCGAATATGACGCTGGAAGACCGGAATCGACCTTTGCAGAAAGGTAGGTAGGTAGCTCGAGGCAAGGTCGGTCTACGTTGACAGGTCGGTAAGTGGACTTGCGGCCCGGCAGGAAAAAAAGGGCAGCGGCAAACCAGGTTCGCCCTTTCCCTTTTCCGCCAAAGAAATGTGGAGAAGTACTCCGCCGTGTGGGGCTAGTTTCACTGGCTGCCGGTGCACCGAATTCTCGCGGCCCCGCCCGCCGCCAAGTAGTGATTGGTCGACGTCATCACCCTGCCCACCTAACTTTGTTTTGTTTCTGCCCGCAATGTCACTATTACCGATTTCAGTCGATATGCTCAGTCGCCAAACCCCCCCTTTACGTCCTTTTTTCTGCTCCCATGAAGCCGGTGACGATCGTGGCGATGATGTAAGCTGGTTCCCAGTTGTCCGGGGTCATGTTAACGAGGGGGAGTGACAATTAAAGTTACAGGACCGTTGGATCATAGCCGACTTGAGTCACGAAAGATGGTCATCGTGTCCGTTGTTCCTTGGTTTCTTGACTTACAGCCCTAAAAGCTCAGGATGTCCGCATCATTGGCGTTAGCATACATGTCTGCCACATACCAGAAGTTCGCCCCTAGATGAGTAGATGAGTAGTGCGCAACGGAATCAGCATGGGGCAAGCCTAACAGTGACAGACATGAGCCAGTTGCTCTGGTATGAAGGGACCCAGCCAAGCTCTGGTTTATATTCTGGTATCGGAGACAGATACCTGAGACTCTGGAGTAAGAATTTGTCTGGGACAGGTCGTTGTTGCCGATCCTCAGATCTCTTCTTGGTGTGCTTTACCCACAACACCGGCAATCACCGGCAGCTCTTCACGGAGAAGAAATAAGGCCGCTCTAGAAGCAAGCGAGCTACCTGTCTGTCGGCCCAATTCACGCTGCTGGGCATCGAGTCAACATCGCAGCCAAACTACTTTGAGACCAATGGTACTCAATCCACAGAGGCGTGCTGCATATAGGCAACAATGCACATGTCGGGGTAAGACACCTGAACAGGGTGTCGCTTACCGATGGAGGGAACACATCCCGCCTGACGCATATGTGCTGGACGTTGTTGTTTCATTTAACGCCAGTGCTGTTCCTGAGTATATATGCTGGACGTGGCAGACGGATGTGCACATTTCGCATATTTACAAGACTTTCAAGCTACACAGCCACCACGGTACCATCGCAACTATCCCGTCCTCGCGTCGCAAACATGTCTGATCCCTATAATTACACCGTCGGCTGGATCTGTGCCACCCCCACGGAGCTTGCTGCTGCCCTTTCTTTTCTCGACGAACGACATTCCGACCCTGAAGGGATCGCTCAGAATGATAGCAACTGTTATACTCTCGGTACAATGGGCAATCACAACGTTGTGTTCGCCATCATGCCTAAGAATGAGTATGGAATAGCAACAGCCACTGCAGTAGCCGTACATATGGTCCACAGCTTCCCAAACGTCCGTGTCGGCTTGATGGTTGGCGTAGGTGGTGGTGCTCCCAGCCAACAACACGATATTCGGCTGGGTGATGTCGTTGTCGGCAGTCGTATCATACAGTGTGACTACGGAAAAGCAATGCAGAACCGAGCGTTTGTGGAAACCGGGTTTTTAAACCAGCCACCGCCAGTATTGTTAAACGCAGTCGCGAGACTCCAGATTGACTACATGAGGGAGGGCCCTGGACTCAATGTCAAGGTGGAAAGGGCCTTGAGTCAATGGAATCGACTGCGAAAGACGCATTCCCGCCCATCTGCGAGCACAGATCAACTATACAGATCCGACTTCGTACACCCCTCGGATTCATCTGCAGCCTGCTCCCAAGAGTGTTCTGCCAACATTCCCAACGTGGTTTTTCGAGACGAGCGGGGCGACAGCCCCGCCATACGTTAGGGACTGGTTGCTTCTGCAAGCCGTGTGATGAAAAACGCCGAGACATGGGACAAATTTTCAAGGGAAAGGGGAGTCTTATGCTTTGAGATGGAAGCCGCCGGGGTGATGAACCACTTTCCCTATCTTGTTTTGCGGGGTATATGTGACTATTCCGACTCCCACAAGATCTAACTCGCCGAATCTGACCTAACAGCCTTGAGGCCTAAAAGAAGATCAAGGAAGTCCTAGAATATACTACGTGGTCGATGTCTTTACTCGAGCAAAACTATATCTAACGATGATAAGTGAATGAATCTTTGGCTTTCATCGGATCAACTATAGCCGAAATCAAGACTCAAATTGACACTATGAGTTCCAACAACCACATCCAGAAACTCAGACAGTGGCTTTCGCCCCCTGACACATCCACTCATTACAATATTGCGAGAGAAAGCCGACACGAGGGAACCGGGCCATGGTTTCTTGAGAGTGCTGCCTTTAGAGAATGGGTGCATGGATCTCGTAAGCACCCTGTGGCTCCATGGGATACCTGGCAGCGGCAAAACCGTTCTCATCGCTACTGTCCTTGATCATTTGGCTCTGATGGATGACCTGATTACGCTCGAATCTTTCTTCGACTTTAGCGACACAAGCAAACAGAAGCCGGAAGACACATACCGGTCACTCGCCTTCCAGCTCTACACTAAGCGCATCGGATCAAGAAAGCACCTCGATAGCCTATTAGTATCTCATGACGATGGTCGAAGACAACCGACGGCGCAGGCCCTTTTCCAATGCCTTCAGGCGATTATACAGGCGCAAGGGAGACTTTGCATCGTACTCGATGCTCTAGACGAGTGTATCAAGAGATTCGACTTACTCAGGTGGATAGAAAGCGCCATTTCTAGCTCGCATCTCCCCCATGTCCAGCTTATTGCTACCGGTCGGCCAGAAAAAGAATTTATGTGCGACTTTCGCAATTGGATTGGCGAGAGTTGTCTCCCACTTGATGTAAAGTCTACGTACTTGGATATACAGTCCTACATCAGTAACAGACTCACAAGAAGCAAAGAGTTCAGCCGGTGGGCATCAACGGCGCATATACTGCAACATATTCAGGAGGAAGTAGGGGGTAAAGCACAGGGGGTGTAAGTTTTGACAGCATGGTTCCGAGAAGCAAGCGATGTACCATCATGATTCTAAAACCAATTCCGGGTTCAAGTGGGCGGCATGCCAGCTAGACAGGCTGGAGACATGTCTTGACCGGGAAAAGCTTGAAGCCGCTATGGAGCCTCTACCGTCAGATTTGAATGCGACCTACGCCCGTATTCTTCAGAGCATCCCGCAGAGACGGCGGAAGAAGACAGTTCGACTACTGCAATTTCTCGTTTACTCCGAGCGGCCCCTGACTCTTAGAGAGTGCATAGATTTGATGGCTATTCGCGTCGACGGGAGACGATCCTTCGATCCAGGAGACCGAGTGCCTGACCCTATGGACATTGCCAGATTTTGCACAAGCATGGTTGTTCTAACAGAGACTCCGGACGCTGCTTGGGGAGACTACTTGCTACAACTGTCTCATTTTCACAGTCCAAGAACATCTTTTACATCACTACGTCGAAGGGTTCCGGGGGGCCGAACCCCGAATCAGCATTACAGAGACATGCTTATTCTATCTCGCAAACGTAGAAGAGATGGAAGCGGCCGAAATGAGAAGGCTGTTTCCACTGGCGACATATGCGGCAGACAATTGGATGAACCATGCCAGGTTGGCCGAAATCTCAAGCGGCACGGCAGCAGCAATCGCGAGCTTCCTGCAAAACGAAAAACGACGACGAGCATGGCTTAAGCTATATCATAGTAGTCGGCGAAATTTTGATTCGGGATCCGCCATCGCGTCTGGGTTGTACTACCTACGCGTGTCTCATGGAGCTCACGGCAACCGCAAGAATCCTACTGTCAGATCGGCCAAACGTCAATGCCACGAGCGACGTGAGGTACTGTACTGCTCTGCAAGCCGCTTCAATAAGGGGTCACCGAGGGGTTGTTCAATTGCTCATCTACGCAGGAGCAAACGTTGACGCCATAGGTGGCGAATGCAATATTGCCCTCCAAGCCGCTTCAACAGGGGGCCACCGAGAGATTGTTCAGTTGCTCCTCAACGCAGGAGCAAATGTTAGTGCTAAGCGTGGTAGTACTGCTATTCAAGCTGCTTCAGCAAACGACGACAAGGATAGTTCAAATGTTTCCCAACGCAGGAGCAGTCGTCAATGCACAATGCGGCATGAGATGGAGTAATGCTCTTTATACAGCCTCGTCGAATGACCACCAAGAGGTTATTCAGATGCTTCTAGGCGAGGGAGTAGACGTCAAGGCTATAGCTAGCACATACAACACTGCTCTCCAAGCTGCTTCCTTTGCAGGCCACCAAGAGGTCATTCAGATGTTGCTCACATGCAGCTGTCCGAGGCAGTCGTCGTACGAGGTAACGGTGGGGTATCAAGAGGACAGTTGCGAGTAGTGTCTCCCAACTGCAACTCGTCTCCCTAAAACACCGTTTGCCCATCACGGATAACCGCAGTCCGTCTAAGCCCAGCAGCCTATAGAACCTTGCTCCGGCATGACCATGATCGGTCGTCCTAGGCTTACTACGAGCGTGTACGGGGCAGCCGACGAGGCTGAGAGTGAGGAACCCAGACGGCCAACAACTCGGCTCCAACTGGCTTTTCGCAACAAGCGCCGCTCAACGTCGACCAGCCAGCAACTCCTTGCGGCTGGACGTGCCCGGCCTCCCTGTCGAGTCTCGATCATACACGCACACCGTACACGGCCATCCCAAACCACGATCTCCGCAGTATAGACTTCTCACAAACCGCTTTGCCAACGTTGACCAACCCCGTATCCGCCACCGCGTCCTCTCGACACGTCAACCGATACTTCACATCTCCATCCGCCCAACAACCAATAACGGGATCTCTTCCCATCAATGCGTTCGATAGTTCCGAACATGTACACGCACCCCCCCGCCTCTTCGCGGCACACACATACACCCACACCGTGTACGGGGCTATAGCATAACTCCGGATCTAATAAGATCAGACGAACGATCAACACAACCCGTACGCGTCCACCTCGTCCCATCTCCCGCGCCGCCCTCGACGATAACAACAAACCGCAGCGTCCATCCCCGTCACCGTTCGGACCAGGGTGAACGCCAACACACACAAACACACACGGTCCATCCCCGCCAGCCTCCGGAGCAAGGCGGACCCCTGGACCGCACATATCCGGCGGCGCATGCAAAGCGGGAGGTCTTTAATGAGCCACCTTTGCAGTAATCATCATCTGCACACTAGGACCACACAAGTCCCATTGAAACCTTCAATGCTCGGCAAATCGACAAATAAATAAAAAGCCCTCCCCTCTCGTCACTGGCGGGACACACCGACACCTGCCTTTCGTTCTCCACGCCCGGCCAGAGTACCGGACCCGCGGGGGGGGGGGGGCCGATCCAGCCGCATGACGGTCGTCAATGCACGATCCGCCCCCCGCCCCAAATCGAGGAGGGACCAATGGTCGAAGGGAGAAGCATCAAGCATAACCCGGATCGCCGAACCGCTCATCTCAAAAGAAGAAAAAAAAAAAACAGCTCTGAGCATTTGATGAAGTAGACTCGTTCGTATACCCAGTTCACGGTACGACCGACCCCCCTGTTCTTCCGCCCCCATTTCATGCTCTCTACCTCCCGCAGCCCCCCTTTTCCAAAGCTCCCTGCCTGTAAACGGCATCAGCAACATGCGGTGAGGTTTCTCTTGGGTGGTGGTCTACCAGAAAGCCTCCCGCTTGGCTCCGGGACCCGAATTCCTTCTTGAACAAATCTCGCCCAAAGCCGTTACATCAGAGAGATAAAAATAAAAAAAAAGACCGTTACAGCACAGGATGGAGATAGCATAGTAGTAGAGAGGCTTATTACACTTCCCAACCTCCCTGTTCCTCCCCCCCCCCCCCCGGTCATCCTAAATCTGCCCCAAATCTCAATGTACCCCCGTACCGTCCCATCCGGACCCGAAAGTGGACTAGCCCCCTCATAATGGCGCCCCACACACACGACATCACCTTTACCGCCCCCCCCCCCACATCGGGGTCACTCTGTCTCAAGCTCCGATCAACTCCATTCAACGATGGAAAAACCCTCTTCCCAAAAGGTGCAATGAACTCTCGAATTTCACGTTAGATAGATGTAAACAAAACAAACAAAAAAAGGGAAGAGAGAAAAATACTAATAATAACAATAATCAGCATCCACAGCTCCTTTCCCCCCTATCCCCAGACCCCAAAGGAATGTCCAAAGATGAATGGACGGCCAATCCCCCCCCCCCCTTATCGCATTGCTGTGGCTGCTGCTGCTCCGTCCCGTCACGTGCTGCTCGCTAATGCATCGTCTTTGATTAGCAACTGCCTGATCAGGGGGGGGGAGGCCAGGCAAGGGAAAGGCGAGATGACTTCCCGTCTCGTCATGCTGTTTCTCGTCTTCGCTGTGTGGGTGCAACCATTGTCATTTCGGACTTCACAAAAGGCAATTCACCATTGAAGCAACATCAATCACACCAAACAAACACATAGGGGGGGGGGGGGGGGGGGGGGGGCACACACACACCCATCACACATATCAATGGACAGGCGAGGGGTAAGGTTTGTTAGGATGTCGAAAAGTGCAGAGAATTTTGTCTTTTGTTGTGCCTTTGTACTACCTTACACAAGGAGGGAGTGCAAACGCGGGTGTACGAAAAGTCTCGCTGGCTCTCTCACCTCGGCTGGGGGGTATCAGACGACCTGAACCACACAGGCCATCCCCTTTTACACATCTCCGTGCCCATCCAGAAGTTTCCTTCCGGCCAATGAGTACGAGAGAGCAAAAAAGAAAATCCAGCCGTCTCTCCAAAAATAACACTGTGACCCAAACCAATCACCAACCCCTTACATCCTTCATCCGTATCCATTGTTGGGCCCATTAGGGGATATCCGGCCTTCCAACGACACTAGGAAGAATGGGGAAGCGATCTGGTCCGTCCACCTAATTCCGGATCGGGAACAACCTCGAGGTGCAGACAATGAAGTAAAGACCAGTCTGGAGGTCTTCGTGTGTGCGCGGGGGCCACACATGTCCCTGCCTTGGACCGACCAGAGGAGCCTCTCTTTTTCGTATGGTGGAAAATTCGTCCAAGCCTGGTCCATTCCGTCAAACGAAAAAGACGAATTTCACTTCTTTTTTTTGTTGCTCCTCGAGGTTGCCCATCCGGTCGGGTCTCTTCTCGAGACCCTACAATCTGACCCTCGCTGGTAGTCGGGTGCAGTCGCAATCGTCAAGTCGGGTCGAGGTGTCGATATCTCGTCTCCTGGATCCGTCTTCCGATGCCGCAAAGATCGACCGCGATATTTCCAAATTCACACCCTTCCTGGGGTGACCTTCTCGCGAACGTAAAACTCTTTCGATGGGGAGTGTTGTTGGGTAATAAAAGCCGCTGAATGCTGTTCGAAAAAAAGGAAGGAAAAAAAACGACTAATTGGGGTAGGGGGTTTTTGGGTATGATCCGTATTCCTTTTTTTGGGACACTTCTGCTGAGTGAAAAATAGACTTATTGCATTAAAAATCAAATCGCTCGATGCCGTGGACGTGTTGATAAGGAAAAAAAAAAAACCATTCTGTATGCATGCGGCAAACAATCTTCTTTTTTTTCCTCTTTTCTCTTCCGCTTCCTGGGGGTCGCTCAAATGCCTTGCCCACTGGGGTATTGAGTGGAAGGCTTCGATTGTCCGTACCGCTGCGGAGACTCCCTGCAGGCGGGCCGATAATCAAGTCAGCCCCTGGTATCGACTCGGGTGGTCCAAGTTAGGCCAGGTGTTGTTGGCCTGTCGTGTGTTGGTGTACAAACGGGGCGTACTGTTGCTGCACTTGTTGTTGCACAAACGCCGCCGTGTTGGGCTGAGGGGTGGGGGTGACCGGACATCTCGGGGGCAGCGGGTAGGCGTCCTTGGAAACGGTGCCGTAAGCGGCGCCGTCGGGGGTGATGGGAGGGGTCATGTATCCTTCCACTATTCCCTGGACGGCGTGGCCCTTGTGGGGGGTGCTGTAGATGTTTGCGTGTTTTGAGGCTGACTCAGAAGGCGGACTCGGAGGCCCCCCCGACTGCGCGCGGGCGATGCTGGCCTGGTGGGCCATGAAGGAAGCGAGCTTCTTGGCGACGCCCGAGAGGTGCTGCGAGGCGTACTTCCTCGCGAGGGCGACGGAGGGGCTGTGCAGGTGCTGGGACAGGGTCAGGAGGGTGACGTTCTCGACGTGGTCCCACTCTCCATCGTTGATCTCGGGCTCGCCCAGGATCGCTCTCGCCAGTGCCAGGGAGGAACGGGCCATGATGGACGGCTTGGTGGAGACGAAGTCGCGGTGGTATAGGGCGATCTCGCAGATGTACGATGCCATGTGCTCGACCTCGACCTTGTCATGCTCCTCGGCGACGATGAGCTGGGTGAAGAAGTCGACGGTCGGGTGGCCGATGGTCCACTCGAGCGTGTTGAGAACGTGCATCTCCATCTGGGTGAACATGCCGGCGTCGTACAAGCCGCAGCACATGTTGTTGAGCTCGTGGATCTGGGGCACGCGGTCCTTCTTGTCTCCATACTTGGCAGCGATCAGCAGGGCAGCGCAACCCACGAGCTGGTAGTGTTGCTTGTAGACGACTCGCTTCGAGCAGTACCTGTCGAGGAGGTTGACGGTGAGGAAGAGAGTCTCGGGCAGGAGGGCGAAGGCGGCATGGGCCTCGATCAGGAAATCGATGAGGTAGGGTCTCATGTACCATTGAATCTCTCGTTGCATGTCAATGAGGTTGGCATCAGGCATTGTCTCGTCCTGGATGTGGTTTCATTGTCAGCATTAAATTAACGACCAGCGAGGCAGGCAGTCGCTCCCGTCCGTTCTTGCTCACCTCCATGTGCCTCATGTGCTTCATGATATCCTCGAGGTACTCGTCGCCGGCTATCCGGGAAAGCTCGCTGGCGATAATCTCCTGCCGTTGCCTCGCAATCATCTTGGCGGCGTCCCGAGAACCCATCCGTGGCCGTTGGGGTTCATCGTGGCCCTCTGTGAAGTAGGACGGATCCGAGTGCAGCTGCTGTTGTTGGTAGTACGCCATTGTGAGATATGGTGTGAGAACGAGTCGAACCGAGGGTGTGAAGGGGGGTGGTTGGATAACCGAGTGGAAGTTCCGTAAGGGTAAAGAATGACGATTAAGTTCTCCAGGAAGCTTTTTTTGGTGGTCGGAGACGGAAAGACTGAGGGGGAAAAAATGAAAAAACGAAAAACTATCGAGATCGGTTACGCAGAGAAAGAGTGGAATTGGGCGAGACCGAAAAAAAGATTAGAATATTAGTATTAGAAGGAGCGTGGTGTTGAGAAAAAGGCGAACAGGGTCGGGCAAAAGAGTGACTGTGGCTGGGTGAGAAGCCGAAATGGTGCGAGACCGGGTTCCTCGTACGAGAGGACGGAGGGAAAACGGTGGCAGGGAGACTGGTCGTTTAAAGGAGAGGTCGACTGGGAGGGCTCTGGACAAGGGGAGATTTGTTAGTTAGCGTCTCGAGGTTTCTTTCAGGCCACTGATAATACGCGGTCCAAGCAGGTTAGAGCGGTGGGCGGTACGAGACACGCAGCTGTCGGATGCTGGCAACGGGGGCTTGGTCCAGGAGCAACGGGCGCGGTAAATATCGCCGCAGTCGATCCAAGGGGGAGCCGATTCGTGAATTCAAACAGCGTCGCCCTGATTCGACCACTGGGCGGCGGGGACGGGGTTGGCACGAGGGGAGATGGAAGAAATAACGGGATTGGCGTGTGCCGGACGAGGGAGCTTGGCAGAAGAGGATCCAAGGGGAGGAAGGGGGTGAAGAGAGGGAAAGGCTGAAAGATGCGGGTCGAGTGTGCAAGTGATGGCGAGGCTTAACGCCACGAAGGGTGAGTGTCCCGCTGTCAAGACAGACAAGATGAGACAATTCCAGAGGGCTGTACGGAGGAAGCAACGAATGAACGGATCCCGCTCGCAATCCTCACCTCAAATAGGGTTTGGTTTGAGGGCGTGGTGAATGTGGGGGGAGAAAGAGTTGGGTGTTTGTTTGGTCGTGGACCGCCGTAGATATTGACGGCCCACGCAAATCTGCGAGGGAGAAGGAAAGGAAGTGAAGTTTAGAAGCCGAACATGGGCCCTGATGGCAACGGGGGGAAGGTTTGTGCTGAAAAAAGGAATATGGTTTGGACGGAGCTCGGGGCAGGGGTTGGACATGGAGATGGAGGTTCATCCCGTTTTCGAGGCCCGACGGCGGCGGTGGCCTGGCCGTTTCTGGCGTCGACGGATAGGCTTGCTCACACACATATTTCATCCGAACTGCATGTCATTGTCAGAGAACGTACCTTCACAGACGATGCCCTAAAGGGACGGGGTGACGACGGATGATTCTGACGGGATCATGTATGGTGTCTTCTCGATGGTTGGCAAGGGTCGAAAAGGCGATGACGAACCGAGTCCAGTTCGCTTCTTCTTTTCCGTCCTCTTTCCTTTTGTCGTGGGGAGGAGACGGGATCCAAGGTAACACGGGTGGGCAACTCTCGGATTGGAATGCGAGCGGAGAGAGTGGGCGTCGGAACGAAAGGGAGCGAGTCGTCGTCGGGCGAATTGGGTCGTGGGAGTTGCACGGCTGAGTCGAGTTCCTCGTCGTGGGAGCGAGGAATTCTTCAGTGGGTGGTTGATTGGGTGGGAGTTGACGTCGTCGTCGATGCGGGTAAGGCGGACGGTCGCGAGGGAGATGCAAGGAACGTGGAGGGACGTGGACTTGTTCTTTTGGGGTTCGATAAAGAGGCGAGGAAAATACCAGTCAAGGTCTTCTTCACTGATCTTTATCTCTTTTTTTTTGTACTTTGCTTGTGCAAATCCAGTCTCTGTTCTTTTGCAGACTCGGGGGGGCGTGCAGACTCGAAGAGCGTTGACAATGAACCCGATGGCGAGAGAGTCGGAGATGGAGGGGGGGTGTGTGGGCTGCAAAGGTCGAAGCTAGTCGTCCTTTGTGACTTGAAGGTTGGTGGGTTTGGTGGTGGTGGTGGTGGTGGAAGCTGGAGTCGAGGTAGAGCTTTATTTGGAGGGTCAGTCGTCTCGGCAGAGGGAGGACAGTCGCCAGATCAAGTCTCTTTCGTTCCTTCCTCTTTTTTCCTGGTTCTCTCGGGTGGGAGATTAGAGAATGGAAAGACCCTTTATTCGATTAGGACGAGCAAAGGAGTCAGGAAGGTTCTTGACTTCGCAGGAGGGGGGAGGGGAGGAGGGAGAGAGGAGGAGAGGGAATGAATGGATTGAGAGGGACGAGGAGGAGGAGAGCGAAGGAAGGGCAGAAGGGGGGGACGAGAGGGTAGGTAAAGGGTTGGAGACGAGCGGAGGAGACGAGAAAGGATTGGCAGAGAGAGAGAGCAATGGTGTTTTAACCGGCCAATGTCACTTTTGTGGTCGGCGCGCTGTCGGAAAGGTGGGAAGGGTGGGAAAAGGTACATGCGAGTGAGTGAAGGAGAGAGAGAGCGAGAGAGAGAGAGAGAGGAGAGCGTGGGGAGTGGGAGTGAGTGGGAGTGAGAGTGAGTGGGAGTGGGAGTGAGTGAGAGTACGGAGTACCTACACCTAGGTACCTACCTAGTAAGAGTGTGAGTGGCCCCATAATGAGAGACCCAGCCGCTCTCATGCAGCAAAGACGCACACCACACACCACACACCACGCTACCTGTATCTAACTGTGCTTGACTCCGGTACCTCCCTTGAATGCTTGGCAGAAGTAACCGGAGGACGTAGGTATCTACGTTTAGATACAGCTTTGGCTCTTTTTTTTTTTTCTTTTTTCTTTTTCTTTCTCTCTCTCTCTCTCTCCTTCTTGTTGCTTCCTGGAACTGTAGATAGGAGAGAGAACTGGCGGAGCACCCGGGTCCAACAGCAAATGTGAGAGTGAGAGAGTGAGATAGGAGGAGATGGAATGGGACGAGTAGCAGGGGGGACAGAGAGGCAGGGCGAGAGTTCAGAGCTGGGAGCTGGTAAGGAACTGGGGAGGGGTGAGGGTGAGGGTGAGGGTGAGGGCGAGGGTGCCAATGCAAAGCCCGCCCAGTGCAAGTGCAAGTGCAAGTAAGCAAGCGATTACATTGTGTACACACAGAGCACGTTATGTACGGCCTACGAGTATTGCACTATGTACGGATAAGGAGCACGGAGTAATGACAATCAATGTGCTGGTGCAGGTGGATGGAGACGTGTAATTCCCGTGCTAAGGCGATATCGACAGGGAACAAGCTCGAGCAGCAGCCCGGTCAGGGAGGGCACCGAAAAGAAAAAAAGAAAAAGGGGGGGGGGGGGGGGGATGTACCTGTCACGCAGGCCATGTATGGCGAGATACATGCGCGCCTAAAAGATACGTATCTTTCGCTTGATCGACCTAGGTACCTATCCTGTCCTGGCAGGTGGTGGTCGTGGCCTACTGTGGCCTGTGTGCCGCGCGCTGAGGGAACGCGTTGCTGATGCGCTGATGCTAACCTTTTACCGGCTTTTACTGGCCAGAGAGAAGATGTCTTTCCCTGATGGCTGTGGCGCACCGCTGCCGGGTTGGCTTCCAACGGGCATGGCCAAGAAGGCAACTATGCCTTGCAGACGCAAGCAGGCTGGAGTACCCGCCATCACAGGTAGGTATTCCACCTTGTAGGTACAGCGTAGGTAGTTAGTTACTTGGGGCTGCAGCGACTGACGATGGACGGGTAATGATGATGATGATGAATGTATGGATGGATGGATGGATGCCCGCCTACAATGGCCACCGCCTGTCTGCCTACCCGCTTCTCGGGCCCTCTCTCTCTCTTCGGCTGTCCGTCTGTCTGTCTGTCTGTCTGTCTGATTGTCGGCCTCGCTGCAATGGCGCCCGCCTTGTCCTGCTACAACCCGTCCGTCTCGTCTGGTATTCCTGTCTTCGGAGCTGCTGCTGCTGCTGCTGCGCTCAGCAAGCCGGATGGATGCCTGTCGACAATCCCCCGTCCCTCTGCCTCTAGTGGGCCGACCGTCGATCGGGTGCGTTCGAGAGGTACAGCAGTGGTCAGACAGACACAGCTGGCAGGCCCTGTTGGGACTCTCTGGCAAGAAACTGGGAACAAACCCCCGTACTTTGCATGTATGTGTGTGAGTGTGCTGCCACTGGCCTACAACGATACAATGTCCGGTTTCGTGCAGTCATGCCCGCCGTTTCCTCCGCCCCTTGTTCTGCGCGTTGCTAGCCTCGACGCCCGACGGCCACGCACTATACCTCGCTACGCCGAGTCGTCTCCCTCTCCCTTTGTGTGTCTGGGAAAGATGGTGCGTTTCCGCGATAGGAACCGTCAGCTCACCACGGCCCGGCACAGCGTGAGGGGTGTGTAACCCCGAGACTTCAGCCCCAACGTCTCCTCCTCCCCCTTTGCTAAGAAAGAAAGTTGGCCAACAAGAGATCGGCCAGTGGTGCCTCGCCCGCCCGCTCGCTCGCTCGCTCTCTTTGTCGTCAGCCTGTAGCCCGCAACAGTGGCGTAGGCGGGCTTGGGGCCGTTCCGTGGAACAGGGGCGGTGACGAGACGGCTCAAACTGTCGTCTATTCCAAAGGGCCCCCCCCCCCCCCCCCCCCCCCCCTTCCTCCTCGCGAACTGATTGGTCGTCAGACACACCGGCCAGGACGAAGAGAAGGGCAGGGTGGTAGTCGCGCCGGCGGGCGGTGATTGGTGCGTGCCGACGTGTGGAGGACGATGGCTGAGCCGGCTCATGCGCACAGAAAGGATAAATGTGTAATCAACTGAAGCGAAGCAATTTGAACCATGCTGTTTGTCATCATTGTGTATTTGCTATATGCTGTGCTGTGCTGTGCTGTGCTGAACAGCCATACCAGTGGGTGTTCAAGAGTGGAGATTTCAACGCATGGTATTAGCACTATGCAGCATATGTACGCATGTATGTATGTATGTGCTACATAAACCATACAGTGTGGTGGTGCATGGGCGTGGGACTGGCGGGGAGAGTATCCGCCGGTTCCTCGTGTCCTTTCTCTCAGTGCTGTGGATGTCTTGGAACAGGGCTGGGTGCGAGATGGAGATGCTCGTACATAAAATGAGAGTGCAATAAGGCGCCCGCCTGTTACGGGGCTCCTGCGTGGGATAAGCGTGTCGTGGTGCAAGGGTAAGGAGGAGCCCCAGCAATAAGTAGCGTGTATGTGCGCGCGCGGTGAGTGTATGCGTCGTGTGTCGTGTGTCGTGTGCGTGTATGTGTGTTCGTGTGTATGCGCGTGTGGTGTTTTTGATTTTACTTTATTATTTTTATTTTGGCTTTTTTTTGGTGATGGTGCTGGGGGGGTGGGGGGCAGGGATGGACGGGAAGCAGCACGGCGCTGGCTGTGATTGGCCCGCGACGCGGTACCGCTCTCGCGGGGGGTGCGTGTGCGTGTCTATGTGTGTGTGTGTGTGTGTGTGTGGATTCCGTGGACGTGTGTGTCAAGGTCCATCCCGTGAGAAAAGAGTGCAGATTATAGATTATTCCTGCCGCGTATCCCCGAGACTTGGGAATTGAGCACCACCCAGTGAAGGAACCCATGCAGTACTAACGGTACTATGCGAGGTCCTCCAGGGGGCCTGTCTGCATTGACGGGAAACACACTCACACATGGCGGTGGAAGGTGGAAGAGTAATCAGGAATGGAATGAATATTGGCACGTTCGTGGAGCAGGTCCTTTTTTGGCGACATTAGAGGGGGGACGGGGCGATGACGACAACGATGCCTCCTTTGCCCGGACAATTGGGATAGGCGCGCGTCATGCTTTCATGGAGACAAGTGCGGCGGAGTAATGTAAAGTGCAGAATAGAGAAAAAGGTCATGACACTTGCGTTCGAGACAAGCTCCTGGACAATTTGCTGCCGATATTGAGACATGGACATTGACATGGACATTGACATGGACATTGACATGGACGTTACTCCGTATCATTGACTTGGGGGGGCGGCAGTAACTGCATTTGACAGACAGCATCGACATGGACATGGACATGGGACATGGGACATGGACCAGGCAGGAGGAGACGTGGAACCTGGTTAGACGGCGCGAGGAGTGCGACATGGAAAAAAAGACAAAAAAAAAAGACAAAAAAAGAAAAAACGGAAAACGGAAATGCAACCGACTGCGGCTTGTGTGCCGTGCGGACTGGCCGTACCAAAACTACGTACGTGCTGGGCTGCACCGTCGCGTTTACCTACGTAATAGTCACGGCGCATGGTACGTCCTTTTCGCCGCTCGAGCACCCGGGTCGCAGCCGTGTCAGGCGTGTAGAGTGTCAGTCCTATCGTGTAGCAAGGAGGTGATGGAATATCGACTCCTGATATGCAGCACATCGTGGGTTCATCCATCCATCGCGGATGGACGGACCCGGACCATCCGCCTTGTTTGTTGACGGCCCATTCATCTACACCTTCACCTCCGCCACCTCCTCCCCCTTTTGCCGTCACCGCTCGCGCAGAGAGTCCGGGCCTCGCCGGGACGGGCCTCCAAAACAGCAGCGCAGCAAATCACCACACGCGACCACGGCCCCTGCATGCACACAGCGCACGTCGTCGAGTGTCAACAGGGAGACCGCACCGGCCGGCCTGCCGTCCGCGCCCCGGTCTACCCACTCAGAGGCCGAGCTTCTAGAAGGAATGGCCGCCGACCGTCCCAGCCTGGTGGGCCCCCCGACCAATGAGTGGGTGAGCGATCCATCTTTCTCTCTCACTCTCACTCTGACTCTCACACACTCTCGCTCTCACTCTCACTCTCACTCTCACTCTCACTCTCGCTCTCACTCTCACTCTCGCTCTCGCTCTCACTCTCACTCTCACTCTCACTCTCACTCTCACACACTCTACCTCCTTGGACAGTTGGGACAGCCGAGCGTCGTCGCCAACCGAAACAAGCAATTGTACGCTTTGCCGACACGACACGGCCGCGTGCGAATACGTGATGATCGCTGCGACATGCACGCAACACCACGATGCAGGCCGCCATCGGGGCCGCCTAACCCACGCCCGTCCCATGCCGCGGTGCGCAGGACACACATGCCAAAGTGACAACTGCCTACTTGCCGTTTATCCCTTTGCTTTTTGATTCCCCCCCTTCTCCCTTCCCCGACAGAACGGGGGAGCCGTCGTGGGTTGTGGCGGCAGGGGTCGTCTAATGTGTCTGATGTCCAAGGCCTGGTGTCTGATGTCTTGTGTCTGATGTCTTGTGTCTGGCTTCCCCCCCTCCCGACTGCGTCGCGGCGTCTCTTAAATCTGTCGGTTCCCTGCCGAGATGCGTGCGTGCGCGTCGAACCCACTGCACGCGCGCGTTCGATACTTGGACACACCTCCGGGTTCGGCCTCGGGCTCGAGCAGGGACGGTGCCCCGGGATTAACCAGACGGGGAGCCCGGCCCAAGTTTTGGATCTTGGAATCGCTCGCCGCGGATCTACCGCATCATCTGTCTTGGATCGACGTCCGACCAGCCCCGGCGAACGCGCGACCATTTCGTGCTCGCGTCCCATCCCATCCTATCCCATTTGCCCATCTTCATCCCAGCCCGTCCACCGCGTCGAAACCGAGCCTTTGCCTCTCCGATCCAGCCCGAGACCCGGAGCAGCAGGAGGCGTAATGCGACCACTTACGAGTCGCATGTACAATGACGGGAGTCTATCGGAACCATTACTATTGCTCCGTGACGAGAAACAAGGCCAAACACACACACACACACACACACACACACACACACACACACACACACCTCTTTTTTCCTATCCTCTCTCTCTCTCTGTGCACGCCCAGTCAGTGGAGGAGGAAGCGCTCTTTTGATGGGCCAACGGAACCCAAGACGCCCGCCCCATCCTGTTCAATTTTTTTTTTCTCTCTCACTGGCCGAGATTCGCTCTGCAAGGGTGCGACTCCCCCCCCCTCCCCAGACAGATGCGCAGGAAATTCAAGAGAGGGACTGGCAGAGCTTGCCAAAGCAAGGCTTTTGTGAGCTTGGGGCCTTGGAGGGCGCCCTGCTGATGCATGCGACATGCACGCCAGAGCAAGGCATACGCATACGCAGATGCATCGTGCATACGATCCATCACCATGATTGTTTCCGTTTCCATCTATCCGTCCGCCCTGCATCTTCCATCATCTCCTGTCGTCTCGTCCGCCCCTGTCTCTCTTTTCTCGATGGCCTTTTCCAGGCTCTTCCGATGGGCGATGATATGGAGCTCCCACCATCGGCACACATACACACACATTTAAAGCCGGGTATCCCATCCATACAGCCCATCCACCATCCAACACCCCGGACCCCTGTCCGTATATGATCCCAGGGCTGCCGGGGACGGGGGGGAGGCTTGCCTGCTTGCTTGGAAGCTCGGCGAATGTACTCCAAGTACCTCGCTGTGCTTGCAATGTCCCAAGCACGGCGCAGCTTTGCCGTGTTCCACCGGCGCTAGGTACTTTTGGCTACATTCCCCATTCGCTCTTCTCCCCTTTCGCCCTGTACGTGTGTGTGCCACGTCCACTCGACGGGCGTGGCCCAGTCGACGTTCTCCCACCTCGAAAATGTTCAAGCCGACTATCGAACGAGCTGTCAATGCCGGTTTGTGCTCAGAGGAGGCCATGCGCTAGCTGGGAAGAGGCTGGGACGAGACCTATACGTGGTGACGGGCGACATATATCGAGATGGCGTCAAAGGAGTTGACACGAAACAAAAGTTTCGAGGACGGATAGGCGGGCCAGCCATCAACGCTCTCTCCACCGTGCTTTTTTTTTTCTTTTCCTTTTCTTCTTCTTTTTTCTTTCTTTCTCCTGTCTCGATGAGCTCCTTTCGGTGCATGTCTCCACGTCGAGGGACCCCCCCAGCCAGCATTTTTTTTTCCCTCTCTTTTCTTCACTTGTCGCCCATGTGTTGTCCACTCAGCGGTAGTTCCGCCAGTTCCAGTCCCCGTCATCCATATGTGTTGCGTATGTGTCTCCGTATCCATACCCATAGCCATAACACAACCCCCCCATACGCGAGCTCCTTTTATTTTGTCGCTCTCACGAATTCGCCATGCTCCCCTAAACCCCCTTCGAAAATGATAATCTGAGCCAAGAAACCAGGAACAGCATCACACTGCTAGGAATAGCCACACATCCCTTGAGCCGCGACCTCGTCGAAACCAGGGGCCCGGACAGGAATATACACGCTTTCCCTCTGCTCCCTTTTTTTTTTTCCTTTGCTCGCTTTGCTCGGAACCAAATGTCATGCTACACACTGCCAGCCATGCGGCACCAGGCACACCAGGAACCCTACCAGGCCGACCAATCATGAACCCGTCCGAGCAAACCACCAACACCCCCCGTCGCAGACCCCGGCTTCCCGAGCCCTCGGTGGTCGCGAACCACGCCAAACCGTCCCATCCATTCCATCCATCCCATCCGCTCCCCTGAATCTCCAAAAGATGACCATCCTTTCCCCACACCGCGACGGACCAATCACGGACCCCTGAAGACGCGGGAGCACGCGAACATCCAAACGGGAAACGGTACGTACAGGTAGGATGAGCGACGGGATTTTCCCAGATTTCAATTTAA